TTGCTGGAGAGCCAAAGAGTTTCTAACCCCCCAAAATAGTGTGGGAAATTATCCTCCAGGTGATGGATGCTGCCTTGTGCTGGAAAGAAGCAGAGGAAGGAGAAACTGAAATGCCCAAATCCAGGGGTATTTCAGTTCCTTCTCTGGGGAAAAAATTCCCTTTGCCCCAAACCTGAGAATTGTTTTCAATGTGTGTGTGTGTGTTCTAGCAAACAGTGTTCTTAAAGTTCCTAAAATATGTCTGGGACACTGAGGGCCATGGATCATTTATTACCAAAAATGGGCCAAATCTGAGCATGGCCAATTTCTTTTGCTTTAGATGTGGATGAAAAAGAAAACTGCTGAACCCAGAAACCAACCTGAACATCATCAGAGTTAAAAATGCTCCTGGACCATTGTATAAAGCTTATTATTAATTAAATGTGATGTAAACTCACATTCATTTTTTTAAGTGCAGTAGAAATCAGGCACAGGACTGTGTGGCAGTCCCCTTCTGAGAATCCAGTCCGTGGATCACCTCACAGCGCAGGCTGTAGGAGAACCCCAGGGGTGTTTTCACACAGTCCTTTTAATTAGCTGTTTTGATCACCTCCTCTGAAGAAGGCTCCTTGTTCACCACAGTCCCCACAATTTTAGTTATCTTATTTGTCCTACAGTAAATCTGATGGTGCCACTCAGTGCCGATGCTGTTCTCATTATGCTTCAAACCAATTAAATTGCGCAGCGTTTCTCTTCATTCCAATTCAAACTTTTTTCCCACGTCGTAGTCTTGCTCCCAAATTGGTAAAAAGCCTCTTAACTTTTTGTGACTTGTTCATTTTGCTAAGATCAACTGAATATCTTTAGTTGCCTTCTATCTTGAAAATGACCCTGTCAGTGTAATTTCTGAAAATTAAACCCTGTCCTTTCTACTCATAGCTCCTGTTGAGGTGTGCTAGGAATTATTTTACTTTATTCTAGTTAGGTCTTGTCCACAGCAGTAACTTTGCCTCTTTTTCTATATATCCTTTACTAATTTGCTTCCTAGAATATTTCATTGGTTTTTGTCAAAGAGATACAGAATTGTGTATTTTTGCCCCCCAAACTCTGATGGCTCTGTACAGTGTTTGGCATCTTAGCTGCATTAGAAATTAGCAGTTTTCAGTCATGCAAGTGCCCAAATGTAGCTTTACAGGGAAAACAATTCTTTCTCAGATAATGAAATAGGTGGATTATGAAGGAGGTGACTGAAAGCTTGGAAAACAAAAGGAAGTGAGGAGAGAGAAAGTTCTGGGCAAAACCAGTGGTGACAAGGGGTTTGGCTGATGAGCTAAGGCAGAAAATAACCTACAGATGTCTCTGTAAGGAGAGAACAACAGCCCTTTTGAGGCCCTCCTTACATATTTTTGAGACTTTATAATGAAGGAAAGATGAATGTGAGAGCAGGGACTGGGAAGTTCACTGTCACTTTCGTCTCATGGGAGCGCTCTTTTCCTCTGGAATTAGTTCTATTTGGTAACACTTATTGCTCTTTTTAGTCAGTGGGCTTGTCAGGGAGGATTATTTTAAAAGGCTGGAGAGTTGTCATTGCTCAGATGTGGACAGGATTGTCCCTGTGTATTTATTCCTAGCTGGAACCAAACTCTGGAAAAGCTCCAGCCATAACTTTTAAAGGCTCAGTTGTTAGACTGAGGAGGGTGCACGTAATGGGAAGGATGAGTTGATATCAGCAGTGTAGCAGAGCTGTGAAAATAGCTAATGTCATCCAGGGGTGGCTGAGTCCCCAGCTGGTGCAGGGAGGTTGCTGAGCTGTTGTGCAGACCCCGGTGAACTTGGTCTGGAGCAGCAAACCCACTGCTGGCCATGCTTGTTCAATCGCTGACCTAAAATTGGAATAACTGCACAGGAGGGCAACAGAAAGGGCCTGTATTATGAGAGGAGGAAGTCTGCATTGCCTTGCTTATCTCTAGCTGCTAGGCAGAGGGAAAGAATTTGATTTCCACCTAGAAATAGCCCTGGAGAGGAGGACAGGTGAAAATAGCTGTTTAAGCCAAATAAGCTGCTGCAGAAATCAGTCTGTGTAATTCAGCCTGGAAGATATCACCATTAGTTATTAGATGTAGATTCCTAACTGCTAGGAGCACAATGAAACCATTCTGGAAGAGTCAAAACAACTGAATACTTTTGAGTTTAAATGCCTGCAAAGCTCCAGGACTCGATGAAGAAGATTCCCCTTTTTGTTGTTGTTTAATTAGAGGCAGAATTCAGAATTTCCACATGCAAAGTCTACACTTCTCTAAAGATAAGCTGCCTTAATAAAATTCAGTTTAGTGCCAACATTTTTGCTGTTGCAGCAGCCTCAATTAGCAATCAATTAGCCTCATTGGCAGTCTCAGGAAATGAAGGCTGCAATGGGCTCAGCTCTCCCTGTCAGCCCCAGTGCCCTGAGCTGGGCTCTGCAGGGACATGCAGAGTCAGTTTTTGGTCAGTTTTCCTCCCAAAACTGATCTGTGAATGGATAAAACATTTCATTGCCCTCTGCTGAAAATGGAGAGGCAAACCCAGCACCATTTGTGAGCACAATAATAAGCCTAGAGCTGAAATAAATACTGTACAGTGCATCCTTTAGATCTCCCAAGGCAGAGGCAATAGAGTGTAATTGTGGGTCAACTTCTTGTGTTGGAAATGCAATTCCAGTTCAAACCTCACTCTAAAAATCTGCATTAATCTTTAAATACAGAAATGAGTTTCAAGATTGAACAGTAAAGCATTTAATTTTCTTAATTTAATTTTCAGAGTGCTTTGATCATGCAAGAGCATTTAGGGAACTACTTTCTTGTTCTGTCTTTTACCTCTTCCTTTAATTACAAAGTTTCATTTTTGTCAGTCCCAAGGAGAAGAATAATTATTTTTAGAGTAAAAAGAGTGTAATTTACACATGAAGTCATGATAACTTGCACAAATAATGTTATTATAAAACAGATATTGAGGAAAAAAAACGAAATGACCCCCTATTCCACAAAGCTGGAGCAACTTCTTAAATTCTTAAATATTCTTAATTCTTAGATATTCCTGACTGAATCTATTTGTTATTGATATACAAATATTTTTTTCTTGTCTGATCAGAAAAGATAATCTCGTTGTAAAAGGCTAATAGTTATTAACTTTTATTTTAATCTTTAGAAATGTTAAATTATTAATTAAACAAAACACTATACAGCAGAGTCAGTCTGAAGTCAAACTTCAGGTGTTTGAAACTGCTATGTGTATGGATGTGTATTTACATAAATGTGTGTTTATTTTTTTTTTTTTGTATGTGAGTGTCTGATCACAGCAAAGCCTGTTGGTTCTATAATTCCAAAATGAGGTTTATTTGAATTATTGAAACTTGAGGTACAAAGTTCCATTAAAAAACATAAATCAAATCCCCAGAAGTACAGATTTTATCCTGGAGTACATGTGACATTTTAACAACTTATTTTAAATATGTATAGGTGTTGGCCTTGTTATTTCTGATGATATGAATACATACACAAATAGTGTATATACTGCTAAATACATACTTCTTTTTCCTTTCTGTTTTCATTCCAAATTACTTTTGCTTTTCAGGCATGATTTTTGCTTTGCAAATATTCTGTGCTATGGACATTTTAATTTATATAGACCTGGATGTTAAGTGTGTGTTTTTAAATATATTCTTAGAGTACAGCTGAGATTAAGAATGACAATGAAGGGCAGGAATTCAGAATTATTTTGATAAATAGAAATCCTTGTCAGGAATGAAGTTATCCCTCAGGAATGTTATAGGTAAAGTTTATTCTGCCTTATGGCCTGGTGATGGACTACATGACCTTTCACAGTCTCCTCCAGCCCTATTTTATGATTCTAAGATCAATTCATTTTGGCATTTGACAGCTCCTGCACATAGACTATAGATGATTCTAATGCCTTTACTTTTTTAAAAAGTTGTTGTGTTTTTTTTTTTTCTATTTTAGTTGTAACTTTTGCACTTGAAACACTTTAAAATATATTTTTATTTATTTGAAGAATAAAAATAAAGGATATGGGTTTCATTCTGCCGTTCAGCAAATAGCCTAAAACGGGATTTTTATGAGAAGTTACAAGACTATAAATTACTGCTCTGTCACATAAAGATATCTGAAGTTTTATATGCTGTTGATCCAAAGTTATTCCCATTAGTGGTAATAACTAGGAGATAATTCACTTCATTTGGATAATGAAATCCTGGTTCTCAAAGTGGCTTTAGTAACATTCAGCCTGGAATCAGATTATTCTTTACAGCCTGTTAAAGTCATGGCAAGGTGGTCTTCAGCCTGCAAGTGCAATTTGTTCTCACAAATAGGTAATCCTGTTAAAATATTGTCAGGTTAATCAAAATTGATTTGCTAAACCCAGTGAATGCTAATCAAGCATTGGGTTAGGGAGCTTTAGCAGCAATTTTAAGTCTTTGATAGTTTCCCATTATTCCTGCATGGAATGGTTCACTGGATTTGTGGGAGCATTTTGAAGCCTGAACACCTTTCCAAGGCTGGAGACAAATGTACTACAGACTAAAGAAACTCCTCCAGAAATAGATGTTAAAACCACAGACAGTGGGGATCCCTGTATTTGGTATAGTTTATGTGAAATAACTGTTCTCCAGACAACCTGAGTGCTTTGTGCTTTTGTCACTGGTATCTGTAACTATCCTACCATTTTTTACAAACAATGGTTAAAAATGAATTTAAGACTGTAATTTTGGAGTGTTATGTGGTGCATCTGTTTCATAAGAAAATGCATTTAGAACTTCTGTGCTTTACATTTGAAAGACAATTCTGTGTAATTGTTAACTTGTTAGAAGATATGGTGAATTTTTAAAAATAATTATGTGCTTATCAATATGGGGTATATAGGAAATTGAAATGACAAAGAATTAAAACTCCCTTTTTCCAGAGCCAGCAGGAACTTTGCACTCTGCTCACACCCTTTAAAACTTACAACATCTTATTTTCTTTCAACAGCAAGCTTTTCTTTACAGACTACGGGAATGCTGCCAAGGTGGAGAGATGTGACATGGATGGAATGAACAGGACGTGGATAGTAGACTCGAAAATTGAACAGCCAACTGCTCTGGCACTAGACCTCATCAATAAATATGTGTACTGGCTTGACATATATCTGGAGAGTGTGGAAGTTGTTGACTATCAGGGGAGAAGGAGGCAAACAATAACCAAAGGCAGACAAGTAGGTATTTATTTGCAAATCAAGAAAAAGTAATAATATCAATGAATGAATGCACATAATGCTAGCAACTACAGGAATTTTGTAATATTTTTCGTTTTTAGTTCAGATGTGTTAGAATTTAGAAGATCCAACTCCATACTTTGGTTTATCTGCACTTTAGCAATTTTGCAACCTATGAATATTTCCATGCAGTGTCTCATTAATAATGCACCCTGTAAGTCACCATTGTTAAAGATTTCAGGAGGGAAAACCTGGGGTGGGAAGGTGCAGGGAGACAGATCATTAATGACAAGATGTCCTTACCCACTCAGGAAGGAGAGACTAACAGGCATAATAATGTGAAATAGAATAGCAAAAGCTCTTCACCCATTAGACTAATCTGGACACCCTTAAATATTATTTTTGTTGGTGGCAATGATGCTTTTCACAGCTGATCCTGATGTTTAGAGTCATAAATACAAACTCTGAGCCTGTGAGTCTTTGCATTTCAGGAGCATTTCAGTCCATTAACCTGGAGAGTGGAAGAGTTCTCTGGCACTTGTGAGTCATATGTAAATCCAGGGAAAATCAGCAAAGACCAAACTGTTCTGGTCACTACCTGGACTGCCAGGTGTGGGCACCAAGTTTGCATATATTTCTGCCTGAGGTTAAACAGGGAATGTAAAAATGTGCAAGCAGAATAAACATTTTACCTGTTCTTCTGTCATTCGTTGCTCCCAAGTAATCCGTGTTTAGCAAGATGCAACTGGTGAGACTGTTAACTAAAATAGGCAGAAAATGTGACAAAAAGCAGTCTAAGTGGTGGTTTAGCAAACACCTTCCTATTTTTGCCAATCTATCTCCAGTCTTTAACCAGTTCCAGAACAAGAGGTCTTGAAAACTTTTGGGTTTTTTGTTTTTTGTTTTTTTAAAGTACCATTTTGGATTAGATACTTAAAAAGCTAAAATCATTTTCAGAAGCCATTAAAAAATACCTTTACAGGCTTCTAACTGAGCTGTACTTGTGTCATAGGAGAGATGCTTGTTTTTCCTCTTCTTGCTGAAATTTAGGTGCAAAAGTGGATACTTTATCAAGTTCAGAGGGATTCAAAACTAGCTAAGAAATGAGATCTCTGTTTTTTATATGGGTGAATGGTATTGAAAAGTTTGGCCTCTCCCTGTTGTCACAAATGGTACTGATTGTCTTTCCACTCAAATGAAGAATTGGTAATTTCAGTATGTTTTTGCTGCATATGCTATGACCTAGAATGACTGTTTCTCCAAATCACTCCTCATTAGTCTAAGGAAAACCACGAAAATGTTCCCAAGAATTTTTAGGGACTAAAGTTTATTGTGTAAGTACAAACACATCAAAGATGTGCTTTCCAAACAAAACTGGATTCTGTGATTAACAGCCTGGGTGGCTTTAAAAGGACAAGCCAGTAATGTTTTCACTCATGCACAGGGTTGCCGGAAAGCTTCATGAGATGTAGAAAACCCAACAAATTAAAAAATAAACATGTATAATTAGATCATTATAAAAAGCATTGCAGGATGAGCCACATAGCTTTAATAGTTTTAATGAAGAAAATCTCTCATGGGAGTTAAATGATAAAGATTTAAACTGAGTGCAAATGGAAATAGGGAAGAAAGGATTGTAATTCAGGGGAGAATTCCACAGTTTGCTACAGATGTGGCTTTATTTTCAAGGCTGTTTTCTTTTCCATCTTACTGTAATTGCATTGAATTTCTATTGGGTCTTAATCAAACACTTCCAATGATGTTAATTTTTGCTCCTTTTCCTGGGTGAAGACAGAATGCAATAGCAAGGCTTGGCCACCTGTGGTGTAATTTCCAGAATGACTGAAATAGTCGATGCACAACACGGTTTTTTTGTTTGGGTTGGGTTTTGTTTGATGTATGTCTGAATTTGGGAGTGAATGAGATAAGTAAATACTTTGTGGTGAGCAATTGAATGGTTATAGTAATAAGATATTCAGCCTGTGAATATCTGAATGTCTGCCAGCAAAATTCTCTTTAATTTGTTCAGTTTTCAGAATTGTCAGTGAGATATTTTACATTTTCTAAATCTATAAATCAAGCACAGCCTCTAATTTATTGACACTTTGTGTTTGAGCTGTGATTGTCTAACTACCAGCTATTAGGTAATTTTTAATCAATGTGCCCATACACATCAGAGATTATCACAATTTTAGAATTCACTTTTTGATAAACAAGCACTACCAAGTGGCCACCACCATATTCAGAGGCACCAACACAAAAGGAACACAGGAGAGCTGACAGAATTTGTTTATTTCTCATAAAATATTTTCTCAAGAAAATATTCAGCAGGTATATCTTGCACTGTTTGTCATGATTTGATCATAAAATAATTTTTAAAAGTGGATCAATTACACCTATGAACTATGTTTTAATTTCTAATTTTGCTATATTTATTAGTTAATAATAGTTAATTTATCTTAGTTACTATTAGTTAATGATCATTAGTTAATACTAATGTAGCTGTTGCACTTCAAGAATGTAGATTTTAATTTAAAAAAAAGAGAAACTGGGTAATTTGTAGACTAAAGGAATTTAGATTGCTGAGTTATTTGAATTTTCTACCTTTCTTGTACAAAGCTTTTCTAATTATAAATTTCAGACTACAAGAATATGAACTATACTTTTAGTGTAATTTGTGTTTATTATTTACAAGTACTCAGAAGGACTTATGTGCTGTTTATCACACACAATCCACGGTAGTGTTTGACATTTACAACTCACAGATATGCCTAAAATATTGAGCTAAAACAATGATACCATTTGTTTCTTTTCCAGATTAGGCATCTCTGTGGTTTGGCAGTGTTTGAAAACTACTTATATACAATTAATTCAGACAACCTCAGCATTTTACGAATACACAGATACAATGGTACTGATGTTCAGGCTCTTGCTAGGCTGGATGACTCTAAAGAGATCCGTGTGTTCCAGAAGAGAACTCAAGCAGCAGGTAAGATCAAATTTCCTTCTCTAGAAAGCACAAAACCAGATAGTAAGTGCTTGTGCAGTCAAAAAGGTCCTACCAGAAAAAAGCATCTGAAGATGGAATGAAAATTTGTCCTTGTGGCACAACTTTCCATTCCTTGAGTTTTGTGTGGTTGTTCCACTTTTCCCATGTCTCTAAGCTCCAACTCAACCTTTTCAGAGAATTCAGTTTGGAGAGCTGCCCAAGGGCCCTGCTCTGCACGCTGTGGCACTCAGCACTCTGAGAATTTAGCACCTTCAGGATTGTTGGATGTCCAGTGTTATCCACATGCTTTGGGTCTCAAAACTCAGAGATTCCTGATATCTCTGGGCCTGCTTTTCAAACAGACCCTCAGGTGAGCTCCCATTTTTGGGGCTGCCAAAAAGGTACAGAGGTGTGGGCAGCTGAACTGCCAGCACAGCCCTGGTGAGAGAGGGAAATGCTGACAGGGTGTCCTTGCTTTGTGTGAATATCAGTTTTGCCATCAGTGAAAGAAATCTTCATTTTCATCTAGAATGAAAGAACTCTTTTTTATCTCACTTTTTTTTTTTTGGTAAAACAGCAATTTCACATCCTTTCTGTATGCAGAACATCAGTGGGAGTTCTGGGAACTTTTGCAAAGATAGCAAGATCCAAAATGTTTACCGTGACGCTTCATGGGAATGTTTTTGGCATGACTGATAACAATAAATCGTTGCCATGACTGCTTAGACAGAAAAGCCAACACATCAATTCTCAATGTCAATGTTTCTAAACAGAATGGCTGCATCTGAAGAAGTTTGTGAAGTGGGAACAAACTCTAAATTGATGTAGAGTGGGTGAACTAATTTTCACCCTGGAGCTGAGGACATTGATTTGCAGATGTCAATGTCTGAAGGAGGCTGCAAAGACTCTTTCTTTGCTATAATCATCCCTCTCTTACTCCTGAGGGAGGCGGAGAGGTTGAGTAGAGGAGAGACATGAGCACAGTGTAATCTTTTATTACATCCTGTGATTACTCTGCTACTCCTTTTGTTTTGAATGGACATGTTTGTTGCTTGTCAAGATTCTCTGTAACAGCTGTCTCAGCTTGGTGGAGATTCTGTATTACCTTTAACCTTATCGACCCTAAACCACTTGATTGCTTTATTTTAAAAGAAACAAACCTGAAAAGCTTGAGGTAAAGTAGGAAGAACAAAACATTTTTTGAACTAGAATACTCTTTTTTGGTTTAAGCCAGCTTAGAAAATGTAAGATAGCCTGGTAGATTTTGTTTCCTCGGCATATTGCCTTAAACAGTTAAAAAAAATTAAAAATTGGCTGCTAATATAGAACCATGCATTTGGAAATGTGTGTGAAATCAAGGATAAGGAATTCTCTGACTTCTTAAGCTGGATTTATATCCCAGCTGTATAAATCTGCACCCCATCTCGGGAAGTGTTCAAGGCCAAGTTGGATGGGGCTTGGAACATCCTGGTTTAGTGGGAGGTGTCCCTGCCAATGGCAGAGGTTTGGAATAAGATGGGCTCTAAGGTCCCTTCCGACCCAAACCATTCTGTGATTCTATAAATATGGAAGAATTCTACAAGGCTTGTTCTGTTCTTTAGTTTCAGCACATGTGTCTGCCCAGAAAGGTGCTGTCAAAGGGAATAGAAGGAATACCAGACTGTGTGGGCATGGGATGCACTCTGTCCTCAGAAAACCCCAACCAAGCACATGAACCAAACCAGCAAATGGAAAATGGGAGAAGTGTCAGCTCCCCCAGGGAAGCACTGCCCATCAAATGTGCAGGAGCTCATTCACAAAGGGGCAATTGCACACAGCCACGGGCATGGAACGATAGCCCTGGACATTATTGGCCTGGCTTGGATGCCGTCTTTAAAAAACACCTTCCTTAGAAGTCATATATTGTATTTGCAGGGATCCCTGACGCAGGCAGGAATGATGAATCTGACTCCATGTTCTCAGAAGCCTAATTTATTACTTTATGACACTACATGATATTAAATACTATACTATACTAAAGAATACAGAAAGGATACTTAGACTCCATGTTCTCAAAAGGCTAATTTATTACTTTATAACACTATTTTATATTAAAGAATACTATACTATACTAAATAATACAGAAAGGATATATACTGAATGCTAAAAAGATGATAATGAAAACTTGTGACTCTTTCCAGAGTCTCAACACAGCTTGGCCCTGACTGGCCAAAGAGTGAAAACAACTCACACCAGAATCCAATGAAACAATCACCTGTGGGTAAATAATCCCCAAACACATTCCAGATGAGCACAACACAGGAGAAGCAAATGAGACAAGAATTGTTTTCCTTTTCACTGAGGCTTCTCAGCTGCCCAGGAGAAAAACCCTGGGCGAAGGGATTTTCCCAGAGAATGTGAATGCCACAGTTATATTCTGGGGAAAGGGGGTTTGTGTCACAAGAAGTCTTTCTTTATATTTTCCCTCTGCCTAACCTCCCTCCATGCTGATGCAGTTGCCTTGCTTTCAATGATCTGAGCTGTTTTCCCCTCGCCGCAGTCAGAAGCCACGCCTGTGAGTTGGATCCGTCTGGAATGCCGGGGGGCTGCTCCCACCTCTGCCTGCTCAGCAGCAGCCACAAAGCACGGACCTGTCGCTGCAGGACTGGCTTCATCCTGGGGAGCGATGGCAGGTCATGCAAAAGTACGTCCTTGAGATCAGTCTGCCAGCCAGGAATCATCCAGGGGATGGTTCTGGGTGTTCTCTAGCAAATCACATGGGCTGATTCGGGGTAAAGTCGGTTTCAAATTAAATGTGTGGGACAGTATTTCTTGTTTAAATTCAAATGTTTATTAATTCTTATCTATATTATAGTCTCACAAACTGTGAATTTTACAATACTGTAACAAACTAAAAATAGATTTATATTTTTTATAACTTTTTAAAAGATACACTATCTAAATAAAAAATAATACTTAAATTATTTTTACTTTTAACCTAATAAATAACTATGTATAACCTATCATATATATATTTTTAATTTATTTACAATTATTACTGGTAATTTTATTATAATTTAATTACAATTTATTAATTACAATACTACTTTAACTCATAAAAAAGGTAAAGAAAAATCTAACTTCTATCCTAAAACTTCTATGTTACTTTATATGTACATTACTATATTCTAAAGCCTTAAACTCTTAAGTTTTCCACTATATATTACACACTTTTAATGTGTACCTGATGCTTTGTTCACATGCTGCTTTCATTCCCTTAACATTATTTGATTTGGATCGGTTCACAGGTGTGGCAGGTTAAACCTGGAATGCTCAAAGAATACTAAAATTATCACAAGCTTTACATTAATCAGCCTCACTCTTTATTTATAGGCCATGGCTTTTCACTGCACACAGGTATTGCTACAATTTCCACCCATGCAATCAACTTAGAGCACAAAAGCAGAACATTCATGTGACCAAGTCAAGGTTTTTCTCAGAATACTTTGTGAAAAAAAATGTGATTTGTGCAGCTGTGGTTATACCTAAGGTTACATGTACACAATCTGTTGGTCACCTACAGCCAACAGGAGTTTTGGGGAATTCCTGTGTTTTGCCTGGTTTTTCAGTCAAAGGGTGTTGATTTAGTTCAGATAAAAGACATGCAGTTAGATACTCTGATGGATGCTGGTAAATGGATTTATTTGACCTCAGTCAAACCTGATGCAGTTTTCACTGACAATTCCATCAAAAAACCCTGAGAGCCAGCAGGAAAAATATGTAGAGAATTTCAAGAGGTATATTGATAGCCTTAAGGCTCTAAGGATAAATTTCTTTAAGGAAAGAAAAATACTTTGCTAAGCTTCAGTTGTTTGTAATCAGCTTAATTAGTTAAATTGTAAAAATCTTAGAAATATGAACTTCTGATATCTGTGTTTTCTACCACAACTGAAAAGAACTGAGTATGTTGGTCTGTTTTATTCCTTTCAATCTTAAAGAAATTTAACCTTTTTTGTTGTTTGATTCTGAGAAACTTTACGTGGAAAAAAAGCATTTTGTATATGCTGGCATTCATGGTGTATTTAGATTTTAAGATTACTTCAGTTGTGGTCCACATTACCTTGATGGATCCTAATGAATTGTAAAATTAAATGTCGACAGAGCTATATGTGTCCACTTCACAGCAGATGCAAAGTTATTCTGTGATCGATAACTGCTTTTTCAGTGTGAACTTTTACACAAAAAAAATTAATTAGATGTAAACAGCTCACTGAAATAACTTGTGTTTTGAATAAGGTACTTAAATTAGCTTTTTTTTTTTTCTTTTTTTTTTTTTTTTTTTTTTTGTTGGTTTGTTTTTTGGTGGTTTTTTTTTTGGTTTTTTAATCTAGATACCTACAGAATATATGGACGTTTAATTTTCAGTATTGAATAAGGCTCCTGCTCCCCACTAATTATGCCAGTTAATTAAACAGGGACATTATGCACTGTGAAGAAGATTAGGCAGCATCAGTTGTTTATGTTTGTAATCTTTCTTTTGCAGGACCAAAGAATGAATTGTTTCTTTTTTATGGGAAGGGACGGCCGGGAATAATCCGGGGAATGGACCTGAATACCAAAATATCTGATGAGTACATGATCCCCATCGAGAACCTGGTCAATCCTCGTGCTCTGGACTTCCACGCTGAAACCAATTACATTTACTTTGCTGATACCACCAGTTTCCTGATTGGACGGCAGAAAATTGATGGCACAGAGAGAGAAACAATCCTCAAAGACGGTGGGTGATGCTCAGCATTGGTGACATTCAGAGATGCTCGCTACCGAGAAGTTGAACTGACATTTGCAGATAATTTAAAGGTTTTTTGGATCTCCCATAGAAAACAGACACAAATTTGACCTCGAAAAAATTTGGAGATACTTTTTTTACATCTTCCTGTTTTTTCTTTTTTTTCCTGAGGGCAGAAGTGTAAAGTTTGGTTAAGTCACTCTGTTCTGAATTCTTACTGTGTCCATTTAAGCTCACTACTGGTGAGTAATTCCTATTTCTCCACTGTGTCCTTCCAGTAGCTGGATATTTGTTGAGCCATCCCAAATCCTTGCAGACTTTATAAGACTTCTTCTCTCCAGCCTGCATCACACTGTGGATTCTGGAGCTTATTCAAGTGGTTTGGCAGAATGAGACTGTCTGTAGTGCTTGAAAACTCATTAGGAAAAAAGCATTGTCTTTCCTGATGCATTTTCCATTGTGAATGTGGAAGCAACAGTTAGACCTAAACATTTATTAGAACCTTAATTAAGATGCTTGTAGCATTTATTATAGCAATAAGGGAAAATGCCAGCAAGTCTTTAGTTTCCACATCTCCCACTACACTGAATCTCCCTGGTCTAGAATCATATCTCATCACAGCAAATGTTGTTGTAGTGAAAAAAGCATCCAGTTTGTCAATTGATATTTTTGTTTTCCTTTATGGACCCTTCTCTGAAATACTGCTTCAGCAGGAGGTAGCAACTGTCTCAGCTGCAATTCATTCTACAGTAATTATTTTCTGGTCCTCAGTCTAAGAAACATAAATATTCATCTTAGCCTTCAGAGAGTCTAATATCTTCACTAGTGAATGGAAGCTCAGGACAGTGAAAGTAACTAAAATACCATTGTTTTAGCAGGAGGATGCTCATTGCCTGTCATTCATAAGGCATGTTTTAATGCACACTTCTGAGGAGCCATCTCCTCTGTGCAGTGATATGATGCTCTTTTAGTGTAAGGTCTCTCCTCAGAGTCTGCACAAAGATCCCTTCAGCAGCAATTGCAAGGAATACTGACAGGCTCTTTACCCTGCTCTGGTGAATGGTTAATAAAGGGCATTTGTCTCAGAAAATAACAAATACTCAGCTGTCAGTCTGGTAATTCTTCATTTCACTGCCAGCACGGGAATGGATATTGTGCATCTCACATCTTCCATTGCTGGATTTCCTTTCCTAACTGTGCATTTCATTTGACAGGGAAGTAGTTCAAATGTGGAGTAGAGGAAGGAGCAGGAAATATGTAAATTAAAACATTATAAAGGAGCAGCAAGGAGCATCCTGGCTGAAAGGTTTCAGGCAGGTTGGGGTCAAACAGGTTGGGATTAGCGTACTCAAAAATTAATAAACTTTGCATGCCAAACCAGAAAATTTGTGGTATTCCTGTAAATAATGTTTAAGTGCAATGTCTCCTCTTTATAAGTACAACATAGCAAAAATATTAATGCAATACTGAAAGAGCTGTGGATTATCTGATGATTTATTATTTGTGATTCTACTATTTGCAAAGACCAAAAATATGTCACTGTCATTCTCCCCTTCCTTCTTCCCCAGGAGCTTATGTTGTTAGTTCTAACCTGGTGTAGTTCCATAACTTTAAAGTATATTTAAAGAACACTTGTTAATGTATTTTTCATGATTTAAAAATTTAATATGGCCTCCAGTCATAACACCTCAGTTTTTATTCTTGTCAACTCTCACAAACTCAGCAGGGACAGATTAAATCATTCCTTGGTGGAAGGCTACTACAGAAAATCAGGTGTGTCAGGAGGTGGTTTTATATTTGCTCTGAACAGCGTGCTGCTAAGGGCTTCTAGCTGTGGTAGGTGCCACTTCTCAGATTAGAAGTTGCCTTTTTTTTGGTGACTATCTGGTTTTTTGAGAATGTGTACGCTTGTTCAGACAGCATTGCAGCTCAGATAATTACAGTTTGCCTAAATAAGAGCCTGATCCTACAGCTGTTCACTGGGAATTGAGATCACTGAGCACCTCACACTGCTGGAGTTTGATTTCCCATATAGTTTCAGCTGTGATTTCTGTTTCTTCGCTTTGGGAAGCAAACTGCTGGGTAGTGTTGATAACAATTTGACAGCCCCCAGCACAGCCTGGCTTAGAGCTGGTGGCACAGCTGCAGCAGTACTGTACTTCCACCAGCAACAAGAATTATAATTAACCTTTCAAACTTGCATGTAAAATCAGTCGTTTGCATTAAAAATTGGAAAAAAACCCACAATTTTCATGTCTGTGATCTTAAAAACCACAGACATTTTTAAATGGATCTAAATACTACTCAGTGAATGTAACAGGAACACAAGCTCAGGATTTTTTTTACTTGTTTTTGTACCCCTGTTTTTCTGGGGGGGTTGCTGTAACCCTAAAATTCTTATAACATTTACTTGTAAATATTAGTCAAGGATGGTCAACCTGTTGCTTAAACAAGGCCAAGTAAATCTGTAAAGCTGCTGTTTGGAAGCTGTTTAAATGGTTGGTATATAGAAGAATTATTTTCCCACCAGGTTTTATGTTAATCTAGCATTTGAGGCACTATTTATTACACATAGCATTGGTGAGCTTGGCCATTCTGTAACAAATTACATGTTGTGCCTGTTCTCTGTTTCATACTGAAAAGCAGTGTGGCAAACTGCTGCCTCTAGAATTGTTTTTAAAAAAACTCCCTTTTACATTCAACGTATTTGGAGCTCTCATATTAGTGTTGCTAGGAAAATTCTGGTGGAAATTCCTGAATTACAAATGTTAACTTTTCAGTTAACAAGTGAAGAATGATCACAAGGGTATTTTATCACCTCATCCCTTTTATGCTGAAAGGGCTTTACAGCAGAAGGACTGAGTTACTGTAGTCAAATCAAGACAAGAATGGCACAGTGACCATTGTTTTCTTCCTGTTTACTACTTGATGTGAAACCCATTTGAAGAGTAATTAATGTATTTAAAGCTTTTAGTGAAATAAAAGTGACTTTATAATTATAACTCCACAAAACCAATGCAAGTTATCTCTATAGGGTTGTGCTGTAGAATTCTCCTTAAAAAAACCCCAAATTTTCTGATATTTTTACTATCTAGATACCATGAGGGGTTTTTTTTTTTTGGGTTTTTTTTTTATATGGATAAAAATTTTAAAACACATTTTCCAATATTCCTGGGCTCATGCCACTTTTTTTTTTTTTCTTTTTTTTTTTCCAAATAACTTTCTCATATTTTGTCTCACAGGACGTATTGTCATCTCTACACCTGTGATTCATTTACAGAATTTAGGTTTACTTTCTTAGGTGAACAAGGTTTAGTTGGTACTTTGGTTGGTACCAAATATCTGTAATTTGCTTTGGACCTTCAGTAGATAAGGGAAAAAAGCAATTTTAAAAATATAACATGGATATCACATAATAGATAGTGAATGTAAGTACATGTAGAGCATAAATAGTATATAATCTCTTACTACAGTTCTCTCTCTCAACAGATCTTGACAATGTGGAAGGCATAGCAGTGGACTGGATTGGAAATAATCTGTATTGGACCAATGATGGCCACAGGAAAACCATTGCTGTTGCCAGACTGGAAAAAGCTGCTCAGAGTAGGAAAACGTTGTTGGAGGGAGACATGTCCCACCCCAGGGGAATTGTTGTCGATCCTGTTAATGGGTATGAAGAAAACTGACTTTTCTGTGATGGTTGTCTTTGTGGTATAAATACAGGATTCAGTTTGCTCAGGATGAGGTTTGTAGAGTCATGTAGTGATCTGTAATGCTTCAGGAGTCTGTAATATCTGTAATTCCTGCCCAGCATTCTTGCCCTGAAGCCTTCAGAAGAATTTGTATGCCTGTCACTGTTGCATGTCTGTCCTGTTAATCTGAATGTGACTCACCTTTTTCTCAAACAAATTGAAGGTGTAAGTCCTGTATGAATTTTTAATATGAAGTGAATTTTAAGATGCTCTCCTGTGTTTCTCTCTCTGTAATCTCAGTTTCTGGAGCCAATTATGACCATATCCTTGTACACATTGGTTTATAAAACTGAGACAGATACTCTTCATTACTTATTAGCTTAAATTAATTTTGGTAGGCTGCATAATAAAGAAAACCACATTATATTAGTGCGGTATGATGGTAGTTTACTTAAAAAATCACTGAAGAATGATGTAGCTAGGTAGTTTCAGTGTGGCTGGATTTATTGCTATTTTCCTATTATAGAAAATATTTACCTTCTCAGGTTTTCCCTTCTGAGTCTGTCCTTTGAGGAGTGGAAGTGGCTGTGGAAAGGCTACAATTCATTAAGGTCAGATAGTGAGGGTATAAAATGAGACCACGAGCCATAACCACACCTGCAATTACTTTGTTAAATTTTCCAGCTCAGTAAATGCATGGCACAGGAAGCAGTGTATGAAGATGTATTGCCTGAAAAAGGCCATTATATAAAACACTTCTCTAATAAAATAGCGTGTCCTTCATGATTATACTTCTCATGGAAGCTCTTCCTGAGGGATAGCATTTATTATGGCTTTTTAATTGTGTTTCCAAAATTTTAGTCTTGATTTAACCGGTGTTGGAACATTAACTGCATTTTGAGGTACAATTAAAGCACACTGACATAAATGCTTGTCACCGTGAGCAGGTTTTAGGTTATGACAGGATAAATGGAATAAGGACAGACAAAAAGTTAATGGGGAAAAGCTCAGTAATTGCTGTTGAGAAGTCATGTAAATATTTGTAAAACATATTTTGTCTCCCAATAAAATAAGTGCCATATTGACCTGAGCCCCAGGGCATGTGCAGGGTTTATAATTCTGTGATTAAACCTAGTGCTGTTAGAGTCAAACATGAAATGAGTTTGTAAGGCTTGTGGATCAAAAATAGACTGGTGTTCTTTGCACATATTTACAAAAACATTAAAAGAACCCAAAACAGCCTTCTAGTGGGCGATTTGAGAGAAATGAAAAGTAAACATAACTGCATGTGCATATCTGCAGCCTTGTATAATGCAATTTTTCTTTTTTTTTTTTAGTTTCTCATCAATATCAACTTATGCTTATACATAAAAGTGCATTTGAATAATTTTTTTTAACCAATAGATTTGATATAATTTACATAGGTGTGGTAAAATATTTTTTTGCTTCAGTGTATCATTCCTTTGTAAATTCAGTATTTAAATTCCACAACTTTACTCTTCAAAGTACAGGCCCATAAAATGGTTAATGGGTTAGGATCACAGAAGTGATTTCAGAAACATAAATCTGGTGAATGAAAAGGTGAGGTACATTAATAGCAATTAAATCACGATAACTTAAATAGGATTTAAGGTTGGCATGATTTTTTTTTCTCTTTAATGCTTATTAATTGAAGTCCTAGGTTTGACTAAAAGTAAACATCTGCTGTCTGGCAAATGTTTTCATTTATGAAATGATGTGACTGTATGTGATACAATCTGAGATGATTCAGAGTGCTTACAGGTTTCTAAGTGTTTATTCCCATTAACTCATTTTCCTTAGTGAAAAACATGTTAAAAAAAAGAGAAAAAACAAAAGTGATGTCTCTTAGCATATTTGCTACCTTCTGTTTTTTACAAGTTCATGTTTTGTATTTTAATTGGTTGAAATCACAGTTTTCAAGGGCAATTTCATTAATAGAATATGATATTCAGAATAATTCCATAACGAAATGTTTATTCTGTAGTTTCCAGTAGAGAATGGCTCATAGAATTCCTCTGAGCAAATACTTTTAGAAGAGTTAATAGAATTTTTTTTAAAGTTTTCCAAGGTAATATTGGTGCTTTTCTTTCAGACTTTGTTTGGGTTTTTTAATCTATATTGTTGCACTATAAGCCATAAAACTATGCTAAAATTGCCTCCTAGCTTTTTTTTTCAACTAATTTTCACAGCAACTGTTTCTAAACATTTTTGTGATGGACAAAGTGCACCTTACAGTTTTCTGAGTGATTTAGCTGCTTTCATTAAGTTCACAGAACACCAAGGTTATCCTTTTGCTCTAAAACTAGAGTGTAAATATTTATTGTGTTGCAACTTCTTTCATAGAATTAGGTGTAATAAAAAGGAGATTTTCATCATGAAGGCAAATTGACCTGGCCAGAACCAGCTCACAGTAAAAATGTGAGTTTTATTTTACAAAGTCAATACAAGTAATGATTTAAAAAAAACAACAAATAAAGAAACCCTGTAATTCTGGTTGGAATAAATAGGATCTTAATTATTTCACTTTTCTTGTCTGTTGTTTCTCTGGTATTCATGTAATTTATCACAATATGAGCAAAATAACATAAGTGTCACTTCAGCAGCATCCAGTGGTCAGGGACAGTAAATAGAGTTGCAGAAACAGCAATGGAAAGAAACATGAAAAAGTCAAAATTGCTCTGGCTTGGACGAGCTGCCGCTAAAAGCCTGCGGTACAATTCACCTGATTAAAATGGGATCTGAATGCTCGTTTCTGTAATTCCCTAGATGGATGTATTGGACAGACTGGGAGGAAGATGAAATAGATGCCAGCGTGGGGAGGATTGAGAAGGCCTGGATGGATGGCTACAGCCGGCAGGTTTTTGTCACATCAAAGATGCTCTGGCCAAATGGTTTAACTCTGGACTACCGTGCCAACGTGCTGTACTGGTGTGATGCCTATTATGATCACATTGAAAGGATCTATTTGAATGGGACTGACAGAAAGGTAAAAGAGAAATGCTGCTGGTTTGCCACAGGCGTGTTCCATCTCTGGATTTTATTGTGTTGTATTGAAAATTCTTCCCAAGGTTTTTAAAGTCTGAAGAATCCACGGCGTGTCCTGCATCACTTCTGCTGGAGCGATGGTGGCAGTCTTGAGTGAGAGGCTGAAACACAGCTCACAGTGTTCCTCTGTCCTAAGTGACGCCAGACATGATTTTTATCTTTTTTTTTAGCAATTTTTTCTCTTGTGGAAATGAGTTGCATTTGGATTGAGCCATGAATCTGCAAAGAGCTTTTCAGTAGAAAAACCCTTTTTTTTTTTGGCTTTGCCAAAGATAGACTTTTCCTTGAACTTTGCTTTATGGGTTTTTCTGAATCTCTATGCCTCTTTTCAGCATTTGTAATATTCAGAGGGGCAGTCCTCAGCAAATACTGTTAGAGAGAGATTGCTTTAGCTGTTACTAATGCCTGTACTAGCTGTGCAGTCATTCTGTGTGGGTTTGTAGAAGCAACAAGCACAGATTAAGAACACTTTGACAATGGTTAAGGCTCAGATTGGAGTATGATAATTTGGGGAAGTTTTACCATCTGCTTCATAAAATTACTGACTGGTGAATAATAAGAAACACATGTCTGCAGGTTTTATTTTGAAGTGTGTCACAGAATGGTTTTTTTTTTTTTTTTTTTTTTGAAAAGTGAGTTTTCTATAATCCTTAGATGTAATAAAAAATGCATAACTACTTGAATTTATGTAGCTGAAAATAACTGTAAGGTACTAGTTTTTGATGTTTAATCATTTGCCTTTAATTATAGGTTATTTTGGTCAAAATTGGACTGGATCAGTCACATCTATAATTCTTCAATACAGTAAAGATTTTGGGGGATAGGGAGGTACTTAATTCCACTAATAGCTGTCAGATTATTGACTGATTGATGAATTTGGATCAAAAGCAGATCAGAGATGAGGAGCTTTGACTGTAAAAATTCCAAGTCCAAAGAGAAAATTTAAAAGGCAAGAGGGGGTGATGTTTGTCAATCACCTCGAAAGAGTATTTTAGTTGTCTTTATCTCCCTGTTGTCTTGGGTTTGAGTCTAGAAGTAGACAAGGTAGGGCATGTGAGGAGCTGCTTCCTTCTCTCTACAGTCAAGGTAGAAAAAAGGCTCTTGGTTCAAGCAAGGATCCCAGCCAGAAGGAGACTAATGACTCCAAACTGCATCTGCTTGGATAAAATCATGAGATTATAGAATTTTTTTTTGTGTTGGGAAAGGCCATAATATCTTCAAGTCCAACCCTTAACCCAGCACTGCCAAATTCACCACTAACCATGACCCTAAACCCCATTTCTACATCTTTCAGATCCTTCCAGGGTTAGAGACTGCACCACTTTCTGTGTTCTTGATGGGGGCCACTTAAAGTGAATTTATATGAAGTTGTTTTTTTTCCAAGTTAGATACTGGTTCTGCTGCACAGAAGGGTTTTTCACTCTTTATTTCATTTTATTGCAATAGGTTGTTAAGTTTGGACAGTAATTATCTCAGTTTTCCTATTTCCTGTTTTACCTTCTCTGAAAAATTTAAGATTCTTTTAACCTTGCTGATGCTCACCTACCACTAATTAATTGCAGGTAGTCTACAATGGAAAAGATTTGAATCATCCTTTTGGACTGTCACACCATGGAAATTATATATACTGGACAGATTACATGAATGGGTCAATTTTCCAGTTGGATTTGGTATCAAGGAATGTGACACTGTTGAGAAGCGAGAGGCCACCTTTGTTTGGGCTCCAGATTTATGATCCACGCAAACAGCAAGGTACTTCTGCATTTTCTCCAGAGTTTTGTTTTTAAAGGACATTGAGTCTCCAAGTATTTTGAGGTGACTGGATGAGCAAAAATAGAAAAACAAATATGGGCTGTGGCATGAGAAAGTTACTCTCCAGAGTTTCAGTCCATTGAAGCAGAAATTGATTCTCTCATAAATACTAAAAAGTGAACCACAGCATTATTCCTGTCTGAATTCCTTCTGTGCATTCACACTGCCTTTATTCCCCTCTTTCCTTGTGTGACCAAGAGATGCTGTGCAAGTATCAATCACAGAGGGAAACATATCTGCATTGGTTCATAGATGTAAAATATGTGATTACATTTACCTTTTCTTAAATGAGATTATAGATCCTGCCTGCATTCATTTTTTAATTTGCTCTCCCATCTTGGTCTACAATCAACACTGTATGCTGCACATGATAAAAGTAGTTTGAGAGTAGTGGAAAAATCCATAGTTGTTGCTGCTTGTATCAGTAGAGAAATGAGATAAAAGCCATAGGTTTGCATGGATAGAATTCAGAAAATAGAATTGCTACTCTACAGGTAAAGATAAAAATGTGTTTTACTGAAGAAAACTTTGAATTCCATTTACTACATGCAGCATTCCTAGGAGTTGTTGAGTATTTATTTGCTCGCTTCAATTAAAACATATTTCTAATTACCAGATTGTTTGGTCTGCCACCAAACATAAAAATGAGCATCAGGAATAAATATAGATAAAATACTGTTTAAAATATTATTTTTTTTATATTTAAATTTTCTCTTTTCTGATACTGTAGCATCTCAATTTCCTTTCCCTAACCCAAGCTGTGTTGGAGTTGCTGCAACAGTATTCCTTTCACCACAGCTGCTTTTCAGGGACTCTCTCTGACATTCTAAGACATGTAAAAGTATATTTTGTTTGGGGTTTTTCTTGTATTTAGTGTGGGTTTTGTTTGGTTGGTGTTTTTAGGCAAAATCTGGGCCCAAATCTACCCTCGAGGTGGCCAAATTTCAGAGTTCTGTGCCTGCTAATAGAAGACACAGTGTTTGTGTTCAATATGACTGCTGCTTTATTTGGTACTCAGAAATTCCTTTATTCTTCAGAAAAAAAAGGGGCATTTAATGCACTTGCTGTTGGCTTCCAAATAAGCTAACACCAGAGAGAGAAAGTATTGCCTCTTAGACAGATTTGCTGAATGAGCTAAAGTCTTAAGGCAGGGAATTTGGCTTGTTAATATATTCTTTGTTTGAAATTGTAATTGGAATTTTGTAAGCTAACTGCAGCCTTTAGGAACTTCCCTTTTTGTCATGCTCAGTGAGGTTGATCTTGCCATTGCTCCCAAAGGAGCATAAAAATTTCTTTTAAAGAAACTATTTGTGTGTGCGTGCATGCTTTCCTTGTAAAAGAGCAGGCTCAAGGCTGAATAGTTGCACAGAGAAAACCACAGAAAACCACTTTATAGACAAGTTGTATATTGAAGATCACATGCACATACCTCAGAAACATTTGGCTGTCATCTTTTGAGGTGATGGCTTTGATGCTGCTGGTCTTGTCACACAAGCAGAAACAGGCATTTCATTTGGGCATGATTCAATTCACACTGGCATTTCTTAGGGGCCTTTTCCAGGATACTGTTCCAACCCTGCCTTGCTTTGTGATTTAGGTAGGGACATGAAGCTTTTGGGATCTTCTCAAGGAGAGGTGTTTTTCATTGTCTCTCTCTCATGAGGCATGATCCTGTTGAGGAAGAATGGCTTTGGGGATTTTTTGGGGTTTTTTATCCCCCTTTCCTTGCTTTCAGAGCTTAGAATTCACCTTACTTAGGCTGAGTCTTTGGGTCTCAGCCTCATAATGCATCATAAAATGTGGAAGGGTGAGGCATAGTAATCATAGGAGTTGGATTTACACTTGGAATATGACCCTGCAGGTATTTCCGCTGCATTGAAAGGCTGGATTGCTATTTCCATGTAAATAATTCTGGAGTAAGTGCATTCACAGCAGTTAAAGTAGCCTCTTTTGAAATCAGCTAATGTTTTAACTCCTCAGATTGCAAAGAAGAGCTCGAGCACCAGGCTGCTGCTCCTCACGTGTGGAGGATGATCCTAAGTGTGGGCTTACCCAATTTAACAGTACTTGAGGTTAGGTTCATAAGAAGCTACAAATGCAGTAAATACTTCAGTGTATCTCTTAAATGAAAAGATTAAACAAATGTTCATGGTTTCCATTTTTTTTTTTTCTGAGAACGATGACTGAAATGCAATTACATTGTTGTAATTGGTTTAGCTGTGGACTAATTTTTTAGCTAATTAAAATGGAATTGGCCTGATTTATTCACATGTGATCAACAGGGCAACAACTGTTTTAAGAGCTGTCAAAATATGAAAAATATTATAATAGCTTGGAAAGTATTTTAAAAGGATGGGACTACTTTAAAAACAACCATATAAAATAGCTGTTAGGAGTTGTAGTTGAGGAAATTTAATTCCCCAAATACTTGATAGCTTTACAGGTTCTACAGCTTGTTCAATAAAGAGGCTTAACCTACTCGAACTGTGTTTTGGGAGACATTTAAGCCTAGGAGTCTCTTTAGCAAGACTGATGGGACTGAAGGTCTCATTGCACCTTCAGGTTGAAGACTGCACTTTATAAACCCTTTTATCTTGGATCTTTTTGCTTTAACTCTTGGTGCTTTTATTTTCCTTGTCATCAGCCCCTCTTTTATCACTTTACCTAGCATATAACCCACTGTGCAGGAGTTTGTCATCCCAATTATGAGGTTAAGTAGGAACTTTTCATCTTCAAGATGGACCATTTGACTTTGATCTCGTGATTTAATTTTTGATAGTATTTATTTTCAGCTTTCATTTGGCTTCAGAATCATCATGTGTTTTCTATATTTGGCTGAAATAGTCTTTTAGTCTGTGGGTTTATTCTCTTTTAGTGAGGTGACAAACTCATGTACATGCTTTAATTAAATCACTGCAAATGTTTTGACTTGTGCCATGTAATGTTGGAGTCACTTTTGAAGATTGTATTTTGGTTTGTTTATTTTGGCAGCTTCTGAGAACTTTTTAAATCTTTGTGTTACTGACATTCTTTGATTTGTACAATGATGGCCCTGTAAAGATGGAGAGACTTTCAAGGCTACTTTTTCTGAGGTTTTGTTTTACCTGAGGTTTTCCAAAATTTAGACTCAAATATATTTCTTATGTTTTTGATGTTTCATTCATAATATTTCAATTTTGTTGAGCATAATTGTAACAGTTAATTTTTTTAGTGGTTTAATCATAGTCTCAGACTTGAAGTCAGGATCTAATAATGTGTATTAAGTGTCCAGTCTAAGCACTTTCTAAAACTGTGATCAACCCCTCAGACTTCTCAGAGAATTCTGATTTTCCCTGGTTATAGAGCTGTGTTCTTGTCATCTCACTCACACCCTTTCCACTGAAAGTACAAGTACCACAATGGCCTTTCACATCATTCTCTATTAATCATTTTGCACAATTTTATTTAAAAGTTCAGTCGGGCTTTAATGGATTGTTGATACATTTTCTTCTAAGAAATGTTGTGTAAGATGGATCAGAAAAAGGTATAGAAAAAGTTTATTAAACATTGCTCAGTATTGCAAGACATATTAAGGTACATCTTAAAATATAAAAAAAATTTCAAAATCTTAAATTATTTGTTCATTGTCTTATGTTCATTTGATAATTTAAAGAGATTCCTTGTACCTGCAGGACTGGCTCTGGTGGGACAGTTTAATATTCATGTTCACAGCTCCATCAGACCTTAATATTATATTTTCTATAAAAAGTGAAGTGAGGAGCTTTGAGGAGAGGGAATTGTATGGAGTCTGGTTTAGCCCAGGAACCTGATAAATGTTTTCTGCACCTTTAAAAGGAGGAACTGCTTTTTACTACAACAGGAAGATGAAAAAAAAAAAAAAAAAAAAAAAAAAAAAAAAAAGGAAAAAAAGCTTTCATTTAAAGGTTCAGCAGACATGAAGTTTTGTATCTTGCTTGGTCATAATCACTTCTCACCAGCACCTGAAATCATCAGAGCTTTGCTGATTTCAGGTGCTGGTGTGTCTCCAGCAGAGCAGATCTAAGCAAAGGTCGTGACCAAGGTGACACGAACAGAAATTGGGACATTGTGGGCTCTCAGTGACTGAAGTCTGGTTGCCTCAGGAATGAGGTGGTGAGGGTGCAGCAGCCTTGGTGGATGGTAAAACACCTGACAGCTGTCAGTGTTTTCATGGGAACAGCTTGGGGAAGGAAAAATAACACGGAAAAGCAAAGCACAGCAATGGCAGATGTGCTCAGAAAAGAGTAGTGGAATATTTGCCTATATTCTAGATCTCTTTATACTTTTGTTTTCTCTCTCTCTCTTTTTTGTAATCTGCATTTGTAGCCACATTGTTTTAATGTGTACAGATGCCAATTAACTTCAGAACATTCCTTTATCTGCTGTTTGATTCCTTGAAGCCATTGCGTGCATGTAGCTGTGCCAAATATTTTGCAGTATTTGTTCCTTTCATGAACGGGCAGATGAAATGCTGTGAGCTGATGGTGCAGTTTTTTGTGGTGGTACTATTATTATTACTATTATAGTATTGTGATCTGTAATTAATTATGTTTAAATATTACAACCCACAGTAACCAAAATAAGAGAATAATGTGCTCCTAACACAAGAGGAAAGTAATTGCTAAAAATTCATTTGTTTATGTTCCTAAAGAAAAAAAAAAAGGCAACTAAAAACCCCATTGTTTAGTTCTAGCATGACTGTTAAAGTTGCTTTTTATTTCTTTTCCCAGGTGATAATGCCTGCCGTGTTAATAATGGAGGCTGCAGCACTCTTTGTTTGGCCATTCCTGGAGGCAGAGTTTGTGCCTGTGCTGATAATCAGCTTTTGGAGGAAAACAGTACAACCTGCATGAGTAAGATTCTTACAGAATATCTGAGTTGATGCTGCTGTTAAGGGATCAAGTCAGACCTGAAAATAAAACCAGATAGTGTGGCCTCCTAGAGGGTCCATAAGACAAAGAAATATTACTTGAATAAATATTCTAGTTTCAATTTACAGAATATAAAAGCTTTTCCAAATAAAACAGAATATTAAGTACACTATTTAAGGATAAAATGCATTGGAAACTATTTCAGCATATCTGATATGATAAAGAAGTTTCAGTTCACTGAAATATTTTTAAAATATCATAAATGGATACATATAATTATAAAATTAAATATATATTTCAGATTATTCTAAGTATCTTAAACAGAAAGTCTCCAGCAATAAGCTTAGTAGAGATGAGTAAAGCATAAGGATTATTTCATAACATCATGAACATTATGGAGCCTGCAATGACCAGGCAGGGCTATCACTTTTGTTTAAAATAAAGCTATTTTTCTTTTTAGCAGTAGTAACTGGAATGGGGACTCCTCACTGGTAAGATGGAAGGCATTAGGAAGAGAGGTTAGAGACTTTGAGATTGGAATAGGGCAGGTTTCCTGTTGTTTTTCTTCCCAACACACATCCCTGCCTGGCTCTTTCCAAGGACTGTGGTATTCCTCAGAGGGTCCTGGTCTCGTGTGTGGCATTTACAAATGAAGCATTTGAACCTGATATTGAGGAGAACATCTGTCTGGATTTATTAATAAGCTGCTAGCTTGCTACTTACTCTACCCCAGCAGAATTTTATCCTTTCTTCTCTGCCGAGTTTGTACCAGTGCATAATGCAGGTGTTTGAGTTGTTGCTTGGATACAAGAATCAGCTTTTTAGTAATCATTTCCTGTCTCTAAATGTGCGCCAGAATTTGGCCAGTGTCTGTCAGAATATTTCCTGTTTGCTGTTGATGAGGTATTGCAATATTTAAACTGATACTTTACACTGTAATCGAAGCACCAATTCGAAAACCAGTTTGAGTGCCATTCTGTTCAGAGTTTTTCTGTTAAAAGTTCATTCCTTCAACCACACACTCAGATATGTGTGCCACTACAGGCTTCAGTTGGGATTACCTCAGATGCACCAAGTTTAGGTAAACATGTTCTGAATGCGAGAACGAGAATTGGTATTTCCCTCAATTTAGGAAGCACACTGAGATGCTTGAGCATCTGAGTGTCCAGAGGAGGGCAATGAGGCTGGAGAGGGGCTTGGAACACAAACCCTGTGAGAAACAACTGAGGGAACTGGGGGTGCTCAGCCTGGAGAAAAGCAGACTCAGGGGTGACCTTATCACTCTCTACAACTCCCTGAAAAGTGGTTGCAGTCAGGTGGGGCTGGGCTCTTTCTCCAGACAGCACTGACAGAACCAGAGGACACAGCCTCAAGCTGCACCAAGGGAAATTTATCTTGGATATTAGGAAAAAGTTTTTCATGGAAAGAGTGATGAAGTTCTGGAATGGCCTGCCCTGCAAGGTGGTGGGGTCACCATCCCTGGACGTGTTTAAAAAAAGACTGATGCCAGGGTTTAGTTGAGGTTTTGGAGCTGTGTTGGACTCGATGATCTTGAAGATCTCCTCCAACCCAGTGATTCTGTGAGTTCTGTGATACGTATTTATGCAGGGGCAGCATTGCATTCTGGGTGTATCAAGCAGATAAAGAGATGTTCTTGTTGGATGTTTTCCCCAGTTCAAGAGGGAGAAGTGCTGCCCCAGCTGTGCAAGGCGGAGCAGTTCCAGTGCAGCAACAAGCGCTGCATCCAGGAGCGCTGGCGCTGCGACGGCGACGACGACTGCCTGGATGGCAGCGACGAGCACTCGGAGATCTGCTGTACGTAGGCACTTCCCTTTTACCCCACAATCCATGCTCAGCTTCAAGGATTGCAAACCAAACCATGCAGCCAAACTAAAGCAATCACCCTGCAGCCATTCTTGCAAATCTTTCATTTCCTTCTTTTCCTGTGTGCAGGAATGGCAGCCATTTCAAATCTCGCTGGTGCACTCGTTGCATAGCACAAGGCCAGAGCAGTCATCTTTTGGAATTGGCATTGTCATTCCTGATTCTTTAAATATTGTTGGGTTTTGCTTTGCTTTTCACTATTTCTTACGTGGGTTGCAGTATAACACCCAATGGGAGGGAGTGGAAAAAGAGAGCCAGGCTCTTCTTGGTAATGTCACTAGCAGGACAAGAGGTAATGGGCACAAACTGAAAAGCATCAATTTTAAATCTTGCCTGCCTCACACAGGCCGGATTCTGCTGATAGAAACTGATCTTGTGATCTCTGTAATGCCTAGACCTTTTGCCATATGGCTGTTAAATGGCCAGTTTTGGATTTGTTTTGTTACATTGTGGGGTTTTTTTACAGCATTTATGGATTTTGGTAGCTCCATGTAGTAGCCAATGCTGATTTCAGTAATATTTTAAAGAATATTTTCCTGGTTTTGAATTGTAGTGCTCTCATTTTGTTTTGAAACCAGCATTTCCTGCACTTAAATTAAGGAGCTTAGCTAATAAAGAGAGTGAGAAGGAAAATCTTTTGGCAGATTTCACTTGTTTGTCTTTTAAATTAGTGTAAGGAAGACCAGTTCATTGATCAAAGCTTGCAATTCTCTGAGGATTTATACAAATATAAATGAAATAATAAACTGGTCTTAAACCTGAACATGATCTATAGTTTACACGGCCTGTGTGATAACATTGATCTCTTCTCAGCAGTTGCCATGGTAACTCCAATAGTCCTTTATGAGTTTGAAATATTTGCAATTATGAGTAGAATACACATTACTAAATATATATTAGCAAAAGCTAATGACCATTTAAAGCAGTGTCTATGTCAAGTATTTAAGTCAAATTTAAAAAAACCTAATTCTTCGACTTGTGATTTTATTACTTGGAAGCTCCCAGTTTTGTTCTCCAGTCACATTGCAAACTTTGGAAGAACGGAAGATTTGGGACACCTTTCTGCTCAGGTTATTAATTAATCTCTGCTTCCTGTGCTTCTGCACCCTGCACACAGACCAGGGCTCGTGTGCTTTTGATATCACCCTCGCTCTGTGTCGTCTTCAATTGCAAGAATAGACAGAAAGGTCAAAGAAAAAAGCTACTGAAATGTCAAGGATAAGCCTGCAAGACATCCTTTCATTTTAAATACCCTTTGTTTCCAGATGTATGTTAAACTTTAAAAAAGAGCCTGTGGATGGCTGAGTAGGTGAAAAATAGCTGGAGATTATTTTTAACCCAGTCTTTGGAGCAGTGTGCAGTTTACTGTTCTTGGCTAGATCGAGATGAGCAAGATCTGCTAATAATAGATGTTATTAGCATGAAAGAAGCAGAACATAAACACTTACTACAGTTGCAAGAGCAGGCCAATAGTATTTACATAAATCCTGTGCATTCAGCTTCATCCCTTCCTTGAGAATTGGTAGCCAGCAAAATCATATTTGAGAGATACCTTGTTCGCTCCTGAATACCAGATTTTTTTTTTTTGGTAGTTTTACACCGTGTTGCATATTTCACTTTTTGACACCTACAATTTCATGGTGAGTAAACAGCAGATCTATATGTGGCCATTGGCAGTAATGTGCCTCATTTTAGAAGCATTTTATGACCTGCCCAAATCCCTGCTCACTGTGGTGTCATATTTTGGATCTGCACTTAGCAGCTTGCAGCTATTCCCTTTGGTATTTTCCTTTGTTTATATGCACTTTAGTTTGCAAATCTCATCATACTGCCCAAAAGTGATTAAGAACATATTTCTTTAAGGAAACAACTCTATAAAATGCTGCTACCTTTTATCACCTAATAGAAGAGGATCCCCATATTGGCATTTTTACTAGATATTATTTAATTTATGATTGAAGCACTGCAATGTTTGTAATTGACTGGTTTGCTGAACAATCTTTATGTCATGGTAGTTATACATACGAGATAACCACACTAAATGCATCACTAGGGAACAGCATTTAATGTGTTCTTTTCACAGATTTCACAGCTGTTTTTGTCAGGTTATCTTCTTAGGGAAAAAAAAAACCCTCTCTTTTTTTTCTCCCCAGTCAATCACAGCTGTCCTGATGATCAGTTTAAGTGCCAAAATAATCGCTGCATTCCCAAGAGGTGGCTTTGTGATGGAGCTAATGATTGTGGTAATAACGAAGACGAATCAAATAAAACTTGTGCAGGTAAAAATTCTACTTGGTTATGCAAACAGGTTCTCTAACTTCAGTTAGAATAGTTCAGGACTGATTTGAACTAAACTGAACCAAGCTGCTACTTTTAATCTGATTATTGAAATTTTAAATGAATTCAGATTTTGATGCCACTGAGGCTGGAACACATATTATATTTTACTTAATCCATGTGCTTGGCTGTGCTTTCCAAAGTTATTCAGCTCTTAATCTCTCCATATGGGTCGACTGTCAAAGCAATGCTCAGGTACAAACTCTGAGGTACAAATCTTTTTTGGCAGTTAGAACTTTTTTTATTAACGTGCTGTGATGGTGTCATGTCACCAGTAAATTTTATTTTCTGCTGATTTAGTTTATGCATAATTAGTTATTCAGTTTCCACTCGGTGCCTTGAAATTCTTTTCATTTCTGAGTTATTAACTGGTGAGTGGGTTTTTAAGCAAACAGCAAGATGAAGATTGTTTACTGATTCCACTGTAGTAAATCATGGAATTCCCAAATCTGTCCTTTGCTTGTGTTGAAGTGATGTTTAGTGCTTGTTGTCAGAGTACTCTAAACAAGCATTAAATCTCAAATATGCAACATGCCAGCCATCAATAAGCTGATGAGTGTTTTGAACTGAAGTGCAGTGCAAGACAACACACATTGTCTATTAAAATATTCCCTGTTGCCTTACTGCCTTGATATTATTTGATATCCAGCTGTTTGCTTGTAGGGTGAGAGTCTAATGTGAAGACCATTTTTTTTAATCCTGTGTCAGTTGGCAATAGAACAAATTTTGTATTCTTGTTTTTCCATTTATTCCTGCAGTGGCAAACACAGTTAATGTTTAAAAAATTACTTGAAAATATTTTAAACTTAGATTCCTCTTTTGTGTTTTGGGCTACTTTTCTGAAGAAAAAGGAAAATGGTTGTTGAAAATAATAAGTGAAGAAATATTATTTCAGTCACTGGGGTTTTTGACATATCAACCATTTTTCCATTTTTTAAAAGTGTAGAATAACATGCAGGTGAGTTCTAAAAGCTTAAATTTGGAAGCAAAATCTGTGTTGCTATCTCTGGTATTGGTATGGATTCAATTTTTAAATATACAAAATTATACGTAATGACAGTTTTCTATGTTAGCTTTTTAGTGACATTTTAGTATTCATCAGCTTTCAAAGTAATTTCTGTAGCTACATAACACAAATTCTTTTAGTGATCCTTATCTCTTCAGGAGAGAGACACGCATTGATTCCTTTAATGGATGATTGTAGTTAAGTGTTTGCAAAGGCAAGGATTCCAAGAAAGTGAGGCCAGGCACATCACACACAGGCTAATTCCCATTTTCCTGTGTAAATACAAAATTCAACAAGATCATTGTTCATGGTGTGGTTGTTAATATTCCAACTGGTGGGCGTTTTTATGACCTGATTTTTGTTTACTTCAAGCATTAGTGTATATTAATTCTCTTCTTATCACCTTACCACCTGTTGCACAGTTGCATCTAGAATTTAATGTCATTTTATGAGGAGAAACCACTAATAATTCCACACAGCAGAGGTAGAATACAGCCCTGCAGATAACCTCAGCTTTCTCTGAGATCAAAGGAGGTGGATGATGTTTAGTCAGAGCAGGGGAAAGGTGCAGCAGGCCAGGAGGTGCCCTCCAGCCCTGCAGCTTCTAAAATCAGACACCCACCAAGAGACCTAAAGGATCTAGTCCATTTCCCTTGTATTTTTGGAGTGCTTTGTCTTGACAGCAAGAACTTGTCAGGTTAATCAGTTTTCTTGTGGGAACGGACGGTGTATTCCAACGTCGTGGCTGTGTGACAGGGAGGATGACTGTGGAGATGGAACTGATGAAATGACATCCTGTGGTAAGTGGATTTTTGGTTTTGGGTGGGAAAGGAAAAATTCTTCTGTAACATATAGAACATATAGGGATCTCTCGGCAAATGAAATGATAACACTGTTTTTGAAATGGCAAATAGACTTTGTTTGGTTGATAAATAAACCCAAAGCAAATGCAGCATTTTCTATTTAATGAGTTTTTAACTGCAATACCAAATATGCAGATAAATCAAGACTTTTTTTAATTTACAGCCCATTATCAAATGCTGTCACCCTCAAAAATTATTCTTTATCTCTGCCACATACCTCTCCACATGGGCCCCCTCAGCATATTCTAGATGTCAATAAAATCAGCCTGTTTCAAGCCTTAACAGAAGTATATTTGATCCTGTATTTTTGAGAAAAAACCAAAACAAACCAACAAAAATTGGTTCTATCATGAGAGAGTATCAGCAGCTGTGCTGACTGCTGCTTTGCTGAGATACTGCAGAGAGGGGTGTGCTCTCTCTAATCAGCTGCTTCCAAACAATTAAGGATTTTAATAGTCACTTGTTTTGCAGGGCACTGGTGACTGCTGTGAGTCTGAGAGCATGAGGGTCAATGGGCTGTCTGCAGATGCAGAATCACAGATCATGATGCATTGCAGTGTAGAAGCACAGGGTGGTGGGGGTTGGAAAGGACCTTAAAGACCATTTTGTTCCAACCCCCTCCCTGGGCAGGGACACCTCCCACCAGGCCAGAGCTCCATCCAAACTGCCACTGAGCACTTGCAGAGATGGGGCAAAAAATGAAGTCTTGGCATGAATAAGAATAATAATATTATTAAGGTAGGCTTCCAATTGCCTTGTTTCAAATCAAAAAAGTTCAGTTGTGTACAGAGGCAGGAGGAGTGACCAGGGGATTTGTATTTTGCAACCTCTCAAGTTCTGACTCTCAGTTTAATGGCACAGCATTGACTCTCCGTGCTAGAACAGTTCCTCTGCCTCTACCCCATGTTCTCAGGCATGTCAGCAACACACAGATGTTACTGGCACCTTTGGAAATCCTTCCTGTGAGCTTTGTTCAGCATCTTCTCAGCTGACCTGGAACATTTCTTCAGATGTTTTAATCAGTGTTTATGTCACTGGCTGTTTTTCTGTGTAGCCAAACTTGACATGTTTCATATTTTAGCATCTTGTTTCGTTATCTTCAAACACTGTGGCTGTACAAATACGTCAAATATTTCATTTTTCATCCTGCCCTATAATTTGATCACTAATGGGCATGCTAATGGCATTTACTTACGTGTTGTGTTTAGTGGGACATATTTCCTTCTATGAAACTGTTTACAATTCTTGTACCCCTAAGGACAAAAGAGAGAAGTGAGATTGGTGTCTACACTGTGAGAGACCCCACGGGGAGCTCAGGAGTCACCTTTGCTCATTTCTGTGTCTCCAGGGCACTCGGGACAGGGCTGGGTGTGGGTCAGCTGCAGGATGTGCAACTCTGTTCTGTGAAGTAGGAAAGGACCTTAGGGACAACGAGGGGAAGTGCTGGGTGTCCTCTGGGATGTGAGCAGGAGCTATGGCTAATAAAGGCTGGGGCAAACTCTGGAGATGCTACAAAACATTCTTGGGAAGGCTGTGCTGGGCTGGGAGTCATGAGCTGGCTAGTGGTGGTGAGGGTAATCACAGTTTATTTTAATCAGATTCTGTCCCTTTGTACAGATGAACATAAAGAAAATTAAGTTGTGGAGGCATTCATGTATGGAAAAGAGGAAAATTACATTTAATGAATGAGTTAAATTTGTGGAAAAATTATTTGAAAAAGCAAAATCTAAAGTTGCTTTCAGCTTTGCTTGAAGCACATGGGGCACATATTGTGGCTAAGCACTACTGCAGTTGTACACTTCCATTTTTTTATTGGAACAGATTTTTTTGGTCATTTTAATGATTATGTTTAGCGAAAAAAAACAAAACAAACAAAAAACCCAAACCACCAAAACCCCTTATACCAACAAACCCAAAACAAACCCAACCCAAAACCAACCAAACAAAAAAAAAGCAAGAACTTTCTAGAGGTAACAGACAAAGTGTTGTCATCAATACTAACTTTTTTTTCTTACCCTTTTCACCTTTGAAGCATGATAATCACCTCTGTTCAATCAAGTTCTTGGTGCTCTCTATGTAATTTTTAAATAAAAATTCATTTTGTTTTAAATCTCTTATTACATGCAGCTGGTTTGGTTTAGTGCTTCATCACAGTGTCACTCTTTTTGAGCCAAAACTTTGTGAGGTTCAGTGAAAACAGAGTGATTTCAGTTCTCATCCTAAGAGAGTTCTATATTTAGGTGGCATGGTTTAAAGATTTAGAAAAAACCTTCAGTATTTCTCAGAGTGCTTAGCAGGTTAATAATAAATTCACACATCTACCTCTGTAATTGGCTTTAGAAGAAAAAGAAGCTCGGAAAAATTCAGACTTTATTTACGTTACTTTATTCAGAAGAATATTAGATAATTATAGAAACAAATATGTGTATTCAATACAGATGATTCTTTGTGAATTATATTGTCTCAGATTTCTACTGCTTTACTGGAATGCTGGGAGGAATTCCTTGTGAAGGCTGACATTTTAATCTTCTATTTTATTATGCCAGTGTAGAGTAACTTTATTTCTTGGCTGTTCTTTAGCTGGGTACTTAACCTTCCCATTTTATAGTGCTCCATTTCCTGTCTCTGCCTGGCAGTGCTGCTGCAATTGGAGAACCCTTCTGTAAATAAGCACATGGAAAATAGAGTTTGTATCAGTCATCAAGCTATGGTTAGTCTTAAATATTGGTATAGTGGAAAACCAGCCTTGGTCTGATGGGAATATAGGACCATTTATCACAGAGGAATGAATTTCATGTTGATGAAAAGTAGGGTTGGGACAGTATTTAAAGTTTGAAGCCATTTTATCTTTTCATTTTGGTTCTCACCTTTTTCTCCTCTCCAGATTAAATACCTGGAAGGTGCAAATGTTTGCTACAGCACACTTGTGTAATTTATGCATACAGGAAGGTGACAGAATATTACTGAAGAGAACTGTTAAATTATGTTAAATAGTTTTATTTCTTTTTGAACACTTTCACAGAATTCCCAACATGTGAGCCACTAACTCAGTTTATCTGCAGAAATGGAAGATGCATTAGCAGCAAATGGCTCTGTGATTCAGGCAAGTATCAAGTCCTCTGTATCTGAAATAAATATGAGGGATATCACATAAATATTGCTTTGATGTTCTTTTTTTCTGAGACTTAAATTGTCACCTTGGCTTGTAAGTGGTCAGAGAATAGATAAAGCATTTTAGAATTACTGACCTGACACAGAAATCAGCAATACTGAAGGTTCAAATAAGGAATGAGGCATTGGATATTGTAATGGGTACAAATACTATATTATGTAGAATGAAGTATGATGATTCATTACTAAGAAAAAAAAATAAAAGGAAAGCAAAGCTATTGCTTATGAAAGTGTTTTCTGTTCTTAGAAAACATGATTTCGGTGACCAATATATCTGATTTTTTGCTCTTTGTGGACAAGTTCAGTTAAATAGCATCCTTGAAGAGTGAAGGCCAGCAAAACTTTACAATGTATTTAGTTCTTTTGGCTGGAAGAGCACATATTTGAATGTTAAAATAAATCTCCTCTCAGAGCTTGTGGTGTGGGAGTGATGTTGCTCCAGTCCTAATAACATTCGGTTGGTCCAAAGCATTTGTTGTTTCTATAATTTTATTTGTCTGACAGGAATTTTTAGCTGTAAATGAACAAATTCCCGAAATTATCACAGTGTGCTGGTGAATTTCTGTGCATGGAGACCCTTTAGAGTGTACCTAACATATTTATCTCCTTCTTCCTTTGATGACCACAATCAAATTACGGGAATTGCCTTAAGACTGTTGTAATGACTGCAACATTAGAGTAATGAGAAACTGCAGTCCATGATTATTTATGTGCTTTCTCCACTTTGGATTCTTGTAAGCACATGGAAACAAAGTTTAACAGCATTGAAAATAAATTCTTCAGGTTTTCATTTTAGTTTATATGAAGCTGTTTGTGTCTGTGATTAAATATCTTAGGTTATCACAGAGAATAAAGTAAACCAACTGTGTTTGAAAGCCTGTGTAGTTACACACAGTTTAAAAAATTAAGAAAATATCCAGGCTTCTCATGCTTGCTGGTGTCTCTGATTGAGTAACTCCAAACTCCTTCCTGTCTGACAGATGTGAGTAAGGGGTTAGACTGTCCAAAATGACTGAGTTGAGTGCTGTTGGTAAATAACATCCAAAGTATTACATTATAGTAGTGCATTAGAAATAATTTGATACCTATTGGCATAAAGCATTCTACATTATTTACTGGATTTTCATTTTTCTTTTGCTTTTTCAAACTGGTTTCCCCTCCTTCCCTATTTCAGTCAGAAATTTTATGTTTTAGAATATTTTAAAATGTTGTTTGCAGATGATGACTGTGGTGACGGCAGTGACGAGCTGGGCTGCGTTCACTCGTGCTCTGCTGAGCAGTTCAGGTGTCAGAATGGCAGATGTATCCCAGGTCACTGGGCCTGTGATGGTGACAATGACTGTGGAGACTTCAGTGATGAAACCAAAACAAACTGCAGCAGGGAAGGTTAGATTTTATTTTATTTTTTCCTTCCAAGTTTTTAATACTTATAAACACAGAGAATAATTTGTTATAAATACCTGACCTCCAGCCAATGGGAAAAGAGGAGATGCATTTAACCTTGGTAAAGGCTGGAATGGGCAGTATGTCAAGTGCAATGTGATAGCACAGAAGTGTATCATGAAAAGGAATGCATTTGAAAACAGAACAGGTATTACAGAGAGATAAGTTTTACAGTTTTACTTCAGGGAATTAGGATAGATGTGGTGTTTGTTTTACTGCAGAGATGCATGCTGTCTAGGTGAAAAGACAGTAAGAACCATTCTTTAAGTTATTATTGATATTTTCTGATACTCTCATTTTTGTGTGATGCAAGTCTTGTGGGGTTTTTTTTACATAAAAGCATTTTATCAAACTACAGCCCTATTTAAATGCCATACATTGTATTTATTTGACTGGGGAGAGAAAGGAAGGATGCTTATGGCAAAAGATAAAGAATAATCAGATTAGAATGAAGGAATATCTTTCATATTTCCCTACTAACATTTTTCTACAACAAAGTAATTGTACACAATGTTATTGGTCCCTTTTCATAACTTTATATTTTAAATCTAGTTGGATACCTCATACAAATGCATGAATTATCAGAATGCCATATCAATTTTATATAGTCACAAGAGTAATTTTTCATCTATCTCTATCAAAATGATCAGTCTGGAACTGAACAACCCACTTTTACCCCTGTTCATTTCCATTTTAAACTTAAAGCCTTGCTCTAACCTTTTACAATAGAATACAAGAATGCTGATTATGTAAGGAAAAAAGCCAACAAAGCAATGTTAAATAAAATGTATATTTATAAACAGTGCTATAAGAATTGATTCAAATAATGCTTCTTGGTACAAGCAGGGAAGTATAAGTATGCCATTACTTTAAAGTTCATGTTATTGTCGTTAGTAGGTTATTAAATAATAGAAATACAGTTGTAATAGCTTGGGAAAAGAAAAGCAAGAATAAAATTGAAATGGCCATAAGCTAGAAAATGCTTAGAGAATTTATGTATGTAATGAATAATTAAAACCTCCCAGTAATTATTGTTTGAAGCAGTCAGCACTGAGTGCAGCCCCTTTGCTGTGGGGTTTGGAACACTCCAGCTGCTCCTGCAGTGCTGTGGCAGCACAAACCAGCAGCTGTGGGGGCCTTGTGAGAACACAGGTGGGACCTTTCAGGTTCTGTCCATTAGATGGACCTTGTTGGGTAAAAAAGGAGAATGAGGAAGGATGAGGGAAACCAGCTCGAGGATTAAGCACAGGGCAGTCAGCACTGAGTGCAGCCCCTTTGCTGTGGGGTTTGGAACACTCCAGCTGCTCCTGCAGTGCTGTGGCAGCACAAACCAGCAGCTGTGGGGGCCTTGTGAGAACACAGGTGGGACCTTTCAGGTTCTGTCCATTAGGAGATGGACCTTGTTGGGTAAAAAAGGAGAATGAGGAAGGATGAGGGAAACCAGCTTGAGGATTTATAAAACATCAGGGAAAACTTCATTGGCCTTGTTCCTCCTCCATGTACCTCCAAACTCTTTCCTGTCTGACAGGTGTGAAAAAAAGAAATAAAAATCAGTATTGTGCATGTGCTGGAGGGGGAGTGAAGGAAGTGAGGAGGATAAGAGTGAGTTTGTCTGAAGCCTGTGTTGGAGTGATGAGTTATAGGATGGAATAGGGCATTTTGACTGTTATACTTGGGAACTCTGATTTTGGCTTGGGTAAGGAAGAGGATTCTAAGCCAGTGTAGACTTGGAAGGGGAAAAAACCTCACACGAGCAAATTCTTCAATGTAATTCTTATTTTTCTAAGAAACTCCCTCTCCTGGAAGGTGCAGTGGGAGGGAATTTCAGTGCAGTCCTGACGGGAGCTGCGTTCCTGAGCTGTGGCGCTGCGATGGAGAGAAGGACTGTGAGGATGGCAGTGATGAGAAAGGCTGCAATGGAACTCTGAGGGTGTGTGATGAGAAAACAAAGTTCTCCTGCAGGAGTACAGGTAGGGGCTTGCAGATGCATTTTCCTCTCACTCTGTGTGTGTTTGTGTGAGTTTGTGTTGTTTCGTCACATATCTACTCTTTAACTAATGCTTGATACTGATGAGGTGGGGTTACTCGTATTCCTACCAAGGAAATAATATTGGGTTGCACATCCTGTTTTCTGATTTACAAGATGAAATGGATGAGTTTTGAGGTTACTTAAAGCTGAGACCACTCTCTATGATAGTACATCACACCAAATACTTAAATAAAGCATTTAATAGTAGTACATCACACCAAATACTTAAATAAAGCATTTAATAGTAGTCCAAAGTTCAGGTATTTTCTTCTATTTCGCCTTTCTGGCCCCAGAAATAAGTTGAATAAAATAGTATAAAGTACCTTGAATACTTTGAAGAATTAAACTACAGCACTGGAAATTTGAAGTGCAGTATTGGAAGAAAAATACCTTCTTTGATTGTCTTTAATTTTTTTTTCTCTACTACGCTAAAAGGTGGGATAAGAATGTGGCAATCATTGCATGAGGATATGCAGTGATTTAAACTATAATGTTTAGAGGGAGCTTTTGTTTTAGGGAAAGTCCAGTTAAAGAATAAATTAATATATGTCAGCACAGTATTAATTTTTTTTGTGATTTCTATCAAAGCTTTGTGTGCTATTAGGGTTATAACAACTTTCACAGCAATATTTAAGGGCTATAAGAAGTAGGAATATTGTTGCCATTGGGCAACTACAAATATTGAAGGAAGCTAGAACTCATTCTAATGCCTGTGTTACAGTTCAGCACAATAAATGTGTCAGAAGGGTTGTGTGATCTCTGTCCAAAAGTATCTTGCTGTTACTTGGACTTTAAAGTTATAAAAATCATGATGTCTTGAAAAAGAAATATGGAATACTGAATTGTGTCTAAAAAAACCATTTTCTTCTGTGTCCCTGAAGATGTGTAGAATAAGCAGCTGTTAAATGAAACTTTTTCTAGAAGTAAAAATGGATTATTCAATTCCAACAGAGTGGTCTCTTTCCTGAAACTGAGTGATGGAAACCCTGATACAGGAAATAGCACCAGGAGCACATGTATCTCCTTGTGCCTAAATGGGGAAAAGCTAACACCAGTCCAAGTGACCAAAGCAGAATTATTAGAGGCAAGAAAGGTGAATAAATCACAATAGATGAGGTTTATTTTCATCAGCTGCATTTGGAAAGCTAATGAGACAAGATATTACTACTTCAGTTAAGAAGAAGCAGAGATTAGTTTAGGGGCAGTGTGGAATACAAAACAGAGTGCAGATTTTAGTTACTAGGCTTTATTCCTTTCAGAAAAGTTTGCTTCTTAGGCTGGGCTTTGGTTTGTTACTTGTCCTGAATGATTTTAGATAAAGAGAATGGAAACCCCTTCTGGTGGTAAGCTAAGATTTTCCAAATATGGCTGCCATAATAACAGGAAATAACAAGGATTTAATTTCAGCATCATTGTCTGAATGAGTTGTTTTGTCAACAAAGAACTAGGTCCTCACTTCAAAGTCCACAGTCCAAGCAGCATTCCCTCATTGTGTACTTCCCAATGCTTGTAGTCAGGTTAAAGGAGGGCACTGCCTCAAGTGTACAAGGTGAAAGGTGACTTCTCTGGCTGTCACATAGAAATACAACAAAACCAAAAATTTTCATCAAAACTTTGCTAAATTCAAGGGTATATGGCTTTGATTTGAGGGAAAATGCAATTGTGCTTGTTTGTTGTGTTGAAACACCACTGGAGCAACCAGTTATGACTGTCATAATTTTCTCTTTTGCAATATTCCTTCCTCCTGGAAGGAGCAAAATTTGGAGGAGGCATGTAGTAATGCACTGTAGCAGAAAACAGCAAAGGCACATTTTTATTTAGCTACTTTTTAATTTGTTCCTTGTGGTTTGGACAAAGGAGTAATAAGGGGTTTATGAGAAATAGTTTCTGGAATGTTTCAGAAGAAGTGTAATTTTCTCTGTGCATGATTCTAAAGAAACAATGATGTCTGGCTTGTGCATTTCTGGCAGCTGTTCTGGAGAGGAGGCACTGGCTAATTGTCCCCTCAGAGATTGCTGGGTGGTGACATCCGATACAGAATGTGATGGCTCTGTGTAGGAACATGTGTGTGGAGGGAGCTGAAACAGCCAGTACTTCAGGAGGGGAGTGGCAGCTGGTGAGAACAGTAATAGTGAGATGGTACTGCCCATTTTTTGCTTATTTCTTTCCATTTTATGTCTGTAATTAGTAGCTGCATGGTCTTTCCTTACTGTGGCTTTTGGGGCTTTGGTCGATGTGTCACAATGCCACAGGGATGATTGCCAAGCTACAAAACCAGGATTTGTCAGCATTTAGCCAAAAGGGATTTTGCTGTTTACAGGGATGGTGATCTCAAGAACCTGTCATACCCAGCTCCTCTTCCAATATTCCGTTAAGGATCTATGGCAGAGAGTATTCTAAAGCTTACAGAGATGGCCTTTTGTCATTTGCCTCTAGTAGTTGAACATTTTATTCCTAACAAGTCATCTGACTCCTTTGGATATTGAATGACTTATGGGTCCCTAAAAACATTACTTGTTGAATAAAAAAAAAAACAACTTTTCTTCTCTCCTTGCACATCTTCCATTTCTGTCGTATGTTTTTAAGCCTTTATTATTTCTGTTGGTCTTGCTGGAACTGTCCAGCCTGGGCACTCCTTGAGCTCCTGTGTCCAAAGTCAGCCAAAATGCTGCAGGTACTTGTGCTACCAGGTTTCAGAATTGTTTTTCTAATTTTTTTTCAAAACAATCCTATGTTTTTTTGTAGTGATGTGTGATGAAAAATGTACTAGATGTTGCACAGCAGTAGAATGTGAGAAGGAGTCATTACCTGATTGAGATTGACTACTCTTGGGCTGCTGCTAGCCCATTATTTTCTAGTTTTAAATTAGATTAGGCTTCTTTTAAATTAGACTAGATTAATTTAAATTGTACAAAGGTCCAACTTTTTATTTTAAATTCTGATTCTGTCCACCAAAAATTATTACAGGCATGTACTTCAGCTCAATTGTATGTACTACATAAATTTATCCTTTTTATTCCATCTCCCTACTTTTCAGTTAATAGTGCTGCACCAAGAGCAGAATCTGTGCAATCTCACTTAAAATGTCATCTAATTACTCTAACAATCATAATAAAGTACTTCTGTGAAAACAAATGCAAAAGAGCCGTGAATACTTCAGTTTAGTAAGCAGTACATCTGAGCTGTAATGCTTATTTGTTGCTTACTGTTCTTTTTATTTTTTCAAGCAGCAGTTGATGGTATCCCACCATTTTTGATGCTATTCTGGACTTTTTTTTATACTTTGTTTGTTTTGTTTGTTATTTCCTTACATGTAGTAATATATTAGAGGGGAGAAAAGATTTTGAGGAAAGAAGCAGTATTGGTTTGGAATGGAAAATAAGGAACACACATAGAGGAAATCAAATCAATGGGTGCAGATCACAGTGATGCTGGAAGAATAGAACAAAAGCAGCCCTGGTGCTGTCTGGATGGGGATTGTCAGAGTCCAGATTAGATTTGTGACAAAAGAACCTGGTGCAGAGGAAAGCTGGAAAGGAAAGGTTTTCCAGAAATGTGATGAGAAAATTGGTAGAGTTTTTATCATTTATCATTTTAGTTCATGGCCACATTGTTTTCTTTGGTATCAGCACTCTTCTTCTTAGGCTTGTTTTTTTGGTTTTTTTGTGGTTTTTTTTTTTTTTTTCTCCTCCTGTCTCATCCAGGAGTCATTTATAAACATCTCCTTTGTACTAAATTCTTTAAATTGAGAAATGACCACATTTTTGAAACAATGTGATTCAGTCTGAGTCCGATGTGTGTTCTACAGGACAAGCGAGATCACCAACCACCACAACATTTTGTAAAATATGTCAGATTGGAACATTCTGTAATGTAGATGAGACAGAGATTGAGTCCATGCTATAGTTTAGGAAGGTGTTATATTACAGCTTTAGGCAGTAAGAATTAGCCGTAAGAGGAAACAGCAATTAATGCTCCACCAAAGTAGTTTTCCTGTGGTTTAAGATGTATTCAGTCAAAAAACCTCCTGGGTTCAATATTCTGAGGAAGACTGAAGGGGTATATAAATAGTTAATTCTGTTGCTAAAATTTGTAGGAAATTAAAAAAAAAAAAAAATTGGAGAAGCATTTGGATCAGGCTTTCCCACCTAGCTGCTGCTCAGGCCTCCTGATTCACTGTGTTACACAAAAGAACTTTGGAAAAGGGCAGATACAGCTATTGAGGCAATTAATTTATGATGGAATTTAACTAAAGAGGTTCCTGGAAACCAGAAGTGTGAGTTTCACTAAGGGGCAATAAAGGAAAAATACTTCAGTGAATTTTAAGTAATGATTTCAAGACAGTCATAATATTTCATTAAGTCCATCTCTTTAGAATCTTGGCAAAGATTAATTCCTCAAAAGTATATTCTACTTAAGAACTTGTCATATCTATCATAATGAAAGATGAATCTTTCATTATAAAACATATCTTCACTAAGGTACAAGGAAGACAGGGAAACTGATTTTCTCTGTAAACATTTGAATGCATTAAAGATTAAAATAACAGATTAGGAGCACTACTGGAAGCAACTTCAATTTACTTTGGGTTATGGTTGGTTTGGTTCATGTTGGTATTTTCCATTAGCTTGCATTCTACTGCTGTGTTATAGTAATATATAAAATCATTGATCATTCAGGATAATAAAGAAGAGGGACACTTTTTTGAAACACTTGTGAGTGCATGCAATGATAAGCTGCATACATGTCATGGATACAATTTTGTTTCCTCATGTCTGTGCAGTTCTGTCTCTTCAGTATGGAATATTTGGGACTTTGGCCACTAAAGAAAATGTTTGAAGCTTTTCATTCTAATTGCCACCCCTCCCCATTTGTTTTCAAGCTGATTTTGCACTGGAAAAATGATATTCTGCTGTTTAAACCTGACATTCAGTGTAATATGATCACTTCTTGCTTTTCTTCACCAAAAGTTAAAACAGTCTCACATTTTCCTCGTGAGTGCTGCAGAATTATGGTTTTTTTTCAGTGTTCTTGTTTCAATAAACAGTCTCACATTTTCCTCGTGAGTGCTGCAGAATTGTGTTTTTTTCAGTGTTCTTGTTTCAACGTCTTTTATCCCCTTGACTTTCTGCGAGGACATTGACTATTTTTGCGTCAAACCAAGTGCATTAAACCAATCTTCAACAAATGTGTCCTTTTAAGAAAACTGAAATGTGATATTGTATAAGCTGGGAAGGGTGGGCAGAAAGTTGTGTCAGTTCATGCTGAGCAGGTTTGAATTTAGAAGTCTCAGGCTTTGCCAGTCAGTGCCTGGGCATCCACCAGAATTGCTGTTAATGGAACTAACCGTTCCCAGGATCTTCCTTCCCATTCCAACTGAATTTTTTCTCTGCATAATTAATTCATGGGAAAAAAAAAATTTCTAGATCAGCTTCGTTACTTGTGCTTGTATTTGCTCTCTCTCTATTAATTGGAAAATAAAGTACATGACATTTCTGTTCAGGCTCAGTATTATCAAAATTTACAGCTGAATCCTCCTGGCTGTAGGTAGAAAGTACAAAATAGGTTGGGACAGGAGCACACACATACATACTTGTAAGTGTCAGCATTCACAGTCTTGGCTCTTTTCATTTAAATCCCTCCTTTGTTGATTCTCATTTAATACCTCCCCGATTTTAAAGATTAAAACCCTTTTTCTAATCAAGAGGCTTTCTTGCCTCTCTAAACATTGATGGTCATCACAAATTCCTTTTCTCCCTTTTGAGACATGATCTGAACATTTATTTGACAAAACTGAATTAATTTAAGAAATTTTTCCTGCTGTAGTTATTTTGCATAAAAGCTGATTTTTTGTCTAACATCACTGGGGAATGGGTTGTGTCTACTTTCTAGAAAGACTTTGCTTTGCAAACCCATGCTAATTAAAAGTCGTATATTGAAACATTTCCATGGAGGGCTGTTGCAGTAGATGATAAAAGAAGAGAGGTGAAGAAAAGCAAAAATTAAAAATAATTAGAAAATTTTTGTATCATTTGGTGTTTTTAACAGATTTTGAGTTTGTGTTCTGCCTGTGTGCACTTTTGCGCAGCACACAAATAAGTAGGGTTGGTGTTGTTTGGAAAATTAGATTGTCAAAAGTGCTGTGAACAATGCTTCAGAGTATAAGTGCAAGTTGGTTTCTTTTTGCTCATCAAAGAGGAAAACAGTATTAATAGAAAAGAATACTACTAATAATTAAAAAAAAAAGAAATCTGTACATTGCTTTGAAGGTTTTTTTTTTCCTCCTAAAGTTTGCTTCCAGTCTGATTTCCTGTGTTTATTGTCTCTTTTCCCCAAGGGAGATGCATTAGCAAAGCGTGGCTATGTGATGGCGATATTGATTGTGAGGATCAGTCTGATGAGGATAATTGCGAGGGCTATTTGTGTGGACCACCAAAATACCCTTGTGCTAATGATACCTCCATCTGCCTACAGCCTGAGAAGCTCTGCAATGGGAGAAGAGATTGTCCTGATGGATCTGATGAAGGCGATCTTTGTGGTACTTTTTAGACACCTTTTTCTGATTGCTCATGATACTGCCTGTTGTGATACCTCCTGCTGAGGAAAAGGTTCTCACACTGAAATTTTAGCACTGGAGCCTATGTGAGGATTTTAGTTTAGTTAAAGCCATACTGAGTTTGTGCTTGAAGTTTTAGCTTCCTTCAAATAAGGCAAAGGAGACAAGTCTTTCAAACCCCTCAAAACATTCCTGGAAGTAAACAATTTAAAGGGCATCGATGTGCAGGAAAGGACTTCAGCTCATTTGCAATTCTCTCCAACTACAGAAGCTTGAGTTGACACCATAGAATGGTTTGGCTTGGAAGGCACCTTAAATGTCATCTTGTTCTGACCTCCTGCTTAGGCAGGGATACTTCTGTTAGACCAAATTACTCCAAGCCCCTTTCAACCCGGCCTTGGACACTTCCAGGGATCCAGGGGCAGTCACAGCTTCTCTGGGCACCCTGTGCCAGGGTCTCAGCGCTCTCAAAGTCAAAAATCTCTTCCCAATGTCAAATCTAATTTGTCCTCTGTCAATGTGAAGCCACTCCTCCTTGTCCTGTCACTGCAGGCCTGTGTCCCAAGTCCCTCTCCAGCTCTCTTGGAGCCCCTTTAGGCCCTGGAAAGGACTCTAAGGTCTCCCTGGAGCCTTCTCTTCTCCAGGCTGAACATTCCCAGCTCTCAGCCTGTTTCCCTGCACTTGCTCCAAAATGCTCCCATTTTCCTCACCTTGGGGCCCAGAGCTGGATTCAGGCCTTCAGGTGGGATCTCACAAGAACAGAGGGGACGAATCTCCTCCATTCCAGGTTTATTTGATGCAGCCCAATACACATTTGGCTTTGTTGTCTGCAAGCTCACGTTTCCAGGTCACGTTGTCCTTCCTATCCACTAACGCCTGCACTTCCTCCCCCTCAGGGCTGCTCTCAATCCATTGTTTTCCCGGCCTGTATTTGTGCTTGTGATTGCCCTGACTCGGTGCTGGTACTGGGCCTTGTTGAACATCAACATTCAGGTGGCACAGGCCCCACTTTTCAAGGTCCTTCTGGTCCATCTTTTCCCTGCTGCATCACTTGCACAACTCTGTCTGGTCAGAAACTTGCTGAGGATGCCCTCAAACCCACTGTCCATGTCACTGATAAAGGTGTTAAACAGCGACAATCCCAACACTGACTCCTGGGGATCACCACTTGAACATGGAGCTGTGCTAAAACCTTGAAGGGTTCAGTCAAGCTGCCAGATGAATGGTTGCATGTCAGATAATTTTAAAAAGAAGTATAGAAATCTGTTTTAGAAATATAAATTTTTATTTGCCATCTTGGAAGCTTTTGTAGGTGTTTTAGTTGACTTTGCTATATGCAACTTAACTGACAGCTTTTGCAGCCCTTAATTATTGTTTTTCCATATTATTTCAGATGAATGTTCACTAAACAATGGTGGATGTAGCCATCAGTGTTCTGTGGTTCCTGGAGGAAGAATTGTGTGCTCCTGCCCTGCGGGATTCAATCTCACTATAGACAACAAAACTTGTGAGATTATGGATTTCTGCACCAAGCACCTCAAGTGCAGCCAAGTTTGTGAACAGCATAAAAATACTGTGAAGTGCTCATGTTATGAAGGCTGGAAGCTCAGTAAGGATGGAGAGAGTTGTGTTAGTACTGGTAAGTTGATATTTGGTGCACTTTCAATATTCAGGATGTTAACAGCTGTGATGGCAATTTACTGAGAGCTTCTTTCACTTTTTTTTGTTTGTTTGTTTATTTTGTTCTATGTATGAAATACAGGCTGGGATTATCCAAATGTGGGGTTGATTGCAATCTAAGGACTTATTAAAACTGTCCCTATTCTTGATGTAAAAAGGGGCATTTAAATATTAGGCTGTTGCTAATCTAAGAATGCTAATACCAGATGTTTCTAGGAATGTCAATATGATATAATTAAATATAATAATATAATGAAAATCTGTTTGAAGTTTTATACAGTTTTTCATGTGCAGTTAATATGCATGGGCATATATGTATAAACACAATTTTGCATTCTATATGGGGGATTTAACATGTGTTTTTAAGAAATGGATCAATCATGATATTGATCAGTATTGGTTGAGGGTTCAGAAGGTTAATTTTGAATGTGCAATTATATGCTGCCTGGTAGCATTCAATATTTAAGATTTTTTTCCCCTAAGGCATTCTGGCACTTGTTTTTTGACAGCAGTAAGAGCCTGCTCAGCTCACTAATTGAGGTGAAAACCAACATGAGCCAAAACAGGAAAGGGGAATGTATTCCCCTCATTGTTCACTGTTAATAAGTATCGAGGCATCATTTAGAAACCATGTTAGGAGTGTGTTTTTCAGGTGCAGTGTTGTGTGTAAAACAGAAACATGCATGTGCAGTATAAACTGTTGCCACACCTTTGCCTCCTGGCTAGGGACTTAAAAATAATATTGAGTTTACTTTCTAGATTTTCATAATTCACTTTTCTTTGGTTCAGGATTCTTTGATATTTTTATTCTATATTATATCTATTCTTTCATAGAGTTTTAGCAATTCTGAACAGAAATATCTTCTACATTCTCTTTTGCTTATTTGGATATTTCACAATTCAGTGGATATGATTAGGGTATTCTTTCTTTATTCTTACTCTGCAGGGATTACTGGTTAAGTTCTTGCTTTCTGTCAGTGCTTTGGTCACTGGTTCTCAGTGATTTTTGATCAATCTGATTTGCTATATTATGGACACTTCCAGTAACTGGAAAAAAGTACATTCTTACTAGGTTGGAGAAACAAGAGGATTAAAGGAATTTAAGACAGTGTTAGTAACTCATATGAGGAAAGCTTGAAACAAACTTTAAATCATGTAGAAATGACTGATATTTGGAAACTAAATGGGGAAAAAAGTGAAGTATACTCACTTGTGGCATAAAATAAGAAAAGCGAGACTACTATTTCTTGGGTTTCTTAAGCCCATGAGATATTTCTGCTTAATGTTTACTGGTGTTGGTGAGAATCTGAAGTTACAAATTGATTTCTCCAGATTTTTTTCAAATAATGTAATACTAAATATATGATCTGAGACCTGTGGTGTCAGCTGATATAAAGAAAAATGATCCTTTTCTATACAAACTGTAATGATGCTACGCTAATGCCATCAAACCTGTGACAAAATTATTCCATATTAAATATGGCATCTGCTTTTAAAGGCACAAATCATCTTGGCCCTTTTCAGTTTATTTCATTCAAAAGCCATGGGAAGTTCTCTGGAGGACAGATCCTCTGACACTTCAGTTGCTGACTGTGTGAAGGGCATTTTAGGAAAGTGAGAACAATTTTGGTATCTTTTGTGAATCTGTGAGGCTCAAAATGTCCCCATCATCTAAGTCTCTGAGCATGAGATCTTGAATGAACTTAGAATGAAGAAAAAACTTTTATATTATACTATTAGAAATAAAGTTAAAAGTGACCTTATGAAGACAAGCTGTCCTCCAAATGCCAAACTACTATTTCAACAATATCGGTTGTTATGAAGTAATTCTTAGAATAGCCATAGTGATTTAAGATGCCTTGAACCAGGTGTGTATTCTATTAGAAGAGTAACTTGTAATCTGTTTTCCAGAAGAAAGAATGAATTACTCAGAAGAAAATGAGAACATTGCCCTTTACCATTTTTTTTCTCTATCTGAAATAGCATTTTCCTATGTATAAGAAACATTTCACAAGCACACAGCAATAACGTGTGAAGTTAGTATGCAACACATTTTCAGAATATGGTAAAAACATTTGTTTGTGAGCCCATTAGAAGGGGAATATGAGTGCTGAAAATGCAGGAATTATGTGATTCCAACTTTTTTTCCTGATTGCATTTTAGTATCAAAAAGTGTGCTTGTCAGGGGAATCTGATGAATTGCCAGAGAAATAGAAGGAGTTACAGAGTAATAATTATATAGAACTAAAATGCTTGAATTGAGTAGTTCTTCTCTTTCCAGTTTCTTTTTCCAAGCCTTTCTTAGTTTCCTCTGCTGTATCTCATTTCTTCTTATGTTGTCTTCATTTCTTGAGGGTTTTAAATGTTGTCTTTTTTCTCCTCCAGAGCTTCTGCACTTTCCATGTCTCTTGTTTTCATCTTCTTTGCTTGCTGCTGTTCTGGCATTGTGACATTGCTGACTTCCCAAACTTTAAATGTTTCCTTTAGATTTAAATTTGTATTGATTGAACTAAGAGTGTGTTACAGAGCTCTGTTATTCAGATGGAAAGTCAATACAAATTATATGTTTTCATACTCGTGTTCCTGGTTTCTCTTAAAACACATTTCAAAATAAGTTGTGCTGATATATTGCACTTGCTCTTTGAAATGATAATAAGCATTCAGAAAAAAAAATAAAGTTCTTAAAAGATACTTAAATTTCATGTTTATATTCAACCTTTCACACTTTGGTATAATAAATGTTAGATGAGCTCAGAAACACTTTGTTTAAAATTGATTGTCAGTCTTTCCTAAGCAGTGGAAACTGTTATATCACTTCATATATATATATATATATATATATATTTAAATTTTATTTATTATTTTTTAGATATATGATGATGTGTCTGTGTGTTTGATCTGTCTTTGCTGGTTTGAAACTCAATTTTATTATCATTTCCAGATACCTTTCAGTACTAAAATGGAGAGGGGAATAGTTTGATCCTGTTTGAGCTTAGTCAAGCTTTTAATTAAGGTTTCTTTTCAGAATCTTTATCAAGTTATTGTTTTTCTTTGAGGTAATTTTCATAAAAGTACAGTGTAGATTGCTTGCTGTGCTGTTGTTGTTACAGTGAGCTTCACTCAAGCAATTAGGTTCAATCAGAATTTTTCCTAAGAAAGAATTTTAAATTTAATCACTGAAAAATGTGAGGCATTATTCTTTATGGAATCTTTTTTGGTGGCATTGTGTGGGCAGTTTTCTTCTAGGAGAGATTTTTTTTTACAGTTTTTCATGTAGCTTATACTTTGTTTGCTTCGTATATTTTATATCCTGACTTTGTAGTAAAAAAAATTGAGGCATTTATGAAATCACAGAGTGCAGAAATGTATGATTTTTCTCAACAAATTGATAAATGCTAATTTTCCTGAAAGTTTCAAAGAATATGATCAATAACCATTGTATTGATTTGAGACTTTAGAGAAATTATTTTAATAGATTTGCAGAATAAAATTCATTTGATCTCAATTTCTAGAAGATTAATCAGGAAAATAACATCAAATTTTGGGTTTATCAGGTAATGGAAGCATAATTTTTTTTTTTAAATGTATTTGATTGAGCCTGAAAATCCCAATTCCCTGTAATGTAGCTGGATTTTTAGAGCCATTGAATGATCAGGTTGGAAGGAAGATCAAAGCCCAGCTAATACTGCTGCTATCTGCTTTCCAAGACCTTCAGGACACCTTCAGTGCTGAACTCCAAGTTTCCCAGGGGTGAAATATTTTGTTGACTCGCTCTCCTGAAGACTTTTGTTTTTCTGGGCTTTCTGATTCTTCCTGGTCCAGTTTAAGCCTTTAATCCTTGCCCTACTTGTTATTTATACAGAAAACAGGATTTTTCCTGTTTTCAATTCATAAGCCTTTTATGTCTTAAGGGAATTTTATGTGCTTCCACTCATCTTCTAATTCCATTTTTTAGACTAAGCAGTTCAAGATGGTTCATTCTTCCCTTGCAGGCCTTGATTTCTAGACCTCTTGGAACACCTGCTCATTTCCTCTTGCATTTCTGTACTGATCACACTCTTCAAGAGCTGTGCTCAGAGGAGGATACAGTTTTGCAGGCTGTTGTCAGCCAAGTTTAGGGTTTTGTCGTGTTTATTTCAGTTCTAAATCCTGTCAAGATCCCATTGAACTTTAATCCTTCTCATGAAGATAATTTGCACTGTAGGTTATTTATCTTAAATTGTATTTCCTCTACTTTGAATGAAAAACCAATCTAACACAGCATAGATTTATTAGGTTTCTTTTTCTGCCATTGTGTTGCTAATTGCTGAGAAATACAAAAAAAAAAAAAAAAAAGCTGCTAGTGAGGATCATGACTTGTGTTCTTATGCATTGGAATTGCCAAAAAACCCCATAGATCAGCAGTCTCCTGCATAACACCTTTCAATTTATCAGAATTTGGGAAGTGCCATTAGAGTGTGTCTCAGTTTAGATAACAGTTTCTTGTGAAACAGCTCCTAATATCAGTGATCCTGGTCTGCACTAAATTATTTAACCACTGCTGAGTTTTGAATAATTTCCTTTGCTGAAACTCTCTCATTGCTTTAACAGACAGGAGGGTCGTGGGGAAAGTTCAAGGCAGGTTGTGAACCAGTGCTTCAAGAGCAGAAACTCAGCTCTGCTGAGGTGCTTGATTAGCCTAAAACATCACAGATGATTTAATATCTGTGTGCAGTGGGCATCAGGAGAAGAGGAGCTGCAGGAGGAAGTGTTCAAGTGAATGAGAAGAGATGAACTGGGTATTTTCAGAGCTCTCAGGAGCTTTGAGAAGAAGGAATATTGCCTGTTGCCATAAACTGCCATTAATCTTTTACATAAAGAAGTCTAATTGTATGGAAAGCAATCCTCCCAGTATAATCTGTGTTTCACTCTAGGAGAAGGAACTCAGAGTGTTTTGGGGGGAACAACTACTTCCCCACAGAAAAGGCTTGATGGGAAAAAATTATCTTTATCAAAGTGGATATAGTGAGTTGATTCAACAGTTTATAGAATCCAATTTTTTGTCTTCCTTGTTTGTTTTATTAACACAACTCCTTGCTTGAAAACCTTTCCTGATCCTTGTAAGAGCTATAATAAAAGAAAAAATCAATTTCATAGCATGGTTGACCAATGCTGATCATGTTTACAGATATTTTTGTGCATTTTGATATCAACTCACTGGCACAAATAATTTAGCATTAATTCATTAACAATGGAAGGAGAAAATCACTGGTAGATGGATTTGTGATGACATGACATCAAATGTTCATTTTCTTGCTTGTTAGTTCCAATGCACTTCAATTGAGAACACAAGGTACACTGTATATTCAAAAGTACTTTATGTATTAGTAAATGGTTACAGCTGATTGGCTTTTGAAACAATGTATGTTTTAATGGTTTCATTTTTCTGAACCTTTTGAGAAGCAGATTTTAAATTTGACTTTTTAAAGCTCTAAGTATGGGCTCATAATGCTATAGCTACAAAAGACAGTTCAAGAGTTGAGTCTAATATTCCCAAATTTAATGTCTAATATTGCTAGTTGGGATCAAAGATAATGCTAGAAGGGAGAATTAAGAAGTCTGTTGGACTGAAAAAGTAATTGAAAGACTCCTTATCAAACGTTGAATTGTTTTAATCATCTCTTTCTCCTGATAAAGTATTCTGTTGTTCACCTTCCACTTGTCATTTATATCAATTTGTAGCAATATATTTTTTTATTATTCCTTTGAAATGTTTAATCTTCATCTTCCAGATCCATTTGAGGCTTTCATAATTTTTTCTATTCGACACGAGATCAGAAAAATCGATCTTCACAAGCGTGACTACAGCCTCTTAGTTCCTGGTTTAAGAAACACAATAGCCCTGGATTTTCATTTCAGTCAGAGTTTACTGTACTGGACAGATGTGGTGGAGGACAAAATTTACAGAGGGAAGCTCTCTGATACTGGAGGTATGGATTGAATCTTTATTTCCTTAGCAGTTTGAGCACCTGCAGTTACAGGGTGTGAGACCTGGTCAGTCGTAACTGAGCTGTCTTTCTCAGAAACAGAATTTATGATGGCATTCTGCCTTTCACAAGGCCTATATCAAGGTTGTACTTCATTTCCAGGCAGAAAAAAGACTTTTGTTATCCAAGTTTCTTTTTGCGTTATGCTCTAAGGGGAAGAAAATGGAAAATGCAAAGAACTGGTGTTCCTTCCTGGTTCAATGAGTGCAATATTGATTTATTTCAATTTTTTGCAGTTTATCTTCACCTTATTTAAAAAGTATAAGAATTTATTGGATGTCTGATAAATTAGCTCCTCTCACTAGGTGAAGGATTCTGCTTCAAAATTTTATAGCATCCAGAAAGACTTTTTCTTTGCTCTGGTGACATAATGATGGCCTATAACTCAATATAACCTCATAATATATACAAAAGAGTTTCTACAAAATGTTCTTTGCTGAAGTGTATGTTCCAGTGCTTTGATCTAAAAGACAAACCACAAATAATCCAGAAATTACTCCAAGAATATCTGATAAAGTTTTGTGTCCATGTTCATTCTACCAGTCTCTACATCAGTTTTTAAGAATCTCTTTTCCTCTCTTTTATTTTTTTTTTTAATGTTCTTTCTTATTTTTCCTTTTTCTTTAAGGTGTTAGTGCCATTGAGGTTGTGGTGCAGCATGGCCTGGCCACTCCTGAAGGTCTGACTGTGGATTGGATAGCAGGAAACATTTACTGGATAGACAGCAATTTGGACCAAATTGAAGTAGCAAAACTCGATGGCACTTTGAGGACAACGTTAATAGCTGGAGCTATGGAGCACCCGAGGGCTATTGCTTTAGATCCCAGATATGGGTAATTATAAATTACAAAATCATTATTTTTTCTTGCTGCAAAGTGTCTTAAAAATGTTTAAATGTGTTGTTTCATTTCCTTTTTTGTTGTGAGTTATAGTTTCTAATAGTTCTTGAAAGTCTAATCTGAATAATAAAGAATCCATTATTGTGGTTTTTCCGAAATGAAAAGGAGTAAAAAATGGTAAGTCAGGAGATACAGGGATCTTTTTGTTGGCAAATTACTTATCTTGCCATGTTGTTGATTAATTTCTTTTTTTCAATGTGGATAATAACTGAAATGTTTGGTCTAACATTTGTGTGTGGTTAATGGACAGATTTAGGTGATTCTTCTCACTTAGAGACCAATATTTTTGTATTTTGTTTTGCCTTTTTGTGTTTGTTTGTTGGTTTGGGGATCTTTTTGTTGTTGTTGGTATTTTTTTTTTGTTGTTTTGGTATTTTGTTTGTTTTGGTTTTTTTTTGTTTGTTTGTTGGGGTTTTTTTGGTTTTGGGGGGTTTTTTTGTTTTTTTGTTTGTTTGTTGGATTTTTTTTTGGTGTTTTTCTTTGGTGGGACTATAAAGATACAACTTAGATGTTGCTGGAAGCCTAATGGCTGGGTGAGGTAAATGCCACCTTTTGTGTTTGGTTTTCATCTCAAAGTGGAGATAATGCTTGCCAGCTCCTGTCAGTATTTTTTCTACCTATTCATTAGGGGTATGCTATCAACCAGAATATTACGTATATTCAATAGTTCCAGCCCCTTCCCAAAATTACTGCTCTTTCAGAGGGGGGGGAAAAAGCCCCAAACAAACAAAAACATTCAGAAAAACACAACAAAACCGACAAGCCACCAACTACAAATTGAATGTGGCCAAAATAACACAACTGACCTGTTTTCAAAGCCATGATATTTAATTTTGTTTAAGAATTTGCTGTGGTCTGTCATGTGTCTTCACTGAATATTTCTCTCAGAAGCAAAGCTGTGAATAAAAAAATAAGGATTGATAAAGGGTCTAGATTCTGGGATCTAAATTGTGAATTAGAATGTATATGCCTTAATCATTAAGGCTTTTGCCCTCTCAACTGAGCTGTTAGAAAGCTTATTTACACAGTGCATTGCTTATCTATAAAGATCTTTAAAAAGAGGCATCCTGTTGGCAGAAAAATTGGCAGAGAAGTTGCTCAAATTAAATGACTGGGAGGGAAAAAAATCTAATCACCACTCTTCTTGAAACTGAAGACTTAATCTGCCTTTTGAAGAGCCAGAAGCAATTGATGATACATTATGTTAGAAATCGGCAAAGAAAAAATCTTTAAACATAGAGAGGAGTAGCTCCTCAATCCTTTCACAAACAAATATGAATAAACACTGGTTTTTCAAGGAAAAGGGTTGTGTTAGGAGTGCACAAGTCCTGTATCCCAGTGGAGGCAGAGCTGCACTCCAGCCTGCAGTGGGGCTGAGCAATTGTTCTCACCCATACAGATGTGTGCAAAATAAACATCTGTAGATAAAAACATCCCCTGTGAACCTTCCTGGCTGCCAAGGCTGAAGGTGTGGAAGTGGGAAATACAAAAAGTTGTCAGAAGTTTCGTTGCAGTCTGGCTCTTTGCAATTAACTTTTTACAACTAACCACAAGCTTTCCCTATTAAAAGCATAATTTTCCTTTAACAAGTCTGTGCATTGTTGAAAATTCAGTAATCTAAGAACAGTTAGGGTTTCTTTCTGTCTTCTTGGTGATGCTGCTTCTGTTAATTAACAAGATACTTCTTTGGTTATAACAATGAAAGTTCTCCTTATTAGAAAAGCATTAGAGACGGTACAAAACTGAGAGATACAACAATAAAACCTGTCTTTGAAGTTTTCTTAGCAAGTCTAATCTGTATAAATTTCATTAGTGACATACCAAAATCCAGGGGTCTTCATTAGAACACTCTTAAGAGTAGCTGAAAATCTCTTGTTTAGCCTGTTCCTTGATCCCTGCTGCCTCAAATCACCTTTCTTCCCATTCTCCCCTTCTCATCCTTCTGTCTGTGGATTGCTTTCAAAGGCTCTAATTATAATTTCTTTTAATGAGCTGGGTTTCTAATTATAGAGGAAAGACAAGACAAGCTGCCACTGTGTAAATGGACATGGAAAAGGGAATGCTATTAAACCTCTAGGTTTTTTTGGTTTTTTTTTTTAAGTTCTCTATTTTCATTATGGCTCTAAATAATAATGAAATATTACCTCCATGTTACCCTAAGGAATTTATATAGAGACCCAAATTGACCTATGTTTAATCCTTTCATTTAAAGTATGTAAATGGTTCAACCTTTTTTCCAACTGTTGTCTCATAAACCATTTCAGATTTTTCCTTCATGCTTTAATATTTTCTTCTATCCCCCTTTCTTTTCCTTTCACCAGAATTCTGTTTTGGACAGACTGGGATGCAAATTTCCCTCGCATTGAGTCTGCTTCCATGAGTGGAGCAGAGAGGAAAATCATCTACAAGGACATGGACACTGGAGCCTGGCCCAACGGCCTCACTGTGGATCACTTTGAAAAAAGAATAGTGTGGACAGATGCCAGGTGAAGTGCTCACAGCATCCTTATTGTCACTGAGAAGTCCTCGTTCCTCCATGCAGAAATGAGGATTGCATTAAGTGGAATGCAGTTATGGATATTATGAGTTATGGACATGAAGAACCCTGGGCAGGCACATGTACAATATGTACATTGATTTAATTTCCCTGCCAGCTGTGGGATCACCCATAGTCCTGGCTCTCTGTGCCTTTCTATGTGTCCTCCTTGACACTCATCCATGCAAGGCCCAAGTTAGTTCATTATTTTTAAAGTTCATCTGAAAGAAAACTGAATTTTCTGTTGCATTCCTCACAGCTTAGAGGTAATTTAAAGCATTATACAAACAAGTATTTCATGTGTCTAGTTAAATGAATAATAAGAACTTTATAAAGTTAATGATTGCACTACAAAAATTCTTTGGTTTTACCAGTCTTACAAGTAAGTTTTTTACACATTTTGCCCAATGTCATAATGGTTGTGTGATTTTTATTTTATTTTCACATAATCTTAAATTTGGGGTTGTCTTGTAGATCGGATGCCATTTATTCTGCATTGTATGATGGAACCAGCATGATAGAGATTATACGGGGTCACGAATATCTTTCTCACCCTTTTGCTGTTTCTTTGTATGGGAGTGAAGTTTATTGGACAGATTGGAGGACCAATACCCTCGCCAAAGCCAATAAATGGACTGGCCAAAATGTCAGTGTAATACAAAAAACAAGTGCTCAGCCATTTGATCTCCAGATTTATCATCCGAGTCGCCAGCCACAAGGTGAATATTTATACAATAATGTATTACTGAGGGGGGGAATAAGTATTCTTTTTACATATAGATATCTGGATTATTAGTAGAATAATTAAATATTCCTCCTCTGAGGGGGGAAATCCATATTCTTTTTATACATAAATATCTGTGTATTATTTTGTCTTGAACTGTTGTATTCAGCACTGGATCAAGTCAAAACCTTACAATTCATGTGGCAGAAGTTTTTATTGGCTACAAATATATATATATATAGTTTAGGATGTACCATGCAAAATAGCAATGCTAAAAAAAACCAGTATTAATTTTTTTGTAAGATATAACAAAAGACTGAATATTTTATAGAGAAATTCTGGAAAGTGAAAGATACCACTGGAGGATGACTACCAATTAGAATCTTCTGTGTTCTCTGGATAAATTTCAACTTTCCTGGCAAGAAGTTGATGTTAAGACTATTTCAGAATTTATCTCATAAATACTTGGGTTTTTTTCTATTTTTTTAATAATGAGAAATTATATTTTGGTTTTTTTTTTCCTCATCCAGGTTTGTAGTTCTCCGTAAGGAACTTAGACTTTTATCTTAGTAGGTTATGAGCAGTCTTGATTTGGAAACTTCAAATCCTGACAATTTTGGATAGTGTAAATATATTGGAACCCAGTTCTGCATAAGTTATATATAGAAAACCATGGTTAAAGCTCTAATGTAAATGAGTACCAGCAAGGAAAATTCCACTGCATACTAGAAGGCAAAGGATTTGAGCAATGTCCTCACATGGAATAAAGGAAAAGCATTGAATACCACTCATTGTTGGGTATTGTGTCCAAGTGTGGTAACAACTGTGACCTCTCAATATATGACATAAATTGTCAGGATTCATTTTTCTGATGCTTTTATTTAAAAATAATAAAGAATGTGTATTGAAGATTAACGTTGTAGGTTTTCAGTGGATGTCAAGTCTCTTGGACTTCATCACTGAAATAAGGCATTTATTTCCCTTATTCTTCAGAATTTACTTTTTGGAGCAGGGTTCTTAAAAGCTGTCTGACTTCTGCTGAAGATAATATGTGTGCTCAGGCAGTTAAAATAAGAGTGGAGTAAATATGGATCTCTGCACACACCTTTCAAATGTGCTTTTTTTTTGTTTGGTTTTTTTTTGTTTTTGTTTTTTTTTTGTTTTTCTTTCAGGTTTTTGGGTGTTTTTGTTTGTTTGGGGGCTTTTGGCAATTTTCTTTTCATTTCTTTAATTTGGCAATTTTTCTTTTAATTTAATCGCTCATAACTTTGGGATTTGAGGAACAGTGTTCCATATTTGATGTTTCTCTAGTGGCAGGAGAGTTGCCATTTGCCTTTTCTTGCTCTCAGAAAAAGAACAACTCCTTTCTGTTTGGACTGGGGCCAGACAGCATCTTCAGAGGGGTTCTGTAGCCTAGGGAGACATCAGGCAGTATTCCACAGTCACAGATATCTTGGCCCCCAGGCAATAAAAGCTGTAGAAAAGTCTTCAGTTGTTTTTTTTCCCAAAATCAAGAAGTTCAAGGATCAAGTTGTGTAATTGCAGCTTTTATTTTATGATGTAGAAAGCACTGGATTCTGATTTATGTTTGGCATTCTGGGTTTGCTCTAAATTACTGTCTTGCAGCAGGAACATTTATTTTTTTTTAATTTTTTTTACTTCAAATCTGCAGTACCTTTTTATTTGAGCTGAAGAAATGATGATACTGCCTGATTGCTTGTAAAATTTTCCTTTCAATTTGTAGCTATTTTGCAATAAATGAGCAAGACAGTGTGCAGGTTAGAATCCTAAAATAAAATTAGTAGATTTACACTGCAAATTGTCAGTGTGAGTAGAGCACTGCAGGATGAACGTTTTGCATTTTCATCTCCATCTGGGTCACCTACGTGGGTGAAAGCTTATTAGCTTTTAATATATATATCAAGGAAGTTATTTTGATTGAAATGAAGTAGAGCAGAGCTAAATAAACTCTCCTAGCCTAAAGCCATTTCATTTGAGTCAATCTAGGACAGATGCTAATTGAAGGTAGCAAAGTTAAAGTGAGATATTTATATGGATGATAAGTTCAGCTCTCAGCACACCACAGGGACTGGGGAAGCTTCTCCTCTAATGCAGAATATTCCCAGGAATGTGGGCTTGAGCCCCACTTGTCTTCCCAGAACCAAAACTGTGTGTCAGGAGTGCTGGTAAGATGGCAAACGCAGGGTTTCTAGGAAGGTTTTAATTTTTTTTTTTTTCAACTATCATTGTCTTTTAAAAATCCGCCTCTTCTAAAGAACAAGGTCTATCGGAAGGTTTTAATTTTTTTTTTTTTTTTCAACGATCATTGTCTTTTAAAAATACACCTCTTCTAAAGAACAAGGTCTATTTTATTCATGAGAAGTTATAGCAGTGCACTACTGAGGATGGTGATAAGAGGGGTAAATATAGAGCATTGGAAGGATCACAGCTTGAAAACACAATTCTGTGCATTTCTCACACTTCTCCTTTATTATTTTTTCCATTTCTCCAAGGTACTAATTTGAATTAAAATTAAAAACCAAACATGGCTATGGCATTATTTTTCTTTCTGCAGATTAAATTTTTATTTAGAAATCAGGACAAACAGTACAATAAGAAATATAGCATATTGGTGCCACTGGGCTCTTTTGTAATTAATAAAATGAAGAACATTTAACTTCATAGCACTATCTTATTACAATAGTCTATTGAGGCCCAGACTGCCAGCTGTTTGAAATAATAAAATCTTACAGAAATGTAGCTGAAAATGGGGAGAACTAAAAAAATTTATTACTTTGAGATCATATCTCAACCTTGTATATGCTCTTTTTACTTCAAAATGAGCAGAAAGTTTGGTATCTGTATTATAAATAATGCAAAAAATGTATATTACTATTTTACTTATATTTTTATATATATAATAACATGTTTTTTCAAAGCTTTATCAAGAATTGTGCTTTGTTCTATGAGTATTCCTGTTCATTCAGTTTCATGGTGAATATGTAAATTTTTCTACTGACTCATTTTTGAAATGAATGATTAAAAACTGAAACAGAGTGATTAGAGGAAATAAATATTGACTTTAGAATTTACACATCTGATCAATCCTAACCTGCAAATTTCAAAGATTGCTGTTAAAATCACCAGATGTAATCAGGCAGTACAAAGATTTAACTTGGCTGAGTACTTTGGCCTTAGGAAAAGCAATTCTATTGGAGGTATTGACAGTGAGCAGAGGATTTGATCTGTAATTGGTTTTAAATAGGAGTGGGAATCAATTGCCAGCAATCTGAAAGCACCTTTTGATGTGACTGTAGTGCAGACATTTGAAGGTTTAGGCAGAATTCAAACATTTTTGCACTGTTAAAGTGTAAGATCAAACTTTGTCTTGCTAAAATCAGATGCCATGAAGGGACAAGCTCACTAGGAAGTTAATGCAGGGCATAAATTGGCCATAGGAGATGCATATTGAGAGGCTGTCAGAGTAAGTTTTCATTTGTCAGCTGGTGATGGAATGTTTGAGGGGGCTGTTTATAAGGGTTTCTGGTCAAGAAAAATACGTATTTTGTTTAAATAAAGTTTTAGAGAGCAGTCAAGAAGCAATGTGACAACACTGACATGTACACCTGTGCACAGCACTGTGAGACAAACAGATTGACAAGCAATCAGCACTGGAAATCAATCAAATCATGAAAAAGGCTGTCCAGTCAGGGAAAATGCCAGTTCTGTGGCTTGCTGTGATCAAAAGGAAAATAGATTGGTGGAAATGATTAGGAAAGGAATAAAGCAGCACAGGGAGTGAACTGTGATGCTGTATAAATCCATATCACTCCCACAGCTGGAATACTGTATACAGATCATATACAGCACATCAAGAAAGCCTGACAGGCTGATCGAGAGGATGGGACAGGTTTTGCTCTGGGGACAGGTTGGCTGATGCTGCTGGAAATACCATTTATAGACAGGCTTCTGTATGGTGGCAGTTTGTGAAATCATAAATGGCAGAGAAAAGGTGAGTAACAAATGCTTATGAGGTTATTCACAATAGAAATAGAAGTGTTAGAATGAGCACAAGAAAATAAAAAAGCCAAATTTTTGAGAGTTAGAGCAATAACAGTGTGCCCTCAGGAGAATTAGTTTTTATTAGGAAATAAAGAGCAGGCTTAGCTGTTATTCCATGAATATGAAAGGAACCTATAAACATGTGTTGCTAGAAGTAATGTTTAGATGATGGTACTTTGCTCCTAGAGTTGTTCACTCATGTGGAAACAAACACATCTGCTTTATAACACTTCTTTTCCCACCAACTTTGTGTTCTGTGCAATATGGAGGGAGCTGTGATGTGAACAGGACACAAATTGCACTGACTCCTCTTGCTGGATGCTTGGAGCACACTTGAACTATAACACTCTCTTAAAAGACATGTTGGTTAATGATTATTTTAATTTTTTTCTTCTGTTTTTCTTTTTAAATTCCATTCTGTAAAGCACTACTAGCATGGAAAGACAATACAGGGATTAATTATTCTTCGGCTCAAAGTAAATCCTTGTCACAGACGGTTGTATGCATACAGAGAGGTTGAAATTCCACAGAAATTACCACTCTGTATTGGCAAATAAATGAAAGAAAATGCTTCTCTGCAAAAAAACAGAACTAGATTTTTACAGTCTTGCAGCACCTGTGGAAAAAATGCCAAAAAGCTGGAGGAGGTTGAATCTCTAGCTGCTTTCCTGTGATCTCTTACAACATAAATGATTCTGTGATCTCCTTCACAATATTTTCAAAACTCTAAATTGTGTTGTGTTCCTGATGTACATTTCATAGGGATAGATGACTTCACTAATTCACTGTATTAGTGAATACACTAATAGTGTATTCATAATTGGGAAGGCTCCCTGAGCCTTGTTAACTTCAGTGTCTTTTCTTCAACATCACAATATTTTTGTCTTCCACATGAAATTGTGAATTTTGCAAGAGATCATCCAGATTTTCTCTGTGTTCCTATTGATAAAAGTGATGTTAAATAAATATTCTTAATTTTTAGTTCATGGGAAAGGCTGAGTGGCCTCCAGTGCTGACAGTGCTTAAAAGGGGCAAATGGGATGATTTTATAGAAAACAGTAAAAGCCTGTTTTGTGAGTATGGGGTTTTGTTTGTTTGTTTTGTCATTTTTGTTTTGGTTTGGTTTTTTTTTTTAATAGAATCATGACTACAATTAACCTTTTTCCAAGATTTTGAAAGTTTCTTTCTTCCCACAGTACTGGTTAGACAAGTATGTAGTTAAAGGATGCAGGAACTGCTGGATAAATTTAAGGAAGCATGCACTAGTAGAAAAAAAGAATGGTTCAATGAAGCAAACTTTGTCCTTAAATTGTAGTGCTTGAGTTTGAGCTAAATTTATTTTTTAAGGAAATTCAGACATTGGATTGCTGTGGTTATCTAATTACTTGTACTGCAGCCTAGCACAACGTTAGAGGAATATATTCTACACTAATTGGTTTTGTTAATTATAAGTTTGTCTTTGAGTCAGTCAATCCCACTTCCCTTTTCATAAATGTTCATTTTCAAAGGTTTGGTTTTTTTTTTAACAAAAGGAAGAATCAACATTACTTTCTGTTTATGCTTGAAATGTCTCTTCAGAAGTGCTCTGGAGCTTTGGGGTTTATAACAAGGAATGAAGATGATAAGAACAATTTCCAGGTTTTGTAAGACTAAGGGGGTCCTCTCTGGTCAGCTTTCCCCCTGCTCTTTAAAGCAATTTTAGCACATCTTATTCAATCAGTGAGCTATAGGAAGCAACTTGTGAAAACCTACACTTAGGAGAGGTTTTTTTTGAGAAAAGTAGAAATGCTTTGCTGTGGTTTTGTTGTTTTTTTTGGGTTTTTTTTCCCTTTCAGATTCTCTTTCTGTGTTAGATTTCCGACTAATATTCTAGTAGGGAAATCAAATTAAGAAGAAAATTGAATTTGCCATAGTTCATCTCATAATCATTTTCAAAGGTTTGGTTTTTTTTTTTAACAAAAGGAAGAATCAACATTACTTTCTGTTTATGCTTGAAATGTCTCTTCAGAAGTGCTCTGGAGCTTTGGGGTTTATAACAAGGAATGAAGACAATAAGATCAATTTCCAGGTTTTGTAAGACTAAGGGGGTCCTCTCTGGTCAGCTTTCCCCCTGCTCTTTAAAGCAATTTTAGCACATCTTATTCAATCAGTGAGCTATGGGAAGCAACTTGTGAAAACCTACACTTGGGAGAGGTTTTTTTTGAGAAAAGTAGAAATGCTTTGCTGCAGTTTTGTTGGTTTTTTTTTGGGTTTTTTCCCCTTTCAGATTCTCTTTCTGTGTTAGATTTCCGACTAATATTCTAGTAGGGAAATCAAATTAAGAAGAAAATTGAATTTGCCATAGTTCATCTCATAATCTAAGCTTTGACTATTGCTTTCACACAATTAAATCTGTTTTTCTGGTCCACATCATATGGACATTTTTTTAATCCCACGTGTCTTGATTAGGTGTGTATGATTTAAATCTTACGAAAAGGCTGCAAAATTAATATCTCCCTGGGAAAATTATATCCAGTTGCTTCCTAAAGTTGCAATTATAAACTGTGGCTGTACAAACAAAACAACAACAACAAAATATATATAGATATATATAGATATATCTAAAGGTATTGCTATGGGGTGAATATGTATTTTATAGATATATATATATATTCTTGGACTAGAGTTGAATATTAGCCTATAAAAAATGATTAGCGCACAAGCTCAGTTAATCACTTAGTCTGGGTTTGTCTTCAGAGAGAATTTTTGCCTTCTCCCAGCTGTTTGACAAACCTTGATTTTTAACAAGTGTTTTTACATGTTGTGTGTTTCAATGATTCTGTTTTAGCTCCCAACCCATGTGCTGCCAACGAGGGCAGGGGTCCCTGCTCTCACATGTGTCTGATCAATCACAACAGAAGTGCTGCCTGTGCCTGTCCACACCTGATGAAACTCTCTTCAGACAAAAAAACATGTTATGGTAAGTTTTCCTCCCACAGCCTGGCACTCGCATTGATTTTAGAATCAATGGACAAATAAATGTTAAAAATAAAATCTGTACAGTGCTTTTTAATGGTGTGTTTTAAAGAGAAGCTGCTTTTTGAGAATCGATGACTTATTCTAATAGTTGAGGTCTGTGGTGCTTTGATATTTGCTGCCACAGCTGTTCCTTTGTGCTGCTGGTGAGTGTGATGTGTTCATAAAATTTATCTCTGCAAAACAGAAAGCTTTATACTGAAACGTGCATCCTCCCAACATTCTGAGTCAGGTAAGCTGAATAACAAAAAGATTCTTAATACCTTAAATCTCTACCTGCTCTGGAGTTGTCTTAGTTTCATTTTCAAGGATTAAAAAACAAAGAGTAAATATTAGGAGTGCATCCTTGCAGGGGAGTTTTATTAAAAAAAAAATGCAATACACACTTTTCAGCTCTAAAAGCCCTTGAAATATCAAATAATTGTGTGTATTTTCTATAAAACCTTGTACTGAATTATCCTTTTTACTGTTGATTAATAACATTCAAGAAACAGAAAAGAAAATAATATTTTGGCATGTCAGGGATATTGCAGTAAAAGTTAGTCTCACTGTTCATTTGCAAGCACTTGCTCCAATCATTCAGAGTTTTGAGATTAAAAAGAGCTCTGCTTTGCCTTTAATTTATCATCCTTTTTCACTAGTGGAGGTGCAGATTAAAACAACCAATTTGCCCTTTTTGTTCCCGCTGTTTGCTCTTCACACACACACACTTGCTGTTTGCAAAACTTCCCTTTCACAGTGAATCTGATACCCTGAGATACCAAATGCTAATCTCTCTTACGATGTGCAGGTGAAACAGGATTTGTTTGAGTGGGCTAAAGAGGGTGAAATGTTTAAAATAACATTTTCAATGTTTTTTTCTTTCACATTTATAAGATTGATTGATTTAGAGGTGTGGCAATAATATCCAATATACAAAATTCTTATATTTTTTCCTGTGATTTTTATGCTCTGTAACATTATTTCTCAAGTGTCACTAGGCTTCAGGTTTCCTGGAGATGTTTAATCACAAATATAAATGTCATCTACACATTTGTAAAGTGCTCTCAAATGAATGACATCCATTTCTGTTAGAGATGTTGTGAAGAGGATGAGGAATGACATTTTCCCTTTTTCTAACAGAAAGAAAGAAGTTTCTTCTTTATGCAAGGCGTTCAGAAATAAGAGGGGTGGACATAGAGAACCCATATTTCAACTTCATCACAGCCTTCACTGTTCCTGACATTGATGATGTGACAGTCATAGATTTTGATGCTGTTGAGGAGCGTTTATACTGGACTGATGTGAAAACACAGACCATCAAACGTGCCTTCATCAACGGGACTGGTTTAGAAACCATCATTTCAAGAGGTAAACAGCACAGCATTGAAGTAAAAATAATTCCTTCTAGTGAAATGAGCATGCTAAAATAGGAACATGCAGGTTGTTGATATGTGTAACTTGCCCTGGTATTGGATAATTGATCTAAACAATAAGCAAGCAGAATTTTCTTTAGGATACTAGTTCACTTTATTGATTGATAATTCAATTTTATGTAAACAAATCGGGATGTAATTTTGCATTGATTTTGTGCAAGATTGAAATGTGTAGTAAAAAAAAAGGATATTAATGTCTTGAAGGTAGAAAGAATAAAGATAAAAAGCAGGAGAAGCCCAGTATCCTGACACAGCTTTGCACTGGAATGTCCTTTGGTTACCTATGTTGACCTAGCAATGCAATTGGCTCTGTCAGGGTTATTGTCTCTTTCCAGACCATGTAAATCTCTCAGCTTTGGGGCCACTGGTGAAACCACAACATGGCAGTCTGGTAATTTTGGTGATACTGTTGTAATGTGGTTTTTTTCTGTACAGAATATGTACATAAACACAGAAACTTAATAAATAAAAAGTCTATATCTGATTGCTTCAACACTATTTCAGTAGCCCTGGTACTGAAGTGAAAACTATTTTTTGTCCTTGGTAACATTTGGTTTTTGTTTCCAACCACTGTCAGTTCCTCTCCTGGCAGCACTTGTTGTTCTACCTTGTAATGTACCTACCTGCTTGAAAATAAAAGAAACTGACTATGTGAAAGCAAATTTTGCTAACTCTGGTTCCCCAACAGTTAAATGAATATTTGGTGGGGAAGAAGGGAAAAGAAATAGCTCAGTTGTGTAAGATCAGACCTTCTCTGACTTGGAGAACAAATAAATCATATAGTTGATTATCTGGAGACTTCAGGAAATAGATAGTTCAAGCTCTGCCCCTTGTGTCACTTTAGAAGAAATTACTTCTGTGTAAGCACATTTTGGGAAATGTTTGGACAAATATGGCAATTTTCCCATTTTGTAGACTATGAATTAATTTATTTTGTATGGCTACTTTTTCTTTTCCCCTGCTATTTCAGAGACAACTTTATTAACAATCAGATATGTTTTTCAGTCCCAGTAATGAGAGCAAGGCTTAGACTGCCTCAGAGATTTTTATATCAGGTATTCAGGTGCTCAACAGAGGGACTTGTTGCTTGCTTTTTTTCAAAAAGTAGTAGAATAAAAAAGTTGTTTATTATTGAAAAACCACTGAACTTGTCATGGAACCTAATGAAACCAAAAGAAATATACTGTTCTTTCATGTTCCTTTTATTATGGTAGCTTCTGTGGTAGAGGTTTTTGTGGTTTGGTTTGTTTTGATTTGATATTTTTTTTTTGGTTTTAGTTCCAGATGTAACTTTTTTATCATAAATTTGAGAAAATTACAATGTTCTGGCACATCAAAACATTGTAAGGACTGTTTATTATGTGTAAACTATCTCATTTGCTTACAGTTGTGTTTTTATACTTATAAGAACATAACAAGCTTTGTGAGCACATCCTGGTGGGAGTCTCTTTGGGTGAAGTCTTATGCCAGTGTCACAAAGATGCCAAGTCATGCTTAAATCTTTTTCAGAGTATGAAAATCTTATTTACTAGTTCCTACAAACAAACAAAAAAAAATCCAGAAGGGCAGGGGAGCAATTTAAAATGGGTCAAGGACTGTGTGTTTGGTGTCCTTGGCTGCATTCTGTGATGTTGGCAAACTTCCTAATGCCCAATCACTGCTCAGCCTTATGGACATGTAAAGCAGTCCTCAGCCACTTCCATGTCAGTTTGTCAAGGGCAATAGTCCTGTCAGGGCAAATTACCATGTTGAGTTGACAGGAGATGTGTATAAATGATCAACTATAATGAATCATTCAATCACCCTTGCCCTGTTCCCTTCTCCACAAAGATGCCAACCACTATTAACTCAGGGCAGAGGGGTGTGTTGGTACCTAGAAATGGGGCAGTGACTTTACACCCAGTATTTCAGGCAGATTTTAACACAGATTGACATTTATTTAAATACCTTGCTAAGGAAGACCATCAAGTTACCAAATCACTCATATCATATTCCTGTTTTGCTGCCTCAGGTAATAATGGTGCTGTGACTCCCAGCCCCTCATGAGCTGCTCCTTCATGGGGAAGAGAATCAGAAGGGTAAAAGTGAGAAAAGTCTTGTGTATCTTATAAAAAACAAATTAATACAAAAAGTAAAAGCTATGAACAGCAAGAAAGCAAAATAAAGACGTCATTCCCTGCTTCCCATTGGCTGACAGATGTTTTGCCATATTGAAGAAGGCAGGGGAGTAACTTGAAGTCTTCAAAGCCTTCAAAAGTAAAACCAGTGAACTTCTCCAGTGTCACAAGTACTTACGAGCTACAGACCTATGCTATAGACCAGTGGTTTTAATCCAGATCCTCTGCACTGAGCCCTGGTGGAGCTGAAGAAGGAAGGAGGCTTTTAAATTTCAGCGTAGCATTGGTTTAGAATGCCACTGAGCAATAAATGCCTTCTGTAGTAGAAGTATACAATGCAGAAGTTCAGCATTTCTGATTAATTTTTTTGGGACAATAGGTTTCATGCTGTGAATATTCAGTGTGATTTTCATGTTCTTATTGTTAGTGTAGCAGGCCTAGGAAGAAACATAAAGATTATTAATTCTTGGCAACTAGTTAATAAATCCATCTCAATAGAATATTGCACAGGGTTGTTAACAAATTGTAAAATAAATTAATCTTTTTTTTTTATTTTTATCCCTAACACTGACAATAATCCAGAAAGAAAATCAAACAAACTGCTTTCCCTTTTTGCAGATATTCAGAGTATCAGAGGTCTTGCAGTGGATTGGATATCCCGTAATTTATATTGGATTAGCTCAGAATTTGATGAAACCCAAATTAACGTGGCACATTTGGATGGTTCCTTGAAAACCTCAATCATCCATGGAATTGACAAACCCCAGTGTCTTGCAGTTCACCCAGTAAAAGGGTAAGGTATCCATGGTTGTGATAAATAAACTGCAGTAAGCCTCATCAGAAGGTGGCTCTTCATTTGTATTTTAGGTTTGGCCATTCTGCTTTCCTTCAAATTTAAAATAATGAATTTTAAAATTTTACTGAAAATATCTTGACTGAATACTTCCTTTAGAAAGATGCTGATTAAATAATGTAACTATTATTTTATTTATTATTTATTAGTTGTGCACTTTGTCTGGTAAACTGATGAATGTTTCCACTACTGACTTCTTGGAATCACTGTGTGCACAAAGCAATATTGTAAATATGTAAATTCTCCTCTTCAGGAAGCTGTACTGGACGGATGGCAACACAATCAACATGGCAAACATGGATGGCAGCAACAGCAAAATACTCTTTCAGAATCAAAAAGATCCTGTTGGTAAATACCTTTTTTCCTGTTTCTTTTTTAACTGAGAGTGATTTGTTATGGACATTATCTTGAACTCCTGTTTAAATGTACAATGACGTTTTTCATCTACAGTGATAAGAACAGACATAAAGATATGAACAACACTTGTGTTACTGTTGTGTTTCACAATTTAAGATGTTTTTGGCCCTTTGTAACTGAAATCCACTGTAGATTTAGTGGAGAATTATTGACTTCTAGGACTACAGTAGACTCAAGGAGACCCCATCTGTATTTATCAATTTTTGTGACATCATGGGTACAAAAATGTGGAGGTCAGGGTTTTAATAAGTTGTGGATATTTGTGAGAGGATGCTTTGACTGCAAATGTGGATCCTTCCTGGCCAGAATCCCAGCTGCATAATCAAAATATAAACTGGCCCTTAACTTTTCACACCGAGAAAAAAGCCACAGTTGAAGCATCCATTTCATATCATGACTTAGCCTGTTTTGTTATTTGGGGATTCACATAGTTGATGATAAATTATGGCATTAAAAAAAGAAAAAAAGCTCTTTCCATGTATATTTTTTGGTTTTGTTTAAGTCTCTCTTGGTAGATAATTTCATTTTTAGGGAGTTAAAGTGGTTATGACAATTGTTGCTGCCTTGTTAGTGGCCCACCAGTAAAGTGATTTTAAAATGTTTATTTTTTTAAAACTGAATGCATTAAGCAAGCAGAACTGAAAGTGATTTAAAGAATTCAATAAATTTGACATAAGAGCAACATGACATACATTTTACATTTAAATTCAATGTAATTTTGTAGAAATTACTTGATAACTGTTTTACTGTTGATAAGATTATCTGTCTATCCACTTGAAGAGACAATTACCTTTTTATCTGGAGAGAAAAGAGTGGTAAACCAACTAATTTTAAGGTGAAGAAAAAGCACTTATTATAACATTAGAGCAAGATTAAGGACAGTTGTGGGCAATACTTTGCACTGAATATTTTGTGATCAGAGGTCACAAGGTCCTAAATTGCAGTGCTTAGGGTTTTCAATATCAAACTCTGAATTAAAATATAAGCAAAATGCCAGTTTCAATGGTTTAAATGTTTTTGGTTTGTTTTGGGTTTTTTTGTGGTTTGTTTTTTGGGGTTTTTTTTTGTTGTTATTGTTGTTTGGTTGGTTTTTTTACCATTAGCATAAGACAGTCCCATGCTAAGAACAACAAAACTCTTCTAAAGATTTAGGAAGTAGCAGTCTTAAAACCTTAATTTAATATTTCATTTGTGCTTTAAGAAAACTGTCTTTTCCCTTAACTGAAGCTCTAGTTCATGCAGTGCTAATTTTGAGTGTTTGGGGAGTTCTCAGTAGATTGCTGAAAAAGACAAATATCTGTTTTATTAGAGTTGGATATCCTGGTAATTGATGGGCTGTTCAGTTTTCTTGGTGTAAAATTTCAGAACTTAAAAAATGAGGGAGTTTTCCAGTCTGTGACCTGAATTATGGTGATGGATTTATTTTTCCTATTTGAGCTCCATCAAAACAAGGAGACAATTTTTCAATTACAGTATTTTATATTATTACCAAGAGTATTTTTAGTATGGAAATTTTGGGAATTATACTCTGAGAATGACAGATAGTATAATTTATTTTTATCTTAACTAGTACAAACTAGTTATGTTTAGCTGGTCCATTCTGCAGTTCTAAAAGTCACCAGTGCTAACACATATATTTGTTGATAAAAGAACTGGTTGTTAGAGTGCCAACAATCTGAATTCTTAGGAATTCAGAATTCATGCTTAATTTTATACTTTGTTGGGCAAATCATTTGCTCATTTGAGTTCTCTGAGACCAATGTTTTCCAGTCCTCATGTTCAGATTCACTTTAGCAGATTTAAGCCAGTCACACTTGAATTCATCATGAATATCTGTGATGCTTATGGCCAATAAACACTTGTTTTCATTAGTAAAGCAGGACAATTCCTGAAAAAAATCTGATTAAATATGCTCTGGCTACATTAGAAATAATGTGTTTTTGCAAATGTTGGTAATAGGTGGAAAGTATTTGTGGGAGAATAATGTGCTAGAATTGTGTAGAAGGAGACAGGAATGTATTTCATGTCAGTTGGTGCTGTGTAGGTGGAATGCCTGTGTGAAGAAGCACCAGTTGGATATCTGAAGTATGAAAGCAGACAGGACAGGGCTGTACTTACTGCTCAGCTGGTATTGGCAGCGCCTCACAAACAGATCCCGTCCAGGGGCAGTCTGTGGGCAGCTGCTCACGGGCAAGACCTGTGGCAGATCCCAAAAGCTGCACATCTCGAAGCAGGGAAACCTTCCTGCTGGTGTTTTCCCCGTTTACCCACACTGATATTCCCAGGGAAGTTCCCTGTGCTGGGAATTCCCTGTGCTGTGCCCGTGTCCAGGATCCCTGGCGCTCTGTGCTCAGAGGGAAGCTGGTTGTGCAAACGCGAGGATGTGAACCGAGAGATGAGTCCCTCCTGAAGGCACTGCTCCAGATCCTCCCCCCAGCGTGTGATGTTTCCTCCTGGGTGAAACACTTCCAGAGAGGTGGAAGGAAATATCAGTTCCTGCAAAGGGACTGGGAAGGTGTTTTTTAGGAGCTCAGAAAGCAGACACCTTTTGGCCTGCCGCGTCAAATGTGCATGGAGAAGTAGTGACACGATGGCAGCTGTAAGGGCTGCAGCTCATGGCACTGCTCTCTCCTGTCAGGGTTTCCAAAGCAGCTTTCCCCAGGATGGAAAAGACTACAGTACAATATCCAGAGCTTGACCCATGCAGTGAAACACACTATTTTTTGGCAACTTGCTGCTAGATACTTAGCATGAGTTCTGGGAAAGCTGGAGCACCGAAGCAAATTGTTATGGCGGGTATTGTTGCCATGCCAAGAATATTTCACTGTGGAAAATCTCCTGCTACCACTGGAACATTTTTAAAGGATTACAGCAGTCTGAAATACATTATCTCCTTGTTCTTTACTCTTACTTTCAGAAAACTCTATACTTTATTCATTTAGTAGCTTATTTTGCAAGTATCTTTATGTTGACAGTTCTCTTGCTTCAAGCTCCAAAGAACTGATTATGAGGTCAGTTCACTATGAATCAAAATGAAAAGTAATACTATAAATTTATCAGGAGTTTGGATTAGATTTTGGTATTTCATCATCCTAAGCAGGGAGAGAACTGACTTTTTATAGTTCTGAATCACAAAAAGTACCTTGTTTACCACGTCTCTGTATTCATAATTTTAAAATATAAATGATGGCTTCTGGTTTGCATTTACAAGTTGTTAATAACCTTGCTTAGGACCTCAGCTTATTCAAGTAATTCTTCATTGCCAGATAATGCTTTTCATCAGTCTGTCACTGGTTTTGGTAACTGATGAAAGAAATAAATGGCACTAATCTTTCCAAAAGCCTGTTTCTTTCATTGGAAATTCAGTTTTCTCTCTTTTTTTTTTTTTTTTGTGTAAGTAGATGAGTGAATAGATAACATAGTTGTGTGTGTATATATATTATATTATATATACATTATATTCCTTAAATGAGCTTTCATAATGAAAACAGCTTAACAAGAAATGTATATCATGCATTAAAGCCACAGTTAAAGTTGTATGCATTAATTACAGGTTTATCAATAGATTATGGGGAGAACAAGCTTTACTGGATCAGTTCAGGAAATGGAACCATAAGCAGATGCAATTTGGATGGTGGTAATCTCGAAATAATTGAATCAATGAAAGAAGACTTAACAAAAGCCACAGCTTTAACCATTATGGGTAAGTCCAATGATAATATATTTTTAAATTATTCAAAGCTAATTAATAATGAAATATAAGAAGCTTAGGGATGTTATTGTTGGTTTTATGTAAATAATACATACAGTACATCCACAAGTCAAACTGTGTTGTCCATAAAAAGTTCTTTATGTTCAGTTGAACAGTTTGCAATCTCTATTACAAGGATATTCTCAATTGTAGATTTGCATATATATATATATAGAGAGAGAGAGAGTGAGAGGAATGAAGGTAACAAATTGGTGGCTTGTATTTACTATAGTCCCGTGTAAAGAATTTTGAAAGGGGAAGGAGCTTTTACACTGTTTATTACACAGAATTATCCATGACGTGTTTCCTCTGCTCAATTCCTCCTACTTAGTTCACAATATTCTTAGTTTGTTGGATTGCCTGGCACTTTGGGAAGACTTCTTTGGGTTAAAATTGATGATTGAGGATTTGGATTTTCAGATGTCTGCTCATCTTACATGTATTAAATTGATTGAAAGAAAAATATTCTATTTGTTACAGTTTGTAAATATGAAATTTTTAGAATGTTCAAAAACATCTATCAGAAAAATAAAAAGAATGGTAGCATATGGAAAAATTCTTTAAAAAAATCAGTGAATTGCTGATCACTGAATCTTATAAAAATATTGCTTCAAATGGACTTTTTCTCACATGCACCTTCAGCTCTTGGTCGTTGTTGTAGCTGGGACAGAGTGTAGTAAGAAATTCCAGGTGGATTCAGAATTTACATTTATGCTTCAGAGCTTTCCATATTTCCTGCAGATTACTGACCTCTATTCTGACTCACTTAAAAATAATTTTTATTTATCTTGGGTATTGAAAAAAAAATAAAGTTCAGTTGATAAACAGACTTTTGTTGGGATGAGTGGGTTATCAGCTCCAGTATCAGTGTCAGTCTTTTAATGAAATATTTCTATATTTCTTATTAATTTTTATAATTATTATAATTTTAATATTTCTTATATTTTATATTTTATTATTAGTGACATTTTCTTCTTATTTGTAATATTTCCTTATTTTTTATATTTCTTATTATGAAATAGTTTATTTGATTGATTAATTAAATAATAATTATTTACATATAGATGGCATGCAAGTGAAAATTAAATAAGATTTAATGATTTTTTTATGCATATGGTGTAAATGGTATCATATTTAAAGTGGTAATTACTAAATTGGATTTCTTATACACCCATTTGGCCAGTACTGAACTGTAAATGCTGTCAGTATCTGTTGGAGATTTTATACTTCCATATACGCATTCATAACCGTGAACAGGTTTGGTGTCAGAAGGAATCATGAATGTTAATTTGGACAAATTGTTTTTCATTGATTGGATTGTGACTGAAAGTAGACTGAATAAATGACCCTTGCTCTGGGCAGATGTTGGAAGTCATTACCAGGAGGTGTAAAGCGTTTTTTGTTTGTTCCTACTGTCACTGAGCTGGTGGTGGTGTCAGGTCCTCCTCACCTGCCATTCACAGAAGCTACAACAGTGAGGATCCCTTTGGGACAGGGAATAAAGAGTTTATAGCTGCCATGTAAAGAAAAGTGCATGAAAGTAATTGAATTTTTGCACATCTGGAGATGGAAGAATATCTGCCATGTAGGTTTTATCACATCTACCTCTACTATTCATAGTTTGGGATACTTGTTTTTTTTATGGGTGATGTCAGTTCTTTCTCCTCAAAAATGGTGAATGAAACTTACAAAACTTGGGGCTTTCTGTTTGTTTTGCTTTGGGATTTTAGAATCATAGTCATGCTAAACTGCATCTTGACGCTGCAGTGGGATTCCCCATAAAAATCTGCTGGAGAAAAAGTACAAGCACATACAGTTTTATCAGCAGGATTGTATGTGCTGATTGAAAAACGTGAAAAGTTCCTGCATTCATTTCTCCTGTAAGGTTCCATATTGTGGAACACACTGTGGTAATATAAATGCCACTTATTTTCCTAAAGAGTGTGTAGATATGCATCAGCTTCTTACAAGGAGGCTTTTGTGCATGTAAAGTGGGTCAGAACAGAAAATCCAGTGCCATGTGAAGCAAGATAAGAGAACTCTAATTGATAAATGGTCATAATTAATAATATATAAGTAAAGAAGAATGACTAATTTGTTCCAATGAAAGATTTAATGTGATAGTGTATGAAAATTTACTACCCCTGCTGATCTGCTTGTCTACAAGTTTAATCAGAAGTTTAAGCAGGTGAACCACAGTAATTGCAATGTTTATTGCATCGTTTTTGCTCCTATTACTAAATTTTCTTGACTGCTTGTATCTAAAAACACAGTAAACACAATAAAGCATGAAAGAAGAATTTCTCCTGTGTGAATATACTGAGATTTTTTTTGTACCATTTGAATTCATCAGTGACTGAAGAGAGAGATGATACCTGTTCCCAAACACTTAACTCTTTTGTAGGATTTAATTTCTGCTCAGTGCTGGAGAGCTCTGTAATCTTCAGTTTTCTTTTGCATTATTCTGTCTTTTGCATTTAGTGTTTTCCCAGCTAAAAGCAGTGTTTTGGACAGTTAATTTTCTTTGTTGGTATATTTTACTATATGATCTTGTCATATTGTTGGGTTATGTTTCCATTGAGCAGAAAAAGGAGATGGAGTTTGAGACTCCCTCTGTACAGCTGTACATTGTGTCACCAGGTCACAGAGTTGTCACTTGTTGATCACCAGGACCTTTACTGGACTGAGGAGCTGAAACAAGGACACAGTGGAGGGCACTTCAGTGGATTGAGGGGATGGTAATGTGGTCTGAGGTAGCCCTGGCTGCCATGCACCCATTCCCTGCCAAGGCTAGGTGCTCTGAAGGAGGAAGGATCTTCAGAAAACCTGAATTTCTAATAAACTTACTACACCAGTGATGCCTCTTGAAGCACCTCAGCTGTTAATTTTGAAAATTTCTTTAGCTGTTTGGGAAGCATCTTCCCCAGCCATCAGTCTCCTTGTCTCAGAGACACCCAAAAAGAATCTCACAGCCTGTGTCAAGAGCTAATGCCTTCCATCCCATGTCTGGACAGAATTTTGTACAGAAAACTCACAGCTCTGATGGTTCCCAGTGGCTTTTGCTGTGTCTTACACTTCATGTTCCAGAAGATTTCTCAGAGCTATAAAAATGGTGATGACTGGGAGAGGCTTGGCCCAACCAAGACTTGTTCAGTTTGCCTTGGAAATTTGTGTGCTGTTCTTATAGCTCGAGTTTCTTGATCTTTGATTCTGTTAGTTTCAGTATTGCAAAAGAGAAGCAGTTAGACCCTCCATGGTTGTGTTCTTTGATTTGAACTCTATAGACTCTGCCAGTGAAGTCAGTAAAGTTTTTGGTTTGCTTTGTAATATAATTTATGGAGTGGTTCAGAGCTTCACCAGCAATGAGGATCTCCTTTAGCACGACCCCTCAATCTCCACATTGTTTTTATTGCTTCCAATTCCTCTCTTTTAGCATTGCAGTTTACCTGTTGGAAACCATTTGGAGGTTACCACTTCTGTTTCAGATGTTTGCTGTTGTTTAGTCCTTTCCAGGCTCTGTTTAACATTTTCCTACTATTGCATTCTTTAGTGGAAGCTTAGAGAAGGTAATGATAAGACATAAAAAATAATGTTAGCAAACAAGTTGTGCCAAGGTAACCGTCAGGTTTATCCTTGAGGGGAATGGAAACAATATATAATTCACATCTTTCTGTATTTTGGGTCTTTCATTTATTGGTTTTCTACTCAGCAGTGTCAGTCATCTTTGTTTTTCAATATGCTGAGCAAAATTCCTAGTCTTTTGGTGCCTGCTTTTGCTAAACCTTTTTGAATGTGTATATCAAGTGGAATATTATTTTCATCCCCATTTTTCCATGGGATGAAAATAATATTCCATTTCATATGTACAAAATGGCTATTTTTTCCATGTCTTTAAGCATACAAGAAAAAAAAGCTTGCTGTTGCCATTCTGTATTACAAAAAAGTTGCTGTAAAGCTCTGAAGTCATACGTGCTTTTCTACTCTTACCACTTTTTATTCAAATCCATATTCACTCTGTGAGATGTCAGTGTGTGCAACATCAGCCATTTTTAATTCTTCTATCAGTCAAAAACCACATGAATGCTTTGTCTAGTACCTCCCACTGGTTATTGTCTTTCATTTGGTCATAGCAATTTTCTTCTTTACTATGTAAACTTGACATTTTATTGTCTTCAAAGACCTCTGCTGGTTTTTTTAGTCATTTAGAAGCTTATCTGATTCACAGCACCCTGTGCCCTACATAATTTTCAACACCTGCTGCTGGCACAATTTATAAGTTGGTATCAAATAGATCCCCTGTTCTGATATTCAGCATGTTCCATGTGAAAGAATCTCTGAATGTCTTATACAGTACAGCAAAATTCTTTTCAACAATAATAAAATACTTTCTATATTTGTCTTTGAGTTTAATCTACCATTCAATATCTGATTTTAGCCATTTTCCTGGTAGCCAGTGTTTTGAGTGAGATCAAATGATAAAGATGTATTTGGAATTCTGCATAAAGTCTCATTTCCTGCCTCCCAGGTTACTTAGTGAAAATGGTCCCTTGACTGTTGTTGAAACTGGTTAGAAATTTTCCTTTGATGTGAGAGCTGTATTTCTGTGTTGGTGAGCAGAGTCATTATTTCACACAATCTGAGTTGCAGAGGAGCTCGCAGCAATATCTGACATGTTTCCAAACTGGTGTGTTGTTTCTTGAATGACAAATGACTCTCCATAAGAAACTAGAAAAGTATTGATTAGTTACTGTAAGTCTGTAGCTGAGAAGAAAGGGATGCTGAAGGCTTCTATCAGCAGTTTTGGTGGAGGCTTTTGGTTGGATTTTGTATCAGGTCCTCACAGAAATACAATTTACACAAAACTACAACATTCAGCTTAGTCTCTACAAAATAGGAATATAACGAGGATATAATTTGTTGTGCATTTGGTCTTTTTTTAGTATATGGAAGAGTAACTCTAAGTAGTGAATGATTTTATGTGTTAGTGCTATTTCTGTTGAAGTTCATATTAAAAAAAATCAATCAGCAATACAACAAAATCAAATATACGTAATAGGTGTTCAATGGGCATGCAGATATTAGGAGAACATTTCTTGAACAAAAAGTGTATATAAATATAGCCATCAAGTTGTATTATCAAGCCATCAAAACAGAAAGTAACAATTATAGTATTTCATTTTAGACAGAAAATGTAGGTTAATAGTATCAAAATATATTCATGCTCCCGTTTATTTTCATTGTGCATTAGATGATATATTGGTTATTTGATTTTTGTTTCATCCTAAATAAAGTTTCAAAACTAACACCATAATGCTTTCCTAGTAGCTCAGATGGAGGGAGCTGTGACTTTGCTGGATCTGTTTGCAAAGTGAAAGGGGCTGCTCAGATCAGGGGACTTCAAACACACACACCTTAATTTTCCAAGTCATCAGTCTTCTAATTACCGTAACACCATTCATTACGTTAGCATTAATATATGAAATATATCTAGGCAATTTGCCCGGTTCTAAGTGCAGTACATAGTTGTCTTCCATAAATACTCAAACCACCATTAATGAAAACTAATGGCCCATCAAAATTTGCATTCGGAGTGCTACTTGAAGTCTCCAAAGGACTGTCCACAAAGCTAGGGTAGCAATTTTTGGCATCTGAAGTTGCTGTTTCCCAATATGTTGCTGCACTTAATACTAATTACTCAACAGAATGGATAAATACAACAATTTTAATATATATTATAACCCAGTTTCAGCAACAAGATTGTAATTAGTGATCAAGCAACATTCTTGTTAGCATAATCAAGCGAATAAATCACTTTCGTTTGATGCTTAAAGGTCCAAAACAGCATTTTTTCTTCCCTTGTGTGTGAAAGCAAGTTGTCCTTACGCTGAAGTGGGCTTTTTGTAAAATCATCTACTATATTTTAAAATTAATATAGAAATAATTAGTTGATCCTGAATCCTAGACATCATAGATGAGTTGTCTACTGACAGAATATCAATAATGCAGAGAGAAATAGTCCAAATTTAACTTAGAATTATGGTCAAAAATAGATATGTAATTGTTTTGTTCTGGTTTTCTTCCTTGATTTGAGACTGCAGCGGTGTTTGTTGGTCACCTAGCAGTTTCTGAAGAATTGAAGCATTTATTTCTTCGGTTTTAGGGCATAACTGGCAAGTTTTTGGTAGTCATAAGAGGTTTGACCTCAAAGTGTCTGTACTTCAGAATTTGTGTGTTGTTTTGTTCTGGCATATTGGTTTGGTTTTTTTAGATTGATGGGGGTTTTTGATTTTATTATATTTTTTACCTTTTGGGGTGTGTTTTTTTTGTTTTGTTTTAGTTTGGTTTTTTTGGGGTTTTTTTTGGTTTTTTTTTTTTTTTTTTTGTTTTGGTTTGTTTTTTGTTTTTATTTTTGACTATACTAGTTCAGGATTTGTATAACCTTTCTCATGTAAATCCCCCTACTCTATCCTTGTCTCTTTCTAAAAGTCATAGTGTACCATACCATGTAAGCGAAGAATAAGCACTAGTTCAGTAAGATTTTGTAAGTTACACTTTTATATAAAGGTTTATCCTGGTTTCACACTAACAACAAAGAAAGTGGAAGGTAAAATAATTTTGAAGAGTATTGTGATACTTCATTTGTGAATTGTTGTGATTTCTCCTTTATATTGGTGTAGCGGATGTAGGAGACTCCTCAACCTCTGCAGTCACAGTTGAGTACCTTAGGATTAATAATGAGTTTTTGAAGTGTTATTTTTGTCACCAGAGGAGAACAACTCCAGGGTCTGATGAGTCTGACACCATTGATGGAAATTGTTTAGACACTTAACTGTGCAAGGAAGCAGATGTGGTCTCTCTTTGTTTTTGTTTACCTCAATAAACAAAAGAGGTTCCTGATGCAACATTCAGCTGCTCATGTGAAAATCAGTTTGGTTCTGGACTTATTACCAAAAGGGAGAAATGAAAATATTTGTGGTGTAGATAATCACTGGTAAATACACTCCTTGATTAAGTACATGCCATGTGTTCATCTCTTGGTAAAACAATATGACAAGTTGGTTATTTGGAGTTTTTGTTTCTTTCCGTTTCCTAAGGAGACAGGCAGGTCAGCCAAGGACAGGTTTGGGAGGTTGTTGAAACCATAGCCAAAGTTGAGGTTTTGCACAAAATACTAAAGAAATGACTAAAACAGTTTGATTACTTGAAATAAAGGATGAAAACACCAAAACCATATGTAATTTGCTTTCTTCTGTACCCCAGTCTGACAAAACAACTAATTTTTTATAAATGGATTTGGATGTGTAAAACAGTAAGTTCATGTTACTATGCACAAAACACCAGACATTATTTAATTTGGTTAATTTAATTAAATTAACCAAAATTATTTAATGGCCTTCTCTGATTTGTGGTCACAAAGAGGATGTGAACAACAAAAACTCTTCCTCACATACAAACATTTAATTGAAAAAATTCACCAAACCATTAGGATTGTGGGTCATTATCTAACAGGAAAAAAACAATTCAAATTCCCAATATTTCATATATGGATTATAGCACACAGTCACCTTCCCATTTTTAGGTTTCATGTGCCTTTTTGTTATAATTGACATAATCGAAATTGAGCACAGGCACTTCTTGTTCTAAGCATTTTCTGATAAAATTGTTTTTAGATGCAAGCTGCTGTTAATGATCATTATTGCATGATGATGTTTTGAATCAGTCAATTTTAGACTGACTAGTCAATGCATAAAATTTTAGGTTTTCTTTAAATTTAATCCAAATTTTAAGAGAGAGTTCAATTTGTGTCTCCAAATCTTGATATTTTTCATTCTGCAGATTCTGGTCTTATCATATACTTGTGGAGAGTATGTTTTGGATTTTTCCTGGATATTTTATTTTGTGCTGTAACTTTTTACAGTTACCACAGTGGCAATTATTTTTTAGATCTGCACTGTCTATCACAAATCACTTGACTCTTATGGCTCTATAAATCCATTATTTAAATATTAAAACTGTAGTGTAGGCAAAAATTCTTTTTACTGAAAAGAGAATTAACTCAAAGTGAAGTTAATGCACAATATTTGTTGGGAAGGCAGTGTTCCTGAAGTTTAAAGGTTTTCAGTTGAAGGTTTTACTATTGGTTCCTCTACCAAAAAGTAATTTATAATAATAAATAATTAATAAATAAAGAATAAATAAATAAATATAATAATAAATAAAGAAAAGTAATTATCTTTTCTGTCAGAAATGAAGAACCCTGAGCCCATCCCATTATTCATCTGTGAGGACTCCAATCACAAGATTGGCTACAGTCTTCAGCCATTAGTTCACTGAAGTTTGAGCTTGAAATCAAAGCTCTTAAAATTGTAATTCTGAAACATTGGGAGGCAGTGCCTGTTTTTCAATTTTTTTCAGGACTTCTTAATAACTGATTGTATTTTTTTTAATCAAATACTTAGTTTAATATTTCAAGCAATTTTGTTTGCTTGTGAAAATGAATTTCTTCTCTAGGGTAACACTAGAATTTCCACATATATATGAAAAATGAGGCATTTTTCTATGCAGGTAGCCTTAAATCAGAAGTTAACTCAGCAAAAGTAAAACTGGTGAAAACTGCTTTCATGTCTGCAGAATCTTAATAACACAGTTTCTTCAGATTTTCTCTATAACCTCTTTAGGTGATTTCCCTTAAAACTGATCTCAGAATTAACATCAAAAGCTTTTTCCCACCTTAGGTCTCAACCACATACTGTTTGATAGTGATCCTCCTAATTTCTGAAACTATATTTTACAGATAAAAAGCTTTGGTGGGCAGATCAGAACTTGGCTCAGATCGGCACCTGTAATAAAAAAGATGGAAGAAACCCAACTGTCCTGAGAAACAAAACTGCAGGTGTGGTTCACATGAAAGTGTATGATAAGGCAGCACAGCAAGGTAAGTCACGTTTGAAGGATGTTTAACCAATTTTTAGAGTGCACAGTATCTTTTCTCATGTGGTTCTCCCAGTGTGAAGAAAATAATAATTTGGAATCAACTAATTCCTTGAGTATCTTAGTGAATTTAAATTTCTCTTCATGAAGTTTCAAATTTCTGAGATGTGTTTAGTTTGCTGTGTATAATGTCTACTATAAATCCTATTAAAATATATTTTCTGTTACTTAAATATGGTAATACTTAGCTAGGAGCATGGATTTGTGATATTACTTTGGAGTATGTCTTAAATATACTAAAAATTGTTCATTCATGAAGATAACAAGGGTAATATAATATTTGATGTATTTGTTCATGGTTTAGATTAAGATACACTAATGTCAATGAGATTTCGACTTAAATATGGTAATACTTAGCTAGGAGCATGGATTTGTGATATTACTTTGGAGTATGTCTTAAATATACTAAAAATGGTTCATTCATGAAGATAACAAGGGTAATATAATATTTGATGTATTTGTTCACGGTCTAGATTAAAATACACTAATGTCAGTGAGATTTCATCATTAACTCAACATAGAATGTTCAGGTTTTTCATATGCTTTTACTTCAAAATAGGCAGATTTTTCAGAAAACAGGATTATTTATGTTCCAAGGGGAAATATGGGGTTGAAATTCTGCATGAATATGCAGAATTGAATGCATGAGTAAAGCATGGAAAGGTGTATGAACTGATGAAATATTTTATGCATATCTCAATTTTTCACATAGGTTATCTGAACAAAAACTGGAAATAATAACAATATATTGACAACAACTCTTTTTAGCCAGGGTTGCATTGCTCAAGTGTTGGTTTCTCTTGTCTTTTCTCCTGCCATGTCATAGGCAGCAATTCCTGTCAATTAAACAACGGGGGATGCTCCCAGCTTTGTTTGCCAACATCAGAAACCACCAGAACTTGTGTGTGCACAGTAGGCTACAACCTCCAAAAAAACCGCATGGCCTGCAAAGGTAAAATGGCTTTCAGCATTTATTTTAACCAACTTAAGTTCCAGGGAACATTGCAAAGGTAAATAAACTTACTTTAGTCAATTTTAGTTAAATAACTATACTGAATATGCTTGATTGAAGCAGTAACAAAGAAATGTCTGTTGTGTTTAGGACAGAATTAAATTTAGCTTTTCATTAAATTATTCAAATACATTTCTGTGGTAACTCTGATTAATTTTTTTATGTAGACAGAAAAGCAGACCAAATGAACCATCATTCATAAATATTTGTTCAAGGTCAATCACATATCTTTAGATTACAGGGTACAGGTATCTGAATGGTTGGGTATCTCCTGCTATTGCATTGCTCTTAATATAAAATAAACCCAACTTTTTTCTTTAAATATTTTTCTTTTTTACGTTGGCAGAAGTCAGAACATACCTCACAGCCAAAGTCTTACTCTTTGCCTGAAAAATGCAGAACAACCTTATGGTCAAGGTGTCTTATAGTTTTATAAATGCAATATATTTATTTATTATATATATATAAATGCAATATATTTATTTATTTATAACTATTAATTAGGACTAAGTAATTTATGAGAGTTACTATGTAAGAAGTCTACACAGTAGAACTCATTCCTACTTAAAAGAAATAGGTGCATTTGGAATTTGATTAATCGAACACAAAAGTAGGCATTTAGAATGCATCACTAAAACAATGTAATTCTCTCTGCAGAGCAAATGTGCATAACTGAAGTGAGATGAAACCTGTACCTCAAAAGACAATTTTCTTTCCTGTTTTCCACAAGTTCTTTAAAATTATCTCTTGCTGAATATGTTCACAAAGCGCAGATGTGCACTGAAAATATTCTTACATTTCTCATAATTCGAACCCATTTTTTTCTTAAATTGTGATTTTCATTTCTGTTAATTACCTGATTATAAGGTGGTGTTTGACATGGACAGTGATTCCCTTCTCTTGATTGGACCACATTTGTAATTTAATTAGAAATGCACTGTAATAACTCATGGATGTCTTTTCAAAGATCTGGAGTTGTCACTCTGAAAAACTGTGGAGCACTTGTGGAAAATTATGTCTAATGTATGTTAGCTCCTCTTATCTTGGTTATTTGGAAAGTTTCCACCTTGCCCTCATTGGCTGCTTTATTTTTTCTTTAGGTATTGAATCATTTCTCATGTACTCTGTTCATGAGGGAATTAGAGGAATTCCTCTTGACCCAAATGATAAAATGGATGCTTTAATGCCTATATCTGGGGCTTCATTTGCTGTGGGCATAGATTTCCATGCAGGTAAATATAGTGTTAAATTTGTTGTAAGTATGGTTAAAATAGTAAGTTCTTCTCATAAACAAAATAACCCCTTGTTCTCAAACCTTCTAAGAAATTACAGCTCTGTTTAAAGGAATTGGAAATGCATCATGTTACAGAGTTAAGCTCTACCTTTAATATTTACAGTAGGAAATATTGTGCACAGCCAGTTGTTCTGGCAGCAGCAGCTGCTCTCTTTTGGCAGAGTCATCGCTGAGAACTTGAGTAGGAAACTGGTGCTTTTAGAGAAAGTGTAAAAAGGCTTGTTCCTGCTATGACACTGATTCCATGGAATTTTCTTAGTCCTGGGTGGTGTTGTACCTAGCAGGTGGCTTTGGCAGCTGAGTGGGGTGGTTTTCTCCCTGTCCAGCCCAGCTCAGCCACATTCCTGATGGGCACAAGCCAAGTCTGGATCTGTCTCTTCCTTCTGGAAGGAGCTCTGACAGCCTGAAGAGCAGGCATTTCCACCTGGAGTACACTACATACCTTTCCACTGTATACACAGAAATAGTTAATTTACACAGCCTCATAAACTTCCTATGAAATTAGGAGGTTTTAATTTTGCATGCATGTGAAAAAAGGTGGGAAAAATTAAAGATCATATTCTAAAAGTGATTGGATGGTGGTGGTGTTTGGATATCTTCAAACATGTTAGCAAGTTTTGATTAGTTTTTTGGAAAATAAATAATCTGTGACCAAGTAGTGACCTGAAAAATATCCTGTCTCTGTATTTTTAAACCATTAGGCTTCCTTCCAGACTCATTTTGTTACCCATCAAATTTACAAACTGGCAGTCTAGAAATAAAATCTTAAGTTACCAATGTTATATAAATACAGACATTACCTTCTTGCAACATACAATTATTTTGTCATACTCTATTGTTTTTTATTTTGACTCCGTTGTTTTTTATTTTTATTTTTATTCTGCCTGGGAATTCAGCATTGAGAGATACTATTTTTTTTCTTAATTGTATGTTAGTATTTGCCTTGGTATTGAAATCAGATCTATTTCTGTTGGCACTGTTGGACTACTTCATCATGCAAATATCACTAAACTTTTTTTATCAGGTTGGAAGTTAAATTAATTAAAATCTTCACTTTTTTTTGACCTGCTTCTTCAATGATGCCGTAGCATCTCTGCCTAGCAAAATCTCAAGTTCTCTCAATATTTTACAGCACCTTCATAGTTGCATATTTTGCTTTCAAATTAGTGGCAGCTGATGTTAAGAGCTTTTCTCACGTCACGGATGAGTTAGAGTCTCCAGAGACATAAAATCACTTAAAAGCCAGAACCTTTGTACACACACCTGAGATGGGAAAGACTCTGTTACAGAGATTTAATCTATTCCTTGAAAGACACAGGTCTTTCAAGACAGAGAAGTGGTAACCACATGTGATCATGACAGAGACTACTAAGACAATGCAATTGAGTTTTCTAGGGTTTGTACATTTTTTTTAATTTAAATTATGCAAACTTTACGAAATTATTGCATCTAACACAGAAGACAAAAATTTGACCTTTTCAATTTAAAATAACAATATTGTATTGACTTTTATTGGTTTTATTAGCTATTATCTCATGTTTTGGGTTGAGTTTTTTTTGTTTGGTTGGTTTTTTTTTTTGCAATACTCATATGTTATGTTATCTCCTACTTTAGAGAGGTTTATGCAGACTTAGCTAAGAATTATCAAACTAATATTTCGGAATAATGAGATTTTTGACTTTTTGGAAAAAATTAAATTTGAGGCTGGATGAAATTAAGTGATGTTCTCCAACTTGTCTTGGTGAAGTCACAGCACAGGGAATATGACTAGAATTGGCAGTGACAAATGCATTGCAAAGATAAATGTAAATGATGTGCAGCAGTGAAATCACAAGGGGATAGTGTGTTATAAAAATGTTACAGCTTTCAACAGCATTTCAGCTTCAAAAACATGTTTTTCTCAGTTTGATAACTTACATTGAATTGTATAAATTCATTTCTAAAACCTACATATATCAAATATGATTCAGAAAGCAAGTGGAGGCAGTTTCAGATTTCATTTTTTTTTTGCTTTTCACTTAGTGAGTGTTGCCTTCATTTCACTCTTAATCAAGAAAGATTCCCAAATTTTGCTGTTATCTCAGTAATTTAGGTATGCACTGTGTATAAAATATATTTACATATGCTAGTAGTACAGCATATCCTAATTAAAAGTCTAATGACAGTGTTTTTGCAGAGATTAACAAGCTAGAAGATGCATACACCTTTTTTCTCCCTGTGTTTTGATACTTCTAACTAAATTCTAGTTAGCAAATAAGTAGCAAAATGCATGACTCTCATATTTGTTTTGACTACTTGAAGTCAGAATTGTCATTTGTTTAGTTGGTGGTGGGGTAAGATTCTTGAGCATACCAATATTGTTTGGTCACAAATAACTATCTTATTTTACAAATATATCTATCAATCTACACAAATATTCACACAGACATACATATATATAGATACATGTGTAAATATGTAGATATGAAATATTTATATTTATTTATATAGGTAACATTTCTATGCTGTATATAGAAATATATATTCTATAAATACATTTAGACTATTATGGAATTAAAAGCAGATTTACAAAGTATGAGAAAAATAATGAACAAATATTATTTAATATCTCTCTGCAAAACATCTTACTAAGGAGGTCATCAGCTCATTACTTTGCAAGCAGGATGTTGGTTGCAGCTTATTTACAGAACCCTGTCAGTGAAAATAGAGACAATTCTGCTTGAGGGACGTTCTCACTTTGTTTGCCCCACCTCTTTTTTGAGGTTATTATGTGCCACAGAAGGCACATAAATGGGCAGTTTGCGTCTGTGCTTCAGCCACTTCAAATTCTCCATTGGCTGTTGAGTTTAAATGGTCAAGCAGTCCCTTTTTTGCAGAAAGGCTGGAAAGACAGCTGAGATGTCTTGAAACACCAAACAAAAAGACTGTTAGTGGAAGCTTGTCAGGACACTTAAAATAAAAACTGACTTGTGGATGGAATATATTTTTTTATTCTTTTGTCAGCATATCACTGTCAAATGTCACTTTTTATTTCCCTAGTTAATTTTTTTTTCCTTACACTGTTAAAATTCAATGTGTCTGATTACTGAAGGAAAAGTCTGTATAAGCAGTTTTACACTGTAGCTTTTCAGACTCCTGAATATTTTGGAATGGTGACAAACAAAATAGTGTTTTTGAAGCATTTATTCCATTAGGGAAAAGGTAAAGACAGCACATTTATTGTGATTTTTAGCAGAGGTAGTAGCTTCCTGTCATAGCCCTATTGTGCTACATGTGCTGTACTAAACAACCTGGAATTCTGACATAATTATTTTAAACAAAATTCAAGAAAAGGCAAACGAATGAGGAAATAAAGCTGATGATAATTTTGATACTAAATGCACGTTAAAACTATAAGTGGCAATATTTACAGTTGTTAATGCAGAAACTTGGACTGAAGAGAATTAATCTGAGAATCATTGGCACGTGTTTTATAGGAAACGATACAATCTATTGGACAGACATGGGTTTCAACAAGATCAGCAGAGCTAAGCGAGACCAAACCTGGAAAGAAGACATTGTCACAAACGGTCTGGGGCGAGTTGAGGGCATTGCAGTGGACTGGATAGCAGGTAGGTCTGAGCCTGCTCCAGGATGTGTCTGCATGGGGGATAAATCAAATGGGACTCCATTTTCTTCACGGTGGAAAAAGGCCCATTCTTTATTCACATAACTCCTTTCTATACAGTTTTATAGACCTCGTGTGGGACTCCAATTGGTCAGTAGTTTTCTTGCCAATTACTTTTATTGGTTACTAACAAGTTGTTATTCTGTATTGATTGGTCACTCAGACTCTCGGTGTACACGTGCAGGGAAGTTGTTTGTGAAAGATAGTTTTCATTTTTCTATCTAAGGGTGCAAAAACAGTTTATACAGGTGCAAGCTGTTTTTTACACAGGAATAGATTGTTATACTAACGAATTGCTCACAACAGGATTCCTTTCACATGGGAACTTGCAAAATGCTAGCTTTCACAAGGCCAGCCACTGATACCAGGAGAGCAGGCTTAATTTTAAGAAACCTTTCTCTATGATTTTTCTACCTTACTGCAACACGTGTCATCATTTCTGAGAGTAAAGGCTTGCCTCTTCAGCTCAAGGTTAAATAACTTTGATTCCTTTCAGCTCTAATTTCTAGTATTGTAAATGTCTGGAAATTACTTATATATAGATATATGTAATATGTATATATAATTATAATTATATCTATATATAATTATATATATTCACACATATATATATATATACACACACACATATATATATATATATGTATATATATATGATGGTATTTCCTAGATGAACAGTTTCAGTAGTGGTTTATGCTTTAAGAAGGCTGGCTAGGACTACAAATTACAAATATAACGCCTATGCAAATGACAATAGAGCAGTTAGTTTCTGGTTCGGAGTTAAACAGAAGCAGTCTGTTTAAGCAGTAGTTTTGAAGTACCCTTTCCTTCAGGCAGTGACTTCAGGGAGTTTTTTCCAGGTAACATATACTGGACAGACCATGGCTTCAACCTGATCGAGGTGGCGCGGCTGAACGGCTCGTTCCGCTACGTGGTGATCTCCCAGGGGCTGGAGCAGCCACGCTCTATCGCGGTACACCCAGAGAAAGGGTAACATGTTGTTCCTAAAGTACACAGAGCTTTTGCCTTGCTCTCTGTATTCATAACATTCTGTAAGTTCTCTGCAAAATAGTTTTGGTTTTCTGAGGAAACTGTTTCACTGGAAGGTTAGGCCTTGCTTGGAAGCGTGTTTTGATCTGAAGTGCCCAACAAATCCAAGGAAGCCAGGTCAGCTGATGAAGGACTTCATGATGAAATCCCAGAGCAGTGTAATCCTTGGTAGTTATGAACTCCAGAATCATGTGACATCCCAGTGCAACAACCAGGAAGAGTGGCCAGGGTAGCTGAAAGCCACGTGAGATGAAGGTTGTGGATTGGAGAGTAGCAGCTGGCAAAAGTCACATCTGTATTCACCCAGCTGATTTTTGAGGACAGGGACTACCCTTCAGTATTGACTGAAATAGGGAATGTACCGTCCCCTTCCACCTCCAGAACTCCGTGTGGAATCCCCATCTCTGGAGTTGTTCCAGGCCAGAATGTATGGGGCTCTTGAGTAACCTGGACTAGTGGAAGGTGTCCCTGCCCATGGCATGGGGTTTTTTTAGGATATTTAAGGATAATTAGAGGACCAGAGACTACTGTTTTGCGTGTCTGGTAGAACAGTGTATCTTCTACAAAGGAAGGAAGTCTTCATTTGTTTTATAATATTGTGATAACTTGAGATGTCTCCACTCAGTTCCTCCAGGAGAAGCACAGCAGCATTTTGCTAAGGAAGTACAAGGCTGCCTTTCTGTGCCAAGATTAAGGCCTTTTTTCCCTTTGCATTATTGTTAAATCTCTTCCCCCTTTTGAGGTAAAACTTTCAAAGGTGTTCTTCCCTCCCTTTACCCTGACTTCACATTCTGCATTTGTCTGGAAGCTGGAGTTGACAGCTGTAAGAATAGAGAAGAAAATAGCAGTTATTAGAGCTCGTTGAATCTGCCAGTTATGCCAAGATGGGAAGCAGGCAGCATTCAGCTGGTTGGTGACATTATTTATTGTCACTGAGTCAAAAGTGAGGAATGTGTAGCCCTACAAAAGGGTGTCTTTGTCCCTCATCAGGTATATTTATTCATATATTTTTTGGCAGATGTTTATGGTTTTCTTTGGAGAATTTTAGATTGATTTAACCTTCTAATTATGAGTTGGTTTAAGGAATAATTTGAGTATAGGAATATAGAAGGAATATTTGAGGAATTTGAGGAATCTCAGTAAGGAATATTTGATTATGTTGAATGTCTGCTTTCCTGTGGTCAATATTTAGTTCATATCCTCTATAAAGAAAGTCACAAATGACTCTCTGACCTCTGACCAGATGTCTGAAAGCAATTCCAGGTCTGTGTAGTGGTGCTGTTAATGATCTGGTTAAAATTGCTTTAAACTTATGTAGTGATTGTTAGAATCTAGCTGATTAATACTGCTTATTTTGGCATTCCTTAACATATTTTTATCTCATGTTGCTGTTCCCTTTCCTAGTCTGCATGAGTTTTATATTAGTATAAATGGTATTGTTTGTTATATCAAGAAATATGAGAACAGATTCATTTTGTCTGAAGCCATAAGGCTCAACAATGAGAGCCAAAGTGGGTTGTTTCAGAAGCTGAACTTGATGAACAAATTATAGGATTCATATTTTTTTTTCACCCTTATCACATTATTATCCCTCATTATTTCACATATCTGTAGTCATCTAGTCAAATACAGCTGCTTAAGTGCATACTGGTGTAATGTCACAAGACATGGGCGAGAACTGTTTAGTAGTGCCCAGAAGATTTTGTAGTCTTTAAGGTTACTGTTCATAAAGGAAGTGCTCTGTGTAGATTTTTTGGCCTCATTTTGCTATAACCGAAGCAATAGATTGAGAGGTTTATCAAGGTAGAAGTTTGACAAAGCATCTTGTCCCAAATTAATGATGCAACTGTGGCAATAAGTATACAGGGACATGAGATCAGATAAGTAAAATTCAGATTGTTCCCATGAAGTATTTGGCAGAATTTGAAAAATATTTTCTTCTCAAATAAGGTCTCATTTCTCTACCATTTCCCCCACAGTATTTCTCACTACTTCATATCTAAAACATTTTTAAATTAGGTATCTCTGGTATTATTCCAGTATTTGTTAGTGATTAGATGCAAGAGCATCTGTTCCAGAATTTTTTTTTTTAAACTTTCTTTTTTTTTTTTTTTTTTTCCCAAGCACAAAGCTGAATTCTTTAAGGAATAGCATTGCACATGGACTCATGGAATACAGTTTTAAGAATTGCTTTATGTATATATTTTGAAAACAATATCTTAACAAATTATCCAATTAGGAAGTATTATGATACATTTAACTTCTTAAGACAACTTAGAGACGTGAGCGCCATATGAGGTTTTTTTAGTATCTATTTAATGGTAATAGTGCATTTTGTTTGCAATTTTAATTGATGATTTCTACAACATTCTAGGTATTTATTTTGGACAGAATGGGGACAGAGCCCTTGCATAGGCAGAGCACACTTGGATGGCTCTGAGAAGGTTGTCCTTGTGAGCCTGGGGATTGCATGGCCTAATGGGATTTCCATCGATTATGAGGTTGGTTCCTCTGTCTTCCAGCATGCCTAAGAATGTGCAGTATTTGTTATGTTTCATTAAAGCCAGCTGGTGTTCCACCTTGATGTAATCTTAATAACTCGTAATTAAATACTTGGACAAGCCTGTTGACGTTTCCTTTGAAATTAATCTTTAGGAAAATAAATTGTATTGGTGTGATGCTCGTACCGACAAGATAGAAAGAATTGACCTTGAGAGTGGAGGGAGTCGGGAGATTGTGCTGTCAGGGAGCAATGTGGATATGTTTTCAGTTGCTGTGTTCGGAGCTTACATCTACTGGTCTGACAGGTAATTTATTTTTCATAAGTATTTTAAATCTCAAAATGTTGTTTCGGTGCCAGGTGCCTCACCTTTGTAGGATTAGCCGTTCCTTAGCAAGGTCGCAGGCGGGATCACGGAATCCCGTGCAGTTTCCAAGGAGAGGGAGTTCTGAAAGATGAAAAGTGCCTCAGTGCCATAGATGAGAACAGGCTTCTCCGCCTCCTGTTAAGTGAACTCTGCTCTTCAGTCATTTGTTTGGTGTGAATTAGTTGAGGATTGTTGATGAGACATCTTCAACTTTTTTGGCAGAGCACATGCAAATGGCTCTATTAGAAGAGGCCACAAGAATGAGGCCACGGATGCTGTGACCATGAGGACTGGCCTTGGAATAAACCTGAAGGAAGTGAAAATCTTTAATAGAGCACGAGAGAAAGGTTGGCTGTTCTTAAGGATGCTATTGTTTTAATATCACCTGCTACTTTTTCTGTATATTAAAGCATACCAAAAATTAAGTAATCAATGATTTTATCACCACTTTTTACTCTTGAAGTTTTTTTTTTTTTAAACTAAAATTAGTGTACTGAACATATAGTACAAATCCTACTAAAATTCTTCAGAGTGTTTCAAAAAGAAAGCCTAAAACCAAAACACTTCCTATCATTCCAGGTTTGATGGTTTTTGTTTTGTTTTTCTTAAAAGACAGGATTGAGAGACCTTGACCTGTGCTTTACAGAGCAGTAATTCAGGAGTTTCAGATTTCTGTTGGAAAGCAAACCAGTTTTATTTCTTATTAAAAATTCCCATCCTCTGTGTCTCAATATTTATTTGCTGACATTACTTGGGTTTGAGTCTCTTTTTTTTTCTTTTTTTTTTTTTTTTCCTTCTGTGGAAAAAGACCTTGTAAATAATCAGATTTCCTTTATATTCAGTTAGTTTAGCAAATTCAAGAGACAAAAACTATTATAGACTCTCCGTGATTTATGGTGCTGATGGTTAAACTTTATTTTCCACTACCTGACTAAGAATAATCTTGCTATTTAACTGTCTTTTTACTTTTAAAATTCTGGTTTTGACAAGACCTTGAAAAACTTGTTTTACCGAGAAAAAATGGTGATGATTTCCTCAGAAAAAACTGCTACCAGGTAATCCAGATGAAATTTTCAAGAAATATACTCAAAAGAGAGGAAAAAATAACGTTAATACTATTATAGATAAAATTTTTAATACAAACATATTTATAGTGTTGGTAGCACTCAAAATTTGCTTTAATCACAGCATTATATATCCAAAGATTCTGTGTCTTCTACTTAAATCTCTCCAAATAATTGCATTATACGTGACACATTAAATAAATCTGAATTTTGAAAGGAAACATATTTATGAATTAAGAAAACACTTTTAAAAAATTTAATGTTTTTTGAGAAATAATAATTTTCAAACATATGCATAATAATTTTGCTATGGATTTCTGCATGCAATTTCAGAACATCATATTCTGTGGATAAAAATAAATCCACACCAAATTCCATTTCTTTTAACTAGGCTAGAAATTGTTAATGTCTGCTGGCTTGGAAGGGCTTTATATTATAGAATTAGGAAAACAGAACAATGGGATAAAACAATGCTTCTTTATGTGTAATTTTTATTGATGGATTTATAGACTTGATCACATAAGGAATGGGAGAAATGGTTACTCAGGCTAAAAATCTACTGATGTTAGTTTGAAAAACATACCTGAATGATTTTTTAATACATTTTTCAAATTTTACTAGGGTACAAATGGTTAATGTCATTGGGAGGGGATGTCAGTGAGCCAGAAGGACAAAAGGGAAAAAACAGGTGAAAAATGTTTTTGGAATGTTTTTCTATCTCACACTATTACATATATATTTTTTTTCTAAAGTTTTTTGAACTAGAAGTAGTTAAGTATTTTAAAAATCCAATCTAATTAAATAGTATCCCAAATTTTGTTATTAAAACGACCCCCCAAACAAAAAAAAAAACAAAAAACAACCAAACAAAAAAACCCCAACACCCCAATGAGCTGTGCTGATTGTGATTGATGCTTTTTTTTCAAACACTTCTTTTACCCTTTCTGATGAATCTGTCCTGCAGTGGGACTTGCAAAGATTCCCATCCTTCAGTGCAATTTTACAGGTGTGCAAGGACATGCCCTGGCTGTCCTGGCTTCAGAACTGGCCATTTTTAAAGGTGTTCACAGCTGGTGAACCATGGAAGCATTGAAGTTTTCCAAGAGATTTTAGAAGCTTGAGGATCTATTTCATATATTTTATTTTTTTCTTCTCAACCTCTCATCCTTCCAAACAGATATTAACTTTTCTAGCCTAATAAAACATTTAAAGTATCTTTTAAGCAAATGGAATGTAAAAATGTCTGTACCTGAATCTCCACATGTTTTACATAACTCCAGACGACTAGCTTATGGAAGTTTTCCTAGGAGAACAAAATTAAATATTTCTGCTTTAAAGAACAAGTTACTTCTCATTTGCCATGACTTTTTTCTTAAAAGGATTTTCAGCTTGAAACGTATCAGTTAAAGAATTCAATCAACAGTACTGTCAGACACTACATCTTCCCAACAATTACAGTTTTGTACCTCAAAACATTCTATTAAAATGTTTTATTCACCTTCATTATGTGGAAAACTTTCAGAAATGGGAAAATTACTATACTAAAAAGGCTGAGTTGTTAGGTGGAAAGGGCTGTCAGAAAGAGAAAATGAATTATCTCAACTAGCTATAATAGTAATTCAAAGATAGTCCAAAATAAAAAGACAAATAGCTCCCAATTATTGATGATTACAGTTATTTTAAATATAACTTGTAACAAGTGTAGTTACTAATTTGACAGTGATTCCTTAATGGTGTGCAATTGTCAGTGAGTAAGTTTTTAAAGTCAGGTTTTGAATTAAATTAGAACAAAATGTTGGGAAATGTCTTCATTAAATAGAGGGAACTGGATTCACAGAGTTTTTTACCAGTCAATACATGCATATTTAACTTGGTAGAAAATACCTTAAAGCAGTACTATATTCTGATTGTAGCTAAATTTGACTTTTTCCAGTAACAGGTGTTTAAAAAAAAATAAAAATTCAAGCTCAAAGGACTTGAAACATTTTCTACGTCTTCAGCTGGTTTTTGAGGAATAGCCCATTTTATCTTTTTCTATTAATAAAATATGTGCTGTTGTGAATTGAAAAGGACATAAATTATACAATACTTATTGATTTTATTCTTTAAAATTATCTTTCAGTGTGGTTAAAGTTGCATTATTTGCTCTTTTGGCCTTTTGTTTTCCTTGTGAACATAGCCCAAATAATTTTTAAGAGGAGAATTCCCAGAACACATAAAAATTCGTTTCTGTTTAAGTTAACAAAGTATATTTTTACTTATAACAGACAGGATTTATTATGCTTTTTCCCAGGTACCAACATCTGTGCCAAGAACAACGGCGGATGCCACCAGCTCTGCCTTTACCGCGGCAACGCGCGGAGAACTTGTGCCTGCGCTCACGGGTACCTGGCAGAGGATGGGGTCAGCTGCCTCAGGCACGAGGGCTACCTGCTCTACTCGGGAAGGACAATATTAAAAAGCATCCACCTTTCAGATGAGACCAACCTGAATTCTCCAGTGAGACCCTACGAAAACCCAGAGTACTTCAAAAATGTGATAGCGCTGGCCTTCGACTACAGCCTGAAGGGAAGGGGCACCAATCGCATCTTCTTCAGTGATGCCCACTATGGAAACATCCAAGTTATTAAAGACAACTGGGCTGGCAGAAAAGTGCTAATTGAAAGTAAGTAAAAAAAAAAAAAAAACCCAAACATATTTCCCAAAATTCCGGTTTTATTTCAATAAACTTGAGTGCAAAGTTGGTGATCACTTGGCTTTATTGACTAAAAAAAAATCAATGAAATGTTACCATAATTATTTATTATGTTTTACCCCTGTAAGATACATTTAAACGTTAACCACTTCAAAATAATTTGTTTTAAAATGGGCTTATGAGGTGTGAAGCCTGTTACTAGAAAATAGTAGTGATGGTGACAATGCTTAATTTATTTTACTGTGATTTTAGGATCTTTACTCTTGAAATAAAACCTCACTGTGAATTGCTTGGAAATAAACTTTTTGGTTTATTTTTCTAGTTAGTGAGGGTGAATTCTCTGTTATGGCCATTTCTCAGTATAAAATATTAAGACCTTGGTTTGCTCAGTTGATTCGCCCTTCTTGAAGTGAATCCCAAGAAAGGGATTTGTGCTCATTGATAATCAGAGGCAAATTCCAACCTACAGAACTGTTTGGTTTTAATAAAAGCTTACTTGACAATGTATTTATTCACTCCTAATGTTTATTATGCCTTCATTCACCACAGTAGTAGGAGAAATTTCATTAAATATGACCTGTTTCTAGCCTTTGAGACTTGAAGCTTGGCACTATTATCAAGAAATTTCTGCCAGCATCTTCACAAAAGTCTTCAAGATTAGACAAACCATATTTTACATCTGAGGTATCAATAAATTCTCAATATCTGGCAATAAAATATTTATCAATCAAGTCTGACACAACTGTAATACGATTCCTATGTAGGAAGGTACCAGGTTTAGCATGGGAAAATTTGAATTTGAGGAAAATCTGAATGTGAATACGTACGGAATACATCCTTAATGCTAAACATGCATAAATGTGTATGACTAAAGTGCTAATTGTAAAAACTGCTCTCTTTCATTTCTACTCTATTGAGTTTTTTCTAAAATATGCAACAAAACACATTCATCTGTAGTCACTTATCAGATGCAGATACGTAATTTATTTGTTCTCTTTTCCTTTTTCAATACTGTCTGGTTTATTTGAAGGCTGCAATTTCAGTAATTGTTTTCTAAAATGTCCTATGTACTATGTAGCATTTGTTTCTTAAGATGTGGACTAACCATTCTGTGATTTTATATGATACAAGGTGTTGAGGATTTTTTCCATTGATTTTCTATCTATGTGTGGATATCTTAGAGGAATTTATGACATTTGTATTGAGATATGTTGAAGATAAACTAAGCAATGTTGTCAGGATGTTCCTTCCGCTCCCAGAAAAGCACCCAGGGATTCAGAGTTGAGCTTAGCTGCACGAGAGACAGAAGCATGCAGTGATGACATGGAAGCACCATTTCAACTCTTTTTTTATAAGAAGAGATTAAGAGTATTATATGAAAAGCCAATGGAACTTTCAACATTTGAAACAGACAAAGAGGAGAAATAAATACTGGTGAAGGACTAATGCAGATAGAAATTGGTTTTTAAAAGAACAATAAAGTATTCCTCATTAGTTCATTATAGGTTGCTCTACAAGAGCTAAAGACATTCCATAAAGCACAGCTGGGAGTTATAGTTTTAAGAAATTGTAAGGAAGTGTTTCTACTTGTAGCTTAATATGCCAGATTTCATTTTTCATTAGCAGAGTCAGCACTCTGAGTAATTGAATGTCAGATGAAATTTTTTATCCTTGTAAAAGCCTTCACTGTGCATGCTTGGGGTGAACATGTGAACTATGACATTTCGTATAAATACTTCTGTAGAAATTCTTCTTTGTAAGTGAGAAAGGACATAAAGTACATTAATATGTTTATTGCTCTCTTTCATGTGTTTTAAACCTCTTCAGTTTATGTTGAATCATTCTTTTTCAGCTGTTATTTTTGTAGCCTTCCATCCCACAGTCTGCACGTGACTTTTCTCTCACTGTAAACAGCAGACAGTTCATGAAGCTGCTTGATATAGTGGAGGTATTTGTTCAATCTCCACCTATAAGGAGAAAAGCAGTGCTAAGATTGGTTGACACCAGAAATTCCATTCACTGCAAGATGAAAAATTCTAAATTTTTTTTATTTCCATATTAAGAATATGTGATCTAGAAATTATTAAATGGAATCCTGCTGAGAGATTATAGTAATAATGTTCCATTTAAGTATTGAAAAGTTACGTATTTGATACTGATTTTTGCTATTTTTCCTCCAAAATTATTAGAATACATCTGTAGGAAGTTTTCCTGTATTAGGAAGGGATTTAAAACCCCACTGGAAATACCTAGTGTGGTTATATCAGTTCTACACTTCTTCTGCTTCATTAAGTTGAAGTCTACAAATAGTGCAAACCTTTACTCAGTAATTAACATTAATAGAGAAAATAGGGTATGATACATCCAAGGCACTGTTGTCCCAGAGTTTTATTCCCTGAATGTAAATCTGCTCATAAAGTATCTATTATCAGATGGATCTCTCCCTCCTTGAAATCAGATGTGCCACTCAAATCTAACAGATCCATGAACTTTTCTGCTCACTAAAAACACTTAAGACTCATAGAGCTCTTTGTAAAACAGGTTTCCAGCTCACTAAAAACAGATTTACAACTCACGAGCAACCCATTATCTAGCATGTTTTTAGCTCACTGAGAACAGATTTACTACCCAGAAACAACCCATTATCTAACATGTTTCCAGTTCACTGAAAACAGATTTACAACCCATACGCAAGCTATTATCTAACATAGTTCCGACTCACTGAATATTGATTTAGAATTCATAAACAAGCCATTATCTGACAAATTTTCACCTCACTGAACAGATTTGCAACTCATAAACAACCCATTAGCTAACACGTTTTCAGCTCAGGGAAAGTAGATTTACAGCGTCTAAACAACTTTATCTAACTTGTTCCGGTTCACTAAAAACAGATTCCAAACTCACCAAGATTCCTGTACCTGGTGGGGTCCTGTCTTCAGCAGGAAGAAACAAAGACAAAAACAACAATAAACCAGTCCAGGATATGCACAGTGCCATGCCCTAACACTTTTATTTTTGTGCAATGTTTTTTTTGAGGAGATTCTTTCATATCTTTAAACTCTCCTTTGGTCAATCAGCAGTGGTTTCTCTTTTTTTTTTTTTTTTTTTTTTTCCTAAGTAACTTTATCAGGTTAATCTTTCTTATTTCCACTTTTTCAAAACAAGAACCTTGTTCTTGTTTCTTGAAGAAACGATCTTCAAAGCTTATGTTTATACCAAGCAACCTTTTTAGAAGTTAAAGCTTCAGTTTCTAGTCCATTAGTGGCATTAATTATTTATTTATTTATCACAGGGAGAAGTTTGAAGTAATATATTCACGAACCAAAGCCTGTCTCAGTGTATCTAGAAAAGCAGTGCAGTGTTCCAACAGGTTTATACAGTGGTACAACAGTAGACAGAAGACCAATGAACAAGTTAAAAATTACAGAAAAAAGGTGGAGGCAAGGACAAACAAAAAAATCAAATGAGAAAGGGGGAAAAGTATTAAGATGAGATACACTCAGTGAGCTGTTTTTTCTCCTGCCTCTGTAAACAATGGCACTGAGACATTTTGCCAATGTAGTGTCTTTCACAGCACAAAAAGGAAATGTTTTGTGAAAAAAACGCTCCTGTTTTGAACCTGAGGCCTTCATGCCCGAGGAACACAAAAATCTTTTCACTGCTAACATAAAGTGTCAGATCCTGTGATGTATTTTAAGGCTTTTTACAGTCTGACTCTTTTAAAGATGTTCCAATGTGTGCTACTGTTCTTCCCAACTAAATGGGTCCAATTTAACTGTCAAAAAGGCATTTATGTTCCCATTTCTCTTACAGAGCATTACATTTTGTACATTGTGTGAGATCCCTTTAGTTTTGGAGCTTTCTTCTCCAGAAAAGAACTTTTTAATCTGTTAAAAATAAATACTTGAATATTTCCATTTTTTGTTTCATAAATGAATGGGATTCATGATAACTGTGTGTGTTAGAATAGAGGTCCAGTGATTTTTCACTTTTTAAAGGAGTGAAAGTGAGAGGCTGTTGTTAAGTCTAGGATATTTAAATAGTAAAATATAATATTTGTTATTACAATGCCAACATTGTTAGAGGAAAACAAAGTGAGTTGTTTGTCAATGTAATTTTTTTATGTATGTTGCTGCATATTAGAGAATCAGACAACCACAGGATGTTTTGGTTGGAAGGGACCTTTAAAATCATGTTGTTCCAAGACACTGCCAGGGCAGGGATACCTTCCACTAGACTAAAATCAGTGGGTAAAATCTGTGAGTTTCTGTTCTAGGTAGATGAAGTTTACTCATTTTATATTAATCTTTTTAAAATTAAATTTTAGAAATGTGTATTCCTGCACTTGTCATGCTTTGTTTAGGTGTTCCTGGTGTGAAGCTCTGAAATATATTCAGGATGGGAGCGTTCTCACACTGATCTCTTAGTTTGGTATGTCCTGAGCATTCCCAGCCTCATTAGTGAGGAAAGGTGTTCCTGCATATTGCACTTGAGATTATTCATGAAGAATTAAGAATGTTTATGACTTATTCAACTTTAAACATTGCCCTTAAATTTATATTGATGTACACATTTGCTATTTTTTTCTGTCAGAAGATGTGAGTTAGTTGCATAAAAGGTAAAACTGTGTTTGGTGAATTGTCAGGGAAAAGCTGCAGAGGAACATCCCTTTAATTGTATTGGTTTTTTCCTAAACAGTAATGTGATCTAGCAAATATTATTAGATAATGAGGATTTACTAGTTAGGCTATTCTGTCATTAATGCCTTAAGTAGCTCTTTTTCAACAGCAACAATAAAAGTATATGATTATACACATTTATTTGAAAGCTTATTAGGATTGTTGTGATATTGTTCTGAAGGTGGTAAGGGTGAAGAGTTTTGGGTTTTTTTTAGAGTGCACATGTAATGCATAAAAAGATAATGTGAGCTCCTATAATTAGGAAAACATTTCTTCCATGAAAATTGT